GTGGTCAAACACAGGAAAGGGTTCAGTTTAATGTATGGTTCACTAAGAGAGTCCAACGTTATCCCATAGCCATTATCCTCACCCTCAACTAATACCTCGAATGCTTTATTCTAGTTAATTCTCTGCATATTCTACATTAACTTATTACCAGACTTAAATGAGTCTGAAAAAACATCTTACACCTAAAAATGTTACAAAAGTTAGTGAGTCAAGTATAATAAGTGATCTATTCAGCTTGAATGTTCAGAACAATATGAAAACCGAATAGAGAGTCTATTCGATCGACATGTTGAATATTTTACGAACGGGATAGTCGGAGAATTACGGGACAGTTGTTAACCTTGTTCTAGAACGTTATAAAATATCCTTACAATTACTAAATGCATGATAACAAGGAGACTTGTTATACGAGTATTGACTTAGGTGTCTTAAAGTCAGTCAGATGCAACGTAGAACTTTGTACATAAGTACATCAGTTCATGTTGCCATACCACATCAGCACAGAGATGTAATTGTCAATTCAAATCCAATAGTAGAAGAGGTAGTAAGGGAATTAGAAGTAATCGGAGAGGTTAGGATTAGAAGATACTATTCAAGAAGTATGATTCAGTGAGAAAAGTTTAGAGAGTCGAAACTAGAGGGGTTGAAGAACCCAGAAGATTAGGGTTTGAGAGAACACAAAGAATAAATGCACCGGCGCCATTGCGAACGATTTTGAGGCATGTCATTCAACGTCTCTAACCATCGATTATTATCATCTCGCGGACCCCAACCAGGTAGTCGACAATTACCGACATGGCTAAGTCCACTCGTCAATGATTTCATGGATTTGTGCCATGTTTTGGTCTGGCCGCCCCTAACTTTCTTCCAACCTACTCCTACACTACAAAACAAAGCTCATCGAGGCAGTCGGTGATTAGGCATACGCAAGACATGTCCCAACCACCTCAACTGATGAAGTTTCACCACTTCATCTATTGCTCTCCCATCCTTACCTAGTACTCGTTTCCTAACGACAGCATTGCTCACTCGGTTGTCCCACGGTATACGAGCAATGCTTCGAAGACACCTATGATCGAAAACCAGTAACCTACGAACATCTTCTACTCTCACTGACCATGTTTCACAGCCATATAGGAGAACGGAGCGAACTGCTGCACAGTACACTCGTCCTTTGATTAGAGAACGGATATCACGCCTACGCCATAAGTGACGTAGGTTGGCAAAAGCCGATCGAGCCTTCTGTATCCGAGCTGAGATTTCGTCAGTCATCAGGCCATCGGCACTGATGAGACTCCCAAGATAAGTGAAGCGGTCTACACGTTCGACTACTTCACTCCCTATCACTAGTTCAGGTGCTGATGCAACCCAGTCTTAAAGCAACATCTTGCATTTCGAGGGGGAAAAAGGCATCCTGAACATGCTTGCATTGTTGCTTAGGGTAGTCAGAAGACGCTGCATTTTGTCAGCGTCTTCACCAAGTAGGGCAATGTCATCGGCATATTCTAAGTCAATAAGCGAGCCACCTGGTAGAAGGTATACTCCTGAAAATTCAGACGAGGACAATGTTATGTCTAGGAGCATGTCTATGATAAATTAAACAAGAATGGAGAAAGTGGACATCCCTGACGGACACCACTTGAGGTAAAGAATTCCGGTGACAGTTCGCCATAAGCCCTCACTCGACCAGTGGTGTTCGAGTACAGGGCTTGTTTCAGGTTAATGTACTTCTTTGGTACACCTTTCAATGACAGACACTGCCACAGAACCTCACGATCCACTGAGTCGAATGCCGCCTTAAGGTCCAGGAAAACAACTATTGTAGGACGCCTAAATGTGTGTCTGTGTTCCAGGACCTGTCGTGAAGATGTGGTCTATACAACCACGTCCAGGTCGAAAACCAGATTGGTTTTCTCGAGTCTGCTCTTCACGAGCTTTCGTTAAGCGTCGAAGTATTACTGAGGCCAATATTTTAGATACTATATTAGTTAGACTTATTTCTCTGTGATTGTCACAAGAAGACTTCTGTCCTTTCTTATAGATCGGGACAATAAGTGATTGAGACCACTCGGATGGGATTACGTCCAGTTCCCAGATTCTACCTAAGATCTCAGTCAACCTAGTTGCTAAAACTGGACCACAATCCTTAAATATCTCAGGGGTCAGTCTATCAGGACCCGCATTTCGTCCTCGCTTCAGATTTCTTAACGCTTTTTCAACTTCATTAAGACTAGGGGGACTTAGGTCGATTTGCCATTCAGGATGACTGGAGATCGTGGGTAACTGAAGAGTGGCTCGTGGCTAGTTGAACTGCCCATCGATCCAGTCTCCTGGATTGAGAAAGGATAATAAGACCATCCTTTTCCGAGATAGTCTCACTTACACTATGATTCCTAAAACCAGTTTCCTTGATGAATCTAAATAGTTGTCTACTGTTGCCTACCACCGCTGCCTTTTCCATCTCTTTTGTTTTCGCCACCCACCACTGTTCGTTGCGCAGGCTTTTTATCAGCCTGCGCCTAAGCTGACTTCGTTCTTCATCATGTTCAGAGCCAGGTGGGATGAGTTTTCGGGCATCCATATGATCGGTGTATGCTACTGAGATCCACGATTTCATCCTAGCCTTATGGTCAACCTTACTAGCAGATATCACTGCTGTTTCCACAGCCTTTTTGATATCATACCAACCTGCTTCTGGATGGGAATCGCTTGCATGGTTGCTTAACTCTCTTTCTAGTTGCTCCTGAAATATTTTCTTGGTTTGATTATCATCAAGTAAAACCCTAAGAGGCTTTCTTACAGTGTCTTTCCTATGTCCAGTAAGCCTTAAACAGATACGAGCTCGCACTAGAGCATGATCTGAATCCAAACATGTGCCCCTGAACGAGCGACAGTCTTCTTTCGAACACCTCCATCGGTGGCTGATGGCGATGTGATCTAGTTGAGTCCAACGTTGAGACGACTTCGGAGGTCGCCAGGTCAGCAGATGCTTTTCCTTATGCCTAAAGTTGGTGTTCGCTAAGAATAGGCGGTTATCTGAGCATAGTTGCAACAGACGGTCGCCATTGTCTGTTCTTTGAGCCGCGAGACCACCAGATGTCTTTCCTTTTCACCTAATCTACCTACTTGAGCATTAAAGTCACCACTCATTATTACTATATCAGAGCGCCTAGCTTTTTGGAGGAGGTCCGAAAGCTTTCTGTAAAACTCATCTTTAACCTCGTCTGCACTGCAGTCATTGGGGGCATAGGCAGATTTGACGAAGAGGCAACGGCGAGTGTCCTTATCTTTCCGAGTCCTTACTGTCCCGTTTAATCGGACAGCGCACAAACGACTATCTACTGGGATCCAGTCTAGGAGAGATAATTCTGCCGAAGGACTCAACGCTATACCAACGCAAGCAAGACCCGTGGAAGCAGCATCAGGGCTTCCAGATACACGAAGAGTGAATCGGGCTGCTTCTTCGTTTTGACAAGGTGGAATCAGGTTAATGACTTTACTAGGATCCTGTATATGCGTTTCCGAGACAGAGCATACATCGGTGGCACGAGTTTCTAAAGTCCTAGCTAATGATGCCTGTTGCCCTATTTGACACAATGTCCGTACATTAAAAGCTCCAACATGTAGTCTAGAACGGGGTTTCAGGAGATCAGGAACGACGTTTCGTGATCTCGCTTCGTCTGCATTAGCGGTGCAGTGAGAAAAGGGAGTATGAGTTGAGTTAGTCGTAGCGATAAGAGAGACATTAGGAGGTGTAGGAAGGATTTGATTTTGACCAATTTGGTCTCGTGTGCTGTTACGGGTATGAGGGCGGTTGTCACTTCCCGGCTGCCCACACCGTGGAAGGTTGTTTCTTGAGGGACCTGAAAAGGAAGATGGATTAGTGTTGGTGCGTGACCGCAGAGCCCAAGGGACAACTGCTTGAGGCCGGTCACGCACGGCCCTTTTATGAGACGTTTGAGGATTAGCTCCGTTCTTAAAGGCCCTTAGTGGGCACCCTTACCCAGGGAGACGGAAATCCGTGAGTTAGGGGAGGTGTGACATTTTTAGGGTCGACCTTTTCTAACCCTTCCTTCCTTGTGAGAAGGCAGCATCGCTGCAGATGCTGGTTGTCCGAGGGAAACACCTTACTGCTGTCAAACCCCACTGCAGTCAGCAGTACGACTTCGCCCTCAGACCTTGGGTAGCTGCTTTTAGTCACATCGTTCTCCAATCGACCAGCCTGGCATGGTAGGACCTGCAGGAACATATATTCCAACCAGTATAGCTCGGTTGGGTCATCACGATAGGCAAGCCCGACCACCACGTCAAGGTAGCAGCTTCGGTAGGGTAGGTGTCTTACAGAAGAAAAATATGTGGTTACTTTTAATGTAGAATATTCTGAAAATTACTCCTCAACTGAAAACCGGATTAGGACATTCCTAACCATATGGCAGGGGATCTCCACAACCTGGAACAAATCACTGAATCGTGGAGTAGACTTTTATTGACCACTAATTTTTCATGGAAGTGGTATTCCTAGAAAAGACCACCTTGTTAAAAAGGTAAGTGAAGGACGTGAATACTTCAGAAAATGAATAAAATAATATGTTTTGTAGTCTCCTAGTACATCAGTTTATTTTACGCTTGAAAAGCAAAGGTGTTTGTATTTCCATAGACGACCCAAGGTCGATTATATTAAAAGGTAACTACTGTTTTTTCGGAATCGAACAGGAAAGACTTAGTTTCAATTCTTATTCCAAGAAAAGTAAATATAAACGTTTTATTAGATTTTCACTCGAAATAAACAAACAAGCGATCCAATCAATGGATCTGAATCCATCATGTAAAGTGGAAAAAAGCATACTCATTATACGAATACGCGAACGAGGAGTAATATCAATAATAGTAATAGTAACAATAATCACAGTAGTAATCAGTGATAACGGTCGTAGCAAATACACGTAGAAATAGAGAAACACGTATTTACTGTGTTGTTACCGGATTGAATAACTTGTAAAGACTGAAATAAATATATTTATTGTGAATTAATTTTTAAACAAAGCACATAAACAAAAAATCCTTAAAAATAAATTGCGTAATAGTAACAACTGTTATTTGAAAATTCGCAACACACAAATAGTAAACTAATACAGGAAGGGAAATAAAATACACATGCAGAGAAACGTCAAATAAAACAAACAAAAAAGCGTACGAAAAACACAAAACCATTGTGGTTGAGTAAACTACTACTGGAAAAAAAAAGTACTAAACATTGGGTTAGTTGTTGTTGGGTTTTTGTTTCGGTGACTTCAAAGTTTACAAAACAATAAACCATTGGAAGAATGCATAGTATACGGTAATTCAAAGACAATTTCTACATAGACTTTTCATTGTAATAGATAAAAGACCAATTCCACAATATTTCCAAGTAAACACATTCAAAATGGAAGAAAAGGAGGATTGAATAAACAATTGCTTATTGTGTTGATTAATTATGAACACACAACCAGAAAAAACAAACAAACAGGAGGATTGTTAACAAATTCGAAGGATATAAATTACAGTCTACATTTCAAGCATGTGATATGCATTCACGCATATAAAAGTATATATATATATATATATATATAGCAAAAAAAACTATTCCAAAACAAGTTTACGAGTAACTCCTTTGACAAAGGACAAATACAGAATATCATTAACAAAAATCGAGTTTTCTATAAAAGTGTCGTTTCTTTACTTTTTTTTTTCTTTGATCAGTATTAATTCCAGGTATACGGTATCATTCCCACACACCACTGTTTTGATTTTTTAGTCAATTCATTCGAAAAAAGAGAAATTAGAACTATGGCTATTACTATTAAATACGAATAAGTTTCCTTCATTGTAAATACCTAAAAGTGCTAGTAATTGTTAGTTATTTATTGAAGTAATTGAAATCGAAAAAGAAAACAATGTAGGTATTACAGGAAGGAAACTGTGATACAATATAATTTTTATATATATATATATATAGAAATATTCATGATACATTGAACAGGTAGTGGGATGGTTGTTTAGCGTTTATCGCAACTAAATTAATAAATTATTCACCAAATCATTTATTCACCTAAAAATAGTTGAATAGAAAGAAATCAGGAGAAAAAATTAGAATTATTACAGAATACCATTTTAATTAAACTATGCATATATACCTTCATGTATACTTTACTTACTTATGTATTCACAACATTTCAGTGTTGTAATTAAACGATCACAATGAAACAAAACAAAATCCCTATCGTTTAATTCTTGTGCAGTTGATAGATATCAATAATAATTAAATACTTTTCAATGAATATGAGATACGGTCAACTGTTTAAAACCGAAATAAAACAATATCATTGAAAACTATACCTATTAATAATTGTTATCAGAAATAGTTACTATTAATCCGTATGAACGTACAATAGACAAATAAAATGGATCCTGATTATGTTATGTTATTATATAATGTGTCAATGAATTGTAAAAAATTCTAATTGTATATATACATATACTTACATTATTTCAATTTATGCAACAGATATATGTAAATTTTTATGATTAGGACAGATATCTGTCAAAAATACTATACAACTACTACATAAATATATAAAGAAATATTGGAATTTCATGTGTAAAGTAGCTTACAACAAAATGTTAAATACATAAAACAAAACACTAATAATAACAATGTTAGTGAATTTGAAGCTAACACTAAAAGAATAAATAACAATTGAACCATATTGTATAATGATGAGATGTTCTTTCACGTGTATAGTAAAACAAACACTTCAGAGTTCATTGAATCTTGCAATGAAGCACAATGAACATCACCAATTATATACTTTAAATAAAATCTAGCCACCTGATTAACTGCTTCATGCTTCAAAGTGATCAATGTTACATTTGTTTAATTCTTCAGTGATAATTGAATTCAAGTGTTAAAATATGGTCACTAGTCTATGGGAGGTCTGTCATGGACTGAATAATTCAGAGGCAACGTTAAACACTGAAATACAAGGACACATGTTATAACACCCCTCAGGAAAACTGGTACATCTTGTTGATGAGTGTTAATTAGCACGAAACTTAGGAGGGTGTCTTATTGACCACCTACAATCATTAAAAAAAAAATATAAAACTTTTCGCTTCATGTGATACAAAAAAGAAATACTTTTTATTTCTAAGAAAAGCAAAGAACACAGCACAGCAATCATGATTATACTAAAATGAAAATTGACGTAGGTGAGAAAATTGTGAATAGAAAATATTGTTAGGATTATAAAGTATAGTGAATAGATTGAAATGAAATAAATAATAATGATGCTGACATTAAGGTTACAAATAATGATAGATTTTATGGTATGTTATGGATTGTTATGAGATTGTTGAGTAGAACGATCACATGAAGTTTGTTACAAAACACTGAATGAAAAATAAAACAAAAAGAATGACAAGTGAGAAAAAGAATATTTCTTACAAATGGCAATAAACTCGATGAAAATAAGGTGAAATCAAAATTAGTAACCAAAATTTGTTTTCGTAGCTTTTTATGATATTGACGGCAGGATTAATTTGCGCAGAAAATAATGCAAGATGATTAATTGTTGATAGATATTTTCAATTATGTTTAAAACGGTACATACAAATTTTTTCTTACTAGATCTTAAACAGATTTACTACATTCTTATATTGAATGACAGCTCAATGATATTAACATTGACTTAGTACTTCCAAAGACGAATAACAGAAATTCTATTGATTAATCAGTTAAACTAAACCTTGATAATATTGATAACTTGGAAGTATTAGTCTTATCAACAAAATTAATTTTCACCTATTGATTTGACAGTAACGTGCTTACTAATGCAGATCTAAAAGTTTTCAGCATGAACCGGCATAATCATTTGAAAGTGAACATGAACTAGTACAAGGCAGTCAATATGGATATAAGTTCCGGTGGTGTACAGACGGTTCGTCACTGAAATCCAAGAAAGTCTAATCAACAAATGTATGTATCCAGAAATATAACTGTGAACTCAAGTGTTGATAATAAAATTAATGAAGGAGATTTATGAAAACTGTTTTATTTTCATAGCTGAAATCACGAAGTCATCTTAGCTGGACCATCATTAGAAGCCTAGAAGCACTGGACAGCTGTTTCGAATGAGACTCCGCAGAAATTAGAAATAAGCACCAGCAGATGCCGACTCAGTGGTCTAGGGGCTGTGTTAGTGTGAGAAATTCTTGGATGTATTGTTGAAAAGTTCCATGCTATAACAACTGGTCAGTGTTTCCGGACTTTTTCAGTGATGCTCTCTAAGATCAGCTCGTGATTTCAGCTAAAGATAAAATTACTGATTCCATGAATAACAGTATTCTGAGTGGTAAAAAAAATCCACAATATAAATAATGACTACACTTACACAACGAAGAAAATCAATAGAATCAATTACTATAAATATCTGTATGTACAAGTCAAATTTTATAACAACCATAAATAGAATGCAGTTTGTTAGCTGAATAGATCATGTTTATAGTAAGGATAATTTATGGATTGATAGATAACATACTGATTAACTGTAAAGATGATACTCACAGGTGACTTTGTTGTTGTGGATGGCAATGGCTCTGGTGCTGAAGAGTTTAAACTAGAACTACTCATAGATACTGTTTGTGGTAATTGCTGCATCTCTGACTTAGATGTAGTTTGAACTAATGGTAAAGAGGAAGAGGATAATAATAACACCGGTGATTCCAATTCAGGATTCCTAACTGATTCACCTATTTGATATTCAATTTCATTGGAACCAATAGCTAAACGACTATTAGAACTATCCTCATCACCACTGGGTGATGTTATTAAACTCAGTGATTTATCTATATGTTGTTTTTGTAATTCTTGTATACTCTGAAGAATATCACGTAAACTTTGATCATGTTCAGAAACTATAAGCCGTTTATCTTCATCATCACTATTATCATCATCGATACACAGATCACCGCGACTACCATTACAGGATGTTTCTAAACGTAAAAATTCTGCCAACGACGATGAACGACTACTGTGTGTACGCAATGAACTAGATAAATCCATGTGACAATCTTGACTGGGAGATTCCACAGAATGTGTTTCATATGAACGTCGAACACGATCAGGTTCAGAATGAGTCGATGATAAACTGTGTACAGATAGAGCTGGATTTTTGAATGACTTTTGCGGTCCACTAAATGAGTCTTGTGATGCACGATTCGGATGTAAATATGGATGCATTAAACGACGTGATACACTACCAGTAGCACCATAACCAAAGACACCACTAGGACGACTTTCAATCGATTCTGAAGGACTTAGATCACCACTTTGCCAACTTTTCGATGGATTTATACTAGTTACAGATGATCTTGTCGAATATTCCGATATTTCTGGTATAGGTGTCAATGGTTCTAGTAATGAACGACCCTGCAGAAAGTCACCTAACATATTATTATAATAAGTATCATCCAATGATGGTACTTCTGTTGAATCAAGGGGTTCCATTTGTGGTATTATAAGTACACTATCAGGAAATTCATAATTGTCATCGGTTAGTTTAACTGAGTAATCACAATTATTCTTATCAAATTCTATGACATTTTTTAGATTACATTGAATATCAGTTAAAAGTTGCAAATATACGCACACAACAAAAGAATAAAAAGATAAATAGAAGCAGAGAGACGGACATAGAAAGCATAGTTTATAGGACAAAGAGGTGTTATCCGAGCAACAACGAAAGTAGATATAAACATAGAGAGAAAGAGAGGTCAGATGTAAAGACGAATAGGTTAAGAGGGCAGCAAATGAATGAAAGTGTCAGACAGTAAACACAGTTATATACATATACACGCATATATACATTACGCGCACATACATAGCATGAATAGATTGTTTGTTAAAAAAATATCCATACAGAGGGAGAGAGATTAGTGATTACGGATGTTATAGTTTAGTTGTTATTGAAATGTACAGTGGTAAGCATAAACATAAATGATTTAGGAGGTGGAGAAAGCAGCGAACGCATCGAGCGGGGAAAGAGGTAGGTAGGTAGACGTCACGTTTGTTTTGAATAGCACAAAAAACCAAATCCAAACAGTAAAAAGGAGTGATGGGAGAAAAGAAAAAGAGAAAACAGTTTTAGACAAGAGTAACACAAAAACAGGAGAGTTAAAGTGCCAAAATAAAGTAAACAATTACTCTTAACATAATGAAAAAAAAGATGGATAACTAATGCAAACTTAAGCTGAAAATAAAATTTTGTTGGTATTTCATTAAACAGAGAAAAAATAACCTTAGCACCAGATATTCAGGATTGTTCAAGGAGCTAACAATTTGAAAAAAAGCATTTCAGTATGGCCTGTCATGAATGAGACGACAGAAGTTGAATTCAGCTGTCCACTGCCGCTTCTGATAGGAACATTAAATGTACAGTCTATTTAGGTTTTCGAGTTGTAAATTTACTAATTGGATAATTATGATTAAACTAGATTCACGAAAGTCATCTGTGTAAATAAATAAAAACGGAATGTGAGTTAATGTAGCTGGCGAACCTAACTGCCATGTATGCTTAACACAATGAAATCGAAGATGAAACAAGTGTACTGGCACAAATACGGAGTATTTTGAAGGGAATAAGGATGTGATTCATAACCTCAATGTGATTTATTCAAAAGATTAATATTGTTGACTACGACATAAAAATGACAGTGTCAAATTCGAAAAAGTATATAAATCATTACTCATTGTTTCTTCTTTCCTTTAAGTATTCATTTGATGAACTTGATGAAAAGGGTAAAATGGAACTAGCTTTTGTACTAGTCTACGACGAACAGTAACTACCATGTAAGAATTAATGAGAGAAGCAATCCAACTGTCAATACTTTGTATATGCAAAGTAGGATTTAAAGCTACAGCTCAAATTATGTTTACACCCAAATGAAATGTTTCTATAAAGTGAATTATTTTTGAAACAGTTTAACATTGTGATGGAGTTTTATTCTTTGAGCTGGATGTCTTAGTTGTGAAAGTTCCACAACTAAAACATCACAACTTTCAATACAAATGTCAAGACAGTTCTACTGTATGTGGCGGAAACTTGGAAAACTACCAAAGCCATCATCCAGAAGATACAAGTATTCATTAACAGTTGTCTACACAAAGTACTTCAATATCCGTTGGCCAGACACCATCAACAACAACCTACTGTAGGAGAGAACAAACCAAATTCCAGTGGAGGAGGAAATCAAGGAGAAGCGATAGAAGTAGATAGGACACACTGCGAAAAGCACCCAACTGCGTCACAAGATAAACCTTCACTTGGAACTCTCAAGGTAAAAGGAAAAAAGGAAGGCTAAGAAACACATTAACCAAGAAATAGAGAAAGATATGAGAAGGAGGCAATAGATGTTCACAATTTGCATAAAAAAAAGAGAATAATAATTTCATTCAATTCGATTTCATTATAAAATTTTCTTATTCTAGTTGAATGGAATATGGAAAAGTGTACAGTTATTTAGTTTATTCAATAATTAGGTATACACTTATGAATTTAATTCATTTATGAAGCATAATTTCAATGAGTCAAATTGAAGAAACAATTTTTACTGAATATTAAACTTTTTAAAAAATGTTAATATTAATTATTATTACTTAAGTATGGATTTAATCTTATCCTTTTCTAAGAAAAAAAAGAACCTATTATTTAGAAGTCATTGCAACCAATCAAGTGGTAATCGAAACTTTCCTTTAAAAAAAAACTAGGTAAAATATAGTTAAGTTATGGATCCTATCAAAAAGATATGGTGTCATCGACCAGTGGAAAATGAACCGGTGAAAATTAGAGACAGTTGTTTCGTTCCATAGTTTGTGACTGTTGGGTAAACTTTCGATTCACACAACTATGAAATATTACGTCTCACGGTAACCGTACGATACTTATAATAAACCGTACTCAGTCGATACATGATAGCTTCTGTGTCCATTTTTAATCAGTAATCATGATATACGTGAAGCGATTCTTGTCCTATGTAATCACCTATCTTACTTTCATAATAATTAACTTCATCGGCCAAAACTCAGTCTTTGGGAATTTCACATTTCCAAACCAATCATATATATATATAGACAGACAGATACAACGCAGAACTTCGTACGTAAGTACATCAGTTCAAGTTGCCATACTACATCAGCACAGAGACGCAACTGTCAGTTCAAATACAAGAGTCATAGCAATAATAGAAGTATTAGCAGTAATGGAGAAGATTAGGGAGCGAAGATATGATTCGGGAAGTATACTTCAGTAAGATAAATTTAGAAAGAGAAAGGTAGAGATTATAAGGAATGCAGAAACTTAGAATTTCATAGGACACAAAGAGTGGATGCACCTGCGCCATTCCAAACGATTCTGAGCCATGTCGTCCAAGGTCTCTAACCATCGATTACTATCGTCTCGCGGACCCCAACCAGGTAGCCTACATCTACCAACATGACTCAGTTCACTTGTCAGTGACTTCATGGATTTCTGCCATGTTTTGGTCTGGCCGCCCCTAGCTTCCTCCCAACTTACTCCTACACCAAAAAACATAGCTCGGCGAGGCAGTCAGTGGTTAGGCATGCGTAACACATGTCTCAACCACCTTAACTGATGAAGTTTCAATACTTCATCAACTGATTTGCTATCCTTACCTAGAACTCGTTTCCTAACGATAGCATTGCTTACTCGGTCGTCCCAGGATACACGAGCAATGCTTCGGAGACATCGATGATCAAAGACTAGTAACCTACGGAAGTCCTCTACTCTTAACGGCCAAGTCTCGCACCCGTACAGTAGGACGGAGCGAACTGCAGCACTCGTCCTTTGGTTAGCGAATGGATATCTCGCCTGCGCCGCAGATGATCCAGGTTGGCAAAAGCCAATCGAGCCTTCTGTATCCGAGCTGAGATTCCGTCAGTCACCAGGCCATCAGCAGTGATGAGACTCCCCAGGTAAGTGAATCGGTCTACACGTTCCACAGTGTGGGCAGCCGGGAAGTGACAACCGTCCTCATACCCGTAACAGCACACGAGACCTAATTTGATGAAACAGCTGCATAGTATTTGGTCTGGTTTTCAATGAAAAAACGTCAGCTAAAAAATACCTATTATTATAATATGATCTATTGCGCGTTTTTAAGTGTATCAAATTGATTCTAACGCATTAACCTGGTAATGATTAATTGTTTCATAATTAGAACAGTGTAATTACTAGGTGTCCAATTTATTAGGAACATCTACAATCATGAAGATGTCATTAATAAAATATAGAATTTTATATTGTTTCAATTGATTGATAACTGATTGAAAACTTGAAATAACACACAAACTCCGTAAAATATAGGACCAAAGAAAGATAGTAGACATCAATTCTATCAAAATAAACATAACAACGAAATAACCTAATTTAATTAATTTACTAAATACAAGTGTTTATTGCATACTTAGTTTCCAAAGGAAATTGAAAAAGTGAACACAAATGATACTCTCTCTTTGGTTTCCCAAAGTAAAGCAGGTTGAACGAGGTTTAAATCTACAGCTGCTAACGGGTCTCCAGTTCTACTAAAATGTTTGAAATGAAATGAATAAGCCATAAATAGCTATTTAAGTTAGATGTCATTCCAAACAAGTGCGAACAAGAAGAAACCAATGACAGTCAATGCGAAAAATGTATACACCTATTGCCTAAACATATATGTGTATACATATGTACATTCTTATTAAAGTGTCAAATTTCGTATCACAGATCCGATCAGTGAGTGTGTCATCATCATTTCATGCAGTAACTCGAGAAAATAAATAAAATTTTCTACATGAAAAACACCACGGAGTAACAAACAACCATACAAGCTCAATAAGTGTATTCATACAGTCGACAAGAATTCTTAACATCATCATAATTTTGACGGCACACACATACACACACCCACACAGATACAGAGGGTGATTTCTATTTTATTTCACCTTTATCTGATTCTATGTGTTCGGATATTGTTTTTGTTGACATTTTCTCCTGTAATGATGGTCGCTGCATTGTACCTTCAATAACAAGTGTAGTTTCTGATTCAGGTTTACTTGATGTAGCTTCGGTTTCATCAGACAACTGATGTGTGCACTCAGACTGTTCAGGTAGCAATTCTTCATGTTTTTCTCTAGTTGATACTTTGCTTCTAGTGGTACCATCACATGGTATATCGCAATCGGCACCTTTGCCCCATGTAGCTTCAAGTTCACCACATCTTTGATAATGATGTGCGCAAATCTTCTCTTCATTTGGTTCGTCTGAGGCAGTTTTACAAACTTGTTGTTCATGTCTTTTATCTACATGCAATCCACTAGTATCACAAGATGAAACATCTTGATCTGCAGCTTTACCCCATGTAGCCTCAAGTTCACCACATCTTTGATAGTGATGTGCGCAAATTTCTTCTTCACATGACTTATGATGATGATGATCTGAAGGTTGTTGTTCATCATCTGCCTTATCAATCAATGGTTGACTTTTTATCGACTGTACATTCTCAGTCAATTTGTCACTAGGATGAGATGAAGAATCACTAAATAACTGTTTTTGATGTTTAATGACAATATGCTTTTCTGTATCAGGCCGTGAATCCGATTCCACATCACTGGAGACTGTGAAGTAAAAAAAAGGGGAAAAGAAAACAAAAGTCAAGCAACCGACAATAAAGAGAAAGCATGTAAAGAGATTCACCGAAACAATCAATTAAAAAGAATGCGAATAACAAATAACAATCATTGATGAGAAGTATTGGAGATTTTCAACCTCTGAATAATGAAAACACAAACGAAATCGAAACTATATGTGTTGACAACGAATTTATGACATCATTAAAATCAATGAAGGCAGAGTGAAAACAGCTCTAAATAGTATTTAATTCATATATGGTTTAAGGTTTCATCAAAATGTTGACTACATAAAATACATATTGACTGATAAGTAGATAAGACTTCTGATAACAGGAATTAATCATTCAAGTGTGACCGCTTTTGCGAGTCTAATTCATTTGACTTGATCAGCTTAGGTAGCTGTTTGAAAAAAGTTCTACACTGATGGTTGAATTGCACTTTAGTGTGTAGAGAAGAGTGTTATAGCTCAAAATCTTTGAGGTCTGAGGTATTTAATGTGCTAGGATTTGAAAACACTTGATTGAAGAAAACTACCTCATTAATTTCTATATTTTTTTTGTAAACAAAATATTCCGGTCAAAGGCTTTAAATTTCATTTTAAACAAAAAAAAAAGGAATCAATCATATTCTATGCGTGTTAGAGCATTGATCTCTATGTATAATGAAGAATGAAACAAACCGAGTCCATAGCATTTTGTCAAAATAGGCAAACGCCTAAATTATAATAATTAAATTTTATCAAGAAAATTATTAAGAGGAGAAAACAAACGAAACAAAACAAAACAAACTGAACAGATCAGCTTAGATAGCGCTATTTTAAATGAGCTCAATCTATCATCCAATCACTCAGTTGTATGATATATAATTCAACAAAAAAAAACAAAGCGTTATAATTTTTTGCATAAATAGGACATTATTGGTGTAGGAAAAAAAGGACAATAATAAATAATCATAATTAATTATCACCATAGAACATGTATGCGCATGTAAATAAAAAAACAAATAATTAGATTACAACAATATATATAACAGAAAATAAACAATACAAGCACAATTTTAAGAAAAAAAAACAGTTAAACTTGCCTAGCAGAAGTGTTAGCAATACCATGGACAATGGTCAACAGTTGAATTATATGAATAGATATATATGTATATAGATAGATATATGTAAATGTGCGTATATAAGTACTTTGGTTATTAACTGAATTGAATTGAACACGTAGCCTCCATAGCGAAATTGACACCAGCACCGGAAGATGTATTCATACGTATAATGCAGTATGTATTTATATACATATATTTATACATATACACAAATCTGCACGTGTAAGAGTAAATGTGCAAAACTACAAATATATATATATATAGATAGATAGATATATAAACAGTTTAACAGTGTGAGACATTTTACAAACGCACATGTGAGCAAACATACACTCATACAGCACAAAAAAATATTCACATGTTTAATGATTACCAACATGAAGTTGAAAATCAATCCTTTTTTCTCATATGGAATTACACAAATGATGATGATGATGACGAAGATAATGATAGCAATTACAATAATAGCAGAGATAATGATGAAAACTATGAATAAAAACCAGCATATCTACATAGATATATATATATGTATAGATAGATAGATAGATAGATAGATAGATAGATATAGCTGGTGTTCAACAACGTATAACAGACAACAGAAATATAAACATGTATATATGTGTACATATGTTAACGAAATTATTAATTAATTAATTAATTATCCATTTTGTTAGCTAACAAAAAAAAACAATCTAATTAAGCTAAACTACTTTACAACAGAGAAAAATGAGCAAAAAACAAATAGACTAAACAAAACAAACAAACAAACAAACAACTGTGTTTATGCTTCTTCTTCTTAAAAAACAAAAATACCTGTCTACATTGTTATATGAATAAATAAATCATCTATTGTACAAGGAAGGCTATTTATTCGTGAATAACAAAAATAATCTCTACTTCATAACCAAAACAACATAGTCATGTTCGCATTTATGTCTTCATTTAGATGAATGAATGAAAAAGTTATACATATGTTTATATAACTCAAAAACACACTCACCTAATTTTATTGACAATTTCATTCGTATTACAGAAAATAAAGTCAAAGAAAATATATGATATGAGAGTAGAAAAAAGAGTAAGCACATAGAAAATATATACATATATATATATATATATATATATATATATATATATATATATATACATATTTATATCAAGAGCATTTCAATGAGAAATAATATTCATCATCATCATCATCATAATCAACAGCAGCATAAGTTCAGGTTGTCATACGTCATCAGTACAATGGCACAACTGTCAGTTCAAATCCCATAATGACAGAGATAGTAGAAGAATTACTGGTAATGGCGAATAATAGCGATCGAAGATATTAATCAAGAAGTATAATTCAGTGAGGTAAATTTAGAAAGAGAAAGATAGACGATATGAGGAATTCAGAAGGTTAAGACTTGCGGGAACGCAAAGAATGTATGCACCTGCGCCAATGCAAACGGTTTTGAGCCATGTCGCATTCAGGATCTCTAACCATCGATTACTATCATCTCACGGACCCCAAACAAACAGTCGAAGAAATCATATTGTGAATGTTTGTTTTAGTGAACTGTTGATTTTATTGGATAATTCGCGAAAAAAAAGCATATTATTCTTTCTATTCAGCAAACGTATGCATTTCTATCAAAATTATTTGCAGAACTCATATGATGGTTGAAGAATTTAGTTTATCGAAAAGACTTTCGATTTTCGGTCACTAAATCACATATTCAAATCTCATTGCACTTAGTTCGGTTCAGGTAACAGATTGGTATACCTAGCTCTAACGTTTAACGTGTGACTAGACGAATCTCTATCGCGTAGTAAGTGAATAGCAATGAATAATTTTGACTGTATATGTTGAATAGCAGATTTTAAGAAAAACAAATCAAACAACTACATTGACAAGGAAGAATATATGTTTACAGATGGTTGGTTTAGTAGCTAAAAGGCAAACTCGGCATTCAATCAAGAAGTAGCGTAAGTTCAAACACTACTCCACTTGATTCAATTTCAACAGCCATGAAATAAATAATCACTAGTCTATATAGAAGCACGCAAAGAAAAAGGATCGTTCAAATTCTAAATATTTACTTAGCAAATGAGCTATAATAATTACTTACAAAAAAAATCAGCTTGAAAACACTACGTTTTACATTGGATTTTTAACTGGTTTTAGCGAAAACGACTGAAAATTATTATTTCTATAGAAGACATTTGATTAGCTGATCAAAATATAATTTACAAATAATCTGGTTTAATTTATTTTATTCCGTGCATATCTACATACATTCATACAAGATTTATGAGTGTGTCAGAGAGAATTCAGTATTAGAGTTTAACAGTGCAGTTAAATAACCAGTGAAAGTTGAATCTTGTCACTAATAAATTAAACTACTACACTATCACACTAACAAGCATATTAGCAGGAATATAACATAAAATTTAAAACGCAATTATAACTACAAACCTCATTACAATGAACGATTAACATAACCCATTAAATATCAGTGTAGAGCTATGTCTAAATCAAATTTAACGATTTACTTACCATCTGGATAAACATTTGGTGAATTATTATCTTTTCCAATTTGTGTATTAATATAGTCTGTATGACTTGGTTGAACAGTGCGAATATTTTGAGTGGGAACCACTATTTCTTCATCGACCGGAGCTATTACGGCAATGAAACAAACGTTTAAAAACATAAACTACAGTCAGATGGGGAGCAAGCAATGAAAAGCATTCTATGCATTCATGAAAAAACAACAACAAAAAAGACGATATAATTACGTTCAGTGGTTTCTAGTTTTCAATTCTCGTCTAATACTCAGGTTGATCTGCGTTGCAGAATGAAATATAACTGAAAAAATTTATGATTATTGTTATTATCAGAACTGGAGATTGTTTTGTTTAAAAAATGGTTGAAATAACTGAATTTGTAGTATCGTGGATTGATTGAAGTGAAACATTAACACCGTCAGATATCTGCTCAGTGGTCTAGGAACTAAGTGTTCACGCGCTAGACTGAATGTTCTATGTTCGGCTCCTGCTTACAGGGTTGTGGATGTGCACTGCTGATGAGTTTCATACTAGAACGAAACGGTTGTCGTGTATACAGGTTTCTAATGGTGGTCTAACGTTAATCGATTCATGATTCCCATGAGACTGAGTTCAAAATTAGGAAGGGTAAAATTATTGTTCTCCAGTTTTCAATCATTGTCTATCTAAAACTAACCTGCAATGTCAATTAAACCATGAGTGTTATCATAATTTGTCACTGTGTACCCTTTTTTGGACTGCACAAAATGAAATTTTAACTAATTATATCGTGTAACATTAATTGGAACAAAGTAAAAATAGTGAATTGTTTCAATGTAGCTTGGGAATCATAAGAATTGGGCAACGATGATCAAACCCAAGAGTGTAAGGTCTTTAAAATAACATGAGAAGCATTTAAATCATTGAGATGACATCCAATAATGTACATCTTTACCTTTAATGAAGAAAAAGGAAAGAAAAATTACATAATGCTCCTTGATTTTCAACTGTACTTTAACTGGATAAAGTCAATTCCTAATGATGTCTGTCTTCAGACAGGAAATCTCGGATTTAGGTTTAGGACAAGTTAGCAATCTTTATCAATTGGTATCTGTAACTTTAGGCAAATTAACTTACAGTATGACTGAAATATTCAAAATTGATTGATCACTAAGTAGCGGTCAATCTCACGCTTACTAGTACTGATCGGATTCCATTAATCAAATTGCAATGTGTCTATCAATCTATGTAACTCGACATTACATCCACTATTTTTTGATGATAGGGCAACTGAACGTTCTCGGTAACTTCATCGTAGTTGTCAATCCTCAGTAGGATGGACCTTTAAACTTGAAGGAACTGATCATGGACTTGGGACAAATGTTTATCTTTCCAAAGTATGAAGTCACATCATATGTATAATCTGTACTAAGTTCAAAAGTCCCGTCGACTGTCTTTAACTGTTTAAAATTGAGTCGAAGGTGTAGTAACCAGACATAATTAAAATCAGTGAATTAGTAATTGATGAAGATTAAATCTATTTGTGCAAAAATAGCAATTGTTGTTGAATAGGTAAGAAGCTGAACTAGCGGTTAGTGCTGATAATCAAGTTAGAATACAAACAGTAACTCGAAGACGATAATACGAATTGTTAGTCTTAAGCTTATTTTTTACTTTAAAATCTATTTATCTATATATCTAGTATTTATCTACTTCCGATATTGAACTACTGACGACTGGAACTTTTATTATTCTTTTATTCTAATCACTCAAACTGATACATACTTGTCTTCTTACTATGAATTTGTATTTGTATTTGTTTACCTAATACAATTTATTTCGTTGAGACGAATGACTCAGAAATTACATTGATTAGTTTATTATTTACATATAACTATGTGTGTGTATTGATCAGTCAACTGAATTCGTCCATTTAATGATATTAACGTGCATATTGTTCATTAAAAAATTTATGACGGTTCTTCTAGGTTCGAATCCATGAATAGTGATAAATGTATATAAGTTAGTTATGGCCAGAAAATTATTGAAGTAGTCTATTGAATAATATCAGTCAGTTATAACAAAAGATGATTGCGTGACAATAATGTATTCCTAATTTACCATTTAAATAAAATGACAAATGTTTTTCAAAAACTTACGTTCAGTAGAATTAGAATTCACTTTATCATCATCTTCTACAGACAATGAACGTTGATTATCTGCTAGAATATGTTCAACGCCTTTTAATACATCATATTTGTCTTCATGAACACCACTACCACCACCGACATTATTATCTTTAGAAGTTGATTTTTCCAGCGATGGTATTGATTTTGAATAAGCTCGACCAGTGGTCACAATGACTGGTTGTATTATTTCTTCTTCATCGTCAGGTTGATTAGAATTATCTTCATTACTGGACATAGGCAATGTATGAATTGTGGATGAAATTGTTTTTGTAATGACTGGTGTTGTTGATATGAGTGTAGTCGAACCGATTTGTGTATTGTAACCTGTATCAATTGATTCACTTAAACCACCACTGCCTTCTTTTGAATGAGATCGATCTTCACGATTAATATTTAAATTAGGCGAAACGGCTATTTAAAATAAAAGTGATCACAATCAATAATTCCTAGTCTGGCATAAAATGATAGCGAATAAGACTTAAAAAATTTAGGTTAATTAATAATGTAACAACTGTCAAAGAAAATCTAACACAAAATATAAAGAGAACGCCAAACGTATACACCAATAGGACTGAAAGATGGTCATTAGATATCTAGAATCCATCAAAGTTTGCCATGAAACTAAACTTAATTGCTGGTCGTGGTTCCGTTGTTTGATGGAAGGCTAAACAAGAAGTACCCATAGCATATTGATTTCTAGAGGTACGATCTTTGTCATAACTCATTTCATGTGCACAATCTACGGAAATAAAATTGCACAGAACATCGCTATTATGTATTATCATGTGTTTAAGAAATCAAAACTTCTAAGTATGTTTCACTTTCATAATCAATTTTATCATATAGGTAGTTTTGAAACATTTTCAGTAATAAACAGATACTCTTCTTATAGTTTTAAAATAGCGCGGAAGATTAGCAACCTAGACGGATGACTTCTTAGTACAATTTTATTCAATGACTAAACTAACTACATCAAAAAATCACTTGTTTATTTATTTCGCTTGTCCAATACATTTTAATGGGAATATCTCTGGGCTCAAATTAGGTGTAGTCCAAGAAACAGGTTTAATACCAACGAGCAAAATCAATCAATACTCATAAAAAAAGACTCCTACTCTAACAATCTGATAGTAGACCTGTATTGACTAACCGAAGCTCTATTTACCTATGGTTTTTGTAACATGTCTGCAAGAAGAATTATACAGGTTATATTCTAAATGAATGTTGTTGACAGTTTCAAACATGCAATCGACACTGGATTCACTGAAATCATTTTGGTTAAAGATTCACTGAATCCACTCCTGTCATGTCAGGATATGATTTCACATATTGATTATTTTTATACCTAATTTTTATGTATTTTCAGTTTTTGTACAATATTTATGAACAAATGACTTGCAATTCCTTTCATTATGTCACAGATTTCACGACAAAAAATACATTCTAATACATAAATATTTTATGAATGAATAATTAGTCTGAAAATAATATACTTATCGATTGTGCAATATTGTAGGTAAAGTTGCCATTAAGCTAAGTAAATTTTTTTCTCCAGATTTCAGCCAATAAGAGAAGGACTAACTAATTGGTTCAACTGTTTCAATAACTAAACGAGCACATAAGTAATCAAATAGGCAGATTTTAAAAGCGGTATACATATACCAGTATGCATATACCAACTTCCTCATACATCCAGTAAAGTGAACCAGACAAAATCTAAATTACATGCATAGTACACAATTAAAAATCATGGAATTTTGTTTGAACGCTTATCGAAATTCGTATTCACCTTTTAAAATATCTGTTTAAATCAATTGCATAAACTAAAATACATAACTTCAAATAAATAACTTTAAATGCAATAAAATTACAACTAACAAGAGATACCATTCAATGAACGTAAAGCAGTGATTCGTTCATCAGCTGTTATTACAGGAGAAATATTAGTCATACAATGTTCTAATATATCTTTACGACCAATAGCTTGTAATGCTTCGGCCAGTTGTGTACCTAAATAGAAAGATAGAATAATAGGAATTAATTGACTATTAAATATATATGTAGACGCATTTTTATAATGAGTGAAAGAGGGGATAAGAATTGTAAATAAAATATTTAAATAATTTTTATATTAGAAACACTTAACAATACACACATTTTAAGTCGTGAAGGAGCATCATTCTCGTTAGGGTTTCAGATAGGTATTGCTAATAATTACAACAGAAAACATGAAATGTAAATCAGATCACATCAATATTGAGCACTTACATTCTCTAATAGAATCAAGTGTAGACTATCGAGACATTATTACCATCACTGTAACGCCTTCATAATACTGGTCAGCGTTTTGTTTAGCGAGTTAGTTTTTGTGGGATGGGGTCGCCAACCCCATGTCCAACCCTCTTTTTTATCCGGGCTTGGGATCGGCTGTAGCCCCAGAGAGGCTCATAATATCCAATCGGACAAGTTGTTAAACTGAGTCAATCCACGATGTGATGTGACGCTCTTACAATGTTTTCAATGATGACTATCTCGCTTCTACTCTTGTAAAATCCACAGGCCAAAAACATATAATTCATTAGAACTTCGAGAAATGTGTAGCAAAATTATTCAAGATTATTATTTCATTGGGTGAAAATAACAGAAAATTTAACTAATTATACTCAATGACACGTACTTATTTCCTTCATATTTGTTCAATAATAGTTTGCTCTTACTTTACAAAAATTTACATTTGAGAACAATTATCAAGTAGCTGTGATATCATATAACCATTTTTGTGCTAAAATCAAGAACAAATGTATGTCTATATTGTGGTTAGAAATGAAATGCAAGATGTGTATTATGTTCTACTCTGTACTCCTCACCATTGAATGTACCTGCATTCGATTGGTGATCGTAACTAGGCTTGAGATTTGAAGTTATTGTAATTGGAAAATATAAGCAACTTATGACTACAGGTGATACATATATATATATATATATATATATATATATATATATATATATACTGAAAAGGTGATGACTGTTATTAAAAACAAGGAACATTACGTAATGTCAACGCTTTCGCAGAAGAAAATGGAAATTATTCACACAGAATTGGTTAAAATGTAGATATTTAAGCTCTAAGAAATCGGGTTTTGTGTTATGTTGGTCAATAATTTAAGCCTGATAATTAATTAGGTGTCTTAGTTTCATTATAGATGAATGACCTAGAAAACTTATATTTTTGGATTATTATTGGTACTTTGTACGTGATATTTGACCATGCTATTTTCCAAATATTCACAGAACCTAATTGCTCCAACCGAATTACATATAGAGTGGGATTCGAATCAGCTACTGTGTGAATGAAAGTCAAGGAATTCCGCAACTGAAATATCGTTCTACTTACTTCAACTATTGTATGTCATTCACAAAAGACACATATTATGCTTAATTAACAATTTAACTTACCCGAAGTCAACTCATTCCCATTACGTTCTTGCCATAATAATAAACTAGTATAAGCATATTCTTCTTCAGGACGATTAGGCAAAGAAGTAATATTATACTGATCTTCATCCGATAAGCCTAAACATTGAGCTAATATTCTCCAATCCGATTTTAAATGATAAGCAACTTGTCGTAAATCAAGCTCAGATTTAGCTAATGGTTCATCATAATGATCTTTATAATAAAGAAGAAAAAAGCATAAGTAAAAGTCAGTATAGATGATTAATGTACATACCAATGAAGCTCTTTTTTTTCTTATATGTAAGACCAAATCGATATCAATCGACTGTTCCTACCGGGACATTAGAAAAAAAGAAACTGAACAGCTTAAACACTAGATTACCACACATCAGTCCACCTACTCAAATTTCATTCACTTTTCTCAACTTTAAAACCAAGATAAATGATTAAAAGCTATTCATTAACATACTGTTTCTCCATTACATGCTTAAATATTTGCATGAAAACTGATTATCTAACTGATGATTGACTTAGTTCAAAAAAAATATCGTAACATTCTATTGTTGATAATTTTAGAAAATCTAAAATGCTGATAGTGCTGTTGATTGACGAAATTATCATTATTTTTTTCTAAATCACACTTATTCTAGTGTAAAATTCATTAAAATTAGGGATATATATAGAGAAATACATTCAAGCAATAGTGTGTGATTTTTATTCACAAAAATAAAGTGTCAATTAATTATTGTTATTTTTTGAAAAAAAAATGCAAATCTCAGTGAATAGTAAACACTAACACAATATTCATATGAGAATACACGCTATAGTTTTCAACATGATTTCAGGATAATGGTGAAAATAATTATAATTTTCGATGATATCGCAATCAGTAGAAAAAATGTAAGTCATTCTCAGTCAACATCAATAAACAAATAACTGAAATAAATTAACACAAGTTAAATTAGTAACAAGGGAAATAAAGCAAACATAACGCCCCATACGCGGGAATCGACCCCACGATCTCTAGTATGGTGTGCGAACGCCTAACGTCTAGACTACTGAGCCAGCATCCATCAGTGTTAATATCTAACTTCAATCAACCCACGGTATTGAGCAACCTTATCCATTGTATCTGGTGGGTAGCTCCCCCACACCGGATACATTGGTGCATTGTTGATGAGTCCCATACTAAGACGAAACGGCCGTCCACTGCCTTCAGGTTTCTAATGCTGATCCGACAATGATCGATTGATGATTTTAATGAAACTATACGAAATGTTTCGGCTGCTCGCCACTATCTACGAACGTAAATGCGTTTTTGAATTACTTTGATGTTGTTAATATCTATTAGGTGGTTATGTGAAATAGTATGTACAGCTATTGTCGATGTACTTTCTACATCTTCCAGCTCCACAGGATTATTAAGAAATTCTTTTTGTGTAACTTAAATGTTCGTTGGCAGGAGTCGGGACTTCACCAGATGACTCTAATGTCGAACGCTTCACAATCGACACAACGTGACCTGTAGACACAATTTTACAAAGGATCTTATCTTAAATTGACATAAATCAATTGATTATAATCAAAATAAACGTTTCCATATCAAATCAGAGCAATGAAATCAAATCAACCACAGTCTAAATAGTAGTAGTAACAGAAATAGTGAAGAGTGAGTATTAAAAGTATGGTTCGAGAAGGAATGGGAGGTTATGTGTAGAGGAATATAGAGACTCTAAGTCTAGAGGAAGATAAGAGCCAGTGTGAACTATCCCGAGCCATATCACCTAATGTCTTCAACCAATGATCACTCGAATCCCGATCGAATAGTCTACATTTACTGCCAATAATCAGTTTATCGGTTAATGATTTAACAAACTTATTTAACGTTTTCATTTGTTTGCTTATTAATTCTGTTCCAAACTACTCTTACCCTACTCAATGTTGAAGATAAAGACAGGCAGTGGCTTGGTATACGCAACAAATATGCTAAGATAATAATCAACCAAAGTCTATAACCTCATTGACCAAAAAGTGAGTAAATCAAACAACTCTTTGGAAAGTTTTTGAGAATTAACTGTAGTCTACTTCAGGTAAATTAACAACTTTGTGATGCAACTTAAACACTGTGCATAAACAGATGAGTTTACATCCCTTTCAATGTAAAATTTGTACTCACCTTGTTTTGCCCAAGTTTGCGGCAAAGATTCATTGTATGTAATGTATTGATCACCATTTTGGTTAGATTCCGGAATATAAGACGGAATATCATCAATATCAGTTGTTTTTAAAACACCACCAGCCATGTAATCAGTAAATTCATTTGGTAATCTAGCTTCTAGAACTGTTGCCGGTTTTACAAGCGACCTATATATGAATAAAAAGAGATTTTTATAGGTAGAGATAGGTAAATCTTGAGTGAATAGAACAAAAAACAACATTTTTGTAGGAATAAAAGGTAAATAAGTGTGGGCGACCTATGAACGGATGATTGACAATATTGATCAATAATCGAAACTGTGGCAGACTAATATCTATGAACTTATCAGCTACAGATTCATGTACTCAGCTCAAAGCCGCATTATGACTGATACTATACGGTTGTCGAAGCGGAAAATAGGTGCATCGGGGACTACATTGGCTACCTAATGACTGAAAATCGAACCCCTTAATTAGTAAATCACTATCTTACAAGTAATGTGTACGGCACATTGAGTTGACAAAGAGATTAACATTCTAGTGCTTAAGATAACTTTGATCGTTGTTATAATAGAATGCCGTACAGAACTTATGCACAATCAAGCTTATTATCACATACAATTCAAATCAAACTTGAAGGTATAAAAACCGTAATGTATACCAAACCAATTAGTAATAACACAGAAAAATTACTCAGAAATAAACAAGAATCAACTTGCAAGCAGACAATTCATTTGACACAGAAAAAAGGCTGATCAAACAAACTTTACTTTGATAAACATTGATATACTGGTTCAGTATTCATATAATAAACTGCTTAATAGTGTCTACAAAATAAACCCCTTACATCAAATACACACATACATACAACCAAAATGATGAGATATATGATTCATATTAAAACTACACGTATCACATTACAACAAAGTAGTAGTCAGTTAGTTAGGATAAACAAATAACCTAAGATAAAATAGTTATTGATATTATTGTTGAAAGTAATTGTGATGAAAATTTTATTCTTCTATTCAGTCATAACCAACGTAGAAAATGTCACAGATTTTCGTTCGCTCATATTGTCACATCACAACAACGCAATGAAATAAGCTTAACAGGACGAATAGTAAAACAGGTCAAAATATTAGTTGTAGCAGCAATGATAATGACAAATGCTAAACATTCAAAATGTTACACGAAAAGATAGAATCAAAAGGTTTTGCTTTAGAAAAAATGCAACTCACGATCAACTCAACAGGGATATAAATAACGAGTGCATCTGATTCATGTCATAAAACGTCTCTAAACAATGATCGCGGTTAACTCACAAGTTCCAACCAATTAATCGGCATCCATTAACATAGCTACGAATAACCAGTCTACAATTTCGTCGACTGATGCCACATTTTTGTTTAACAACCCCTTAGATATCTTCCAAACTACTTCGGCACTAACAAAGATGAGTAGCACAAATCCTGTTCCCTCGTCGAGTAAACGAAGACTGACAACCTTATCAACAGCTTTTACACATTTGCTTTAAAGTAATTTCTGTTATTTATCGTGATATGGATTGATATTTGTTTAGTATAGAATTCTTTTTTAAGTAATAATTATTTAAATGCGTATATCATCACTGTCAGTCAGTTGCAACGTAGAACTTCGTACGTATGTACATAAGTTCATGTTGCCATACCACATTAGCACAGAGACGCAAATGTCAAATCAAATCTCATAGTGATAAAGATAGTAGAGGTATTAATGGTAATGAACAAGACCAGGGTTCGAAGATATTATTCAAGAAGTATAATTCAGTGAGATAAGGTTAGAAAGACAAATGTAGAGGTGCTGACGAATCCAGAAGATTAGGATTTGAGAGAGCTGAAACAATGGATGCACTTGCGCCATTGCAAACGGTTTTGAGTCATGTCCTTCAAGGTCTCTAACCATTGGTGACTTTCGTCTCGCGGACTCCAACCAGGTAGTCGACATCTACAAACATGACTCAGTCCACTAGTCAGTGACTTCATGGATTTGTGCCATGTTTTGGTCTGGCCGCCCCTAGCTTTCTTCCAACCTACTCCTACACCACAAAACATAGCTCGTCGAGGCAGTCGGTGGTTAGGCATTCGTAACACATGTGATGGTAATTTGTGCATAAAAAAAGTGCGATTTTCTTTACAAGATATATTCTTCACAATTACACATAAGGTTCCGTCTTCCTATTGTCTTTTTAGTGGTTTGCTCAGTCAAAAGTTTAAGCATAATGTTAACAGGTGATTACGTTGTATCCGCTGACACACTGTAGTTACTCTTGTGTTAATATTCTTAAGTTATAAAAAATAGGAAAGATTAGAGAAGATCTATAATATCTTAGAAGAAAATTATAGTCCCTAAACACTCAAGATATAAGCTGAGAAATAGTCATTAAGTTATTATCAATAATACTTAGCCCAAAAAATGGGACGTTTTTCTCTTCCCGGAATTATAAAACAATAATAATCAGTTTCTTTTTCTCTCTCCCTCTACAAAACACTTGACACTAACTCACTCACCAAGAAGCCAATCAAGGATGTTGAACAAATCAATATCCACACATAAAAAATAGCAATTATAAATTCAAGAGATAAACAAATAAAAAAATAGTAATAATTATCAATGATAAGATCATAATCAATAATGATAGTAGTTTTATTCATCATTATAATCAATATAATTGTCGTACCCATTATTTTACTGTGAGATGATATGATTTAACCAAAATAAGTCATACATAAAATTTTTGTTGTTTGACGGAATAGGAATGAAACGGATGTGTGTGTGTGTGTGTGTAGGATGAATTCATACACAAGTACCAAAAAAGGCATACATCAGTAACATTGAATACGATTTAAAAGAGGTAAGAATAATTGTAAACACTTTTAAAAAAATTAACCATTATTAATAAACGTGAGAATTTGTCGTAAATTTCCAAATGAATTAATTGCATAGATTTTGTTTATTGATTCGTTTTATGTTTCTTAACGAAAAATTAAAATAATTAGTTTTTGTTGACCAGTCAGTCATAATGTAGAACTTCGTACGTAAGTACTAAGAACATTAGTTCAGATTGTCATAACACATTAGCACAGAGAAGCAATTGTCATTACAAATCCCATAATGATAGAGATAGTAGAAGTATTAGCAGTAACCGGAGATATAAGGGTTAGACGATATTATTCAAGAAGTATAGTCCAGTGAAATAAACTCAAGTTGGCAAAAGCCAGTCGAACCTTCTGTATCCGTGCTGAGATTTCGTCAGTCACCAAGCTATGAGCACTGATAAGACTACCGGAATAAGTGAAGCGGTTTACACGCTCGACCACTTCACTTCCCAGAACTAGTTCAAGTGCCAATACAAGCCAACCCTGAAGCGATATTTTGCATTTCGACGGGGAAAACCGCATCCCGAACATGATTGAATCATTGTTTAGGGCAGTCATAAACCTTTGTATTTCGTCAGCGTCTTCACCAAGTGAAACTATGTCATCGGCATATTCTAGGTCAACAAACGAGTCTCCTGGTGGAAGGTTCAAGTTAAGCAAGAATGGAGAAAGTGGATATCCCTGAGAGAAACCAATTGAAGTAATCAATTTTGATAACAGTTCACCACGAGCTCTAACTTGACCAGCAGTGTTCGAGTAGACAACTTGTATAAGGTTAGTGTACTTCTCTGGCACAACTTGACAAACATAGCCACAGAACCTTCACGATCAACAGAGTCAAATGCCACCTTACGATTCAGGAAGACAACTACTGTCGGACGCCTGTGTCTTTGTTCCAGGACAAGACGCAGAGCGAATATATGGTCTATAAAACCATGTCCAGGTCGAAAACCAGTCTGGTTTCCTCTAGTCTGCGCTTCACGAGCTCTAGTTAGGCGTCTAAGTATAATCGATGCTAACAATTCACAAACTACATTAGTTAGACTGATTCCCCTGTGATTGTCACAAGAAGACTTTTTCCTTTTTTATAGATTGGGACAATCAAGGGTTGGGACCAGTCGGATGGAATTACGTCCAGTTCCCAGATTCTACCTAAGATCTCAGTCAATGTAGCTGCTAAAACTGGACCACCATCCTTAAATATCTCGGGAGTCAATCTATCGCGTCCTGCTGCACTCTCTTACTTCAGATTTCCCATAGCCTTTTCAACTTCATAAAGGTTCGGAGGGCTTACGTCGACTTGCCATTCAGGATGACTGGAGATCGTGGGTAACCGAAATGTGGCTGAAGGCGAATTGAACTGATCCCTAAAGTGTTCTGCCCATCGATCCAATCTCCTGGATTGATAATAAGTGATACAACCATCCTTTTCCGAGATAGTCTCACTTACACTAGGATTCCCAATACCAGTTTCCTTGATGAATCTAAATAGTCGTCTAGTGTTGCCTATCGCCGCTGCTTTTCCCATTTGTCTCGCTTTCGCCACCGAACACTGTTCATGGTTGTTGCGTAGGCTTTTTATCAGCCTTTCCTTAAGCTGACTTCGTTCTTCATCATGTTCAGAGCCAGGTGGGATGAGTTTACGAGCGTCTATCAGTTCGGTGGATGCTACTGAGATCCACGGCTTCTCCCTCACTTTGTGGTTTACCATGCTAGCAGATATCACTACCGTCTCTGAGGCTTTTTGGATATCGTCCCAAGCTGCCTCAGGGTGGAATCACTAAAATGACCGTTTAACTGTTTTTCTAAATGTTCCTGAAATATATTCTTAGCTTTATTATCATAAGGTAAAACCCTAAGAGGTTTTCTTGCGGTATCTTTCCCATGTCCAATAAGCCACAAACAAATACGCGTTCGCACTAGAGTATGATCTGAGTCTAAACATGTGACGCAGAAAGAGCGAGTCTACTATCGAGTCCCTTCAACGGTTAACTTTCTGTTGATATGAATGCCAGGATTGTTATTATTTTTTTTATAAAAAGTTAATTTACAAAGCAATGAAAATTACAAGTTAATAAAACATGATAAATTTTAATAAGAAATAATAATTTATGCATTCAGAGAAAAGAAGACAATAGTTTATTTACCCAGCAGATTGTAATACAGCTCGAGGATGACGCATAAATGCTAATTTTCCAACAGCTGGTTGTGACAGATCTTTCACACGTACAATCATATTCAAACGATTCTCACGGAATACATGCATTCCTAATTGTAATTGTTCTTCAGTTTTAGCAACAGGTACTAAATTACCAGCTGTTTCAATCCAATGTGGATGATCATCAAGAACCTATTTAATAGAATGAAGTTTTTTTTGTAAAAAAAAAATGAAATTTAGTAGTGGTAGAATTAGTAGTAATACTTTAAGGTGATAAAGAGAAAATTGTAACTCAAGTATATATAGATGAACCGATTTTTAGTTTTAGAAAAATGAACATTTGAAATAAACATTTATGCAGCTAAAGATTGCATTTATGTGTTCAACGTTAATGAAAAGTTTTTAATAAAAAAAACTGTAAAATCTGCTATAGTTTGTTAGGTTCGATTCATCTCACCATTACTACCACTGGTATTACTACTACTACCACTACTACTGCAATGAACAAAGATGGTAAGACAAGATGGGATCAGTGATTTGTGTGGAGAAGATTCAGTGCACTAGATAAAGTGTGAACGCCTTATCTTCTAACATCCACTAGCAAAACCATCGGGTTATCGACTGTCGTCTGGTCTTCAAAACACTCTGATTGCACCATATATTCGGATCCGACACTCCGTTACATATCTGTATTGTGAGTAGTAAACAGCTCACTACTTACTAATACACTAAATTTAACTATCGCTACTTATCTTATGAATTTCATTTTAACATATCAACTTAATGCACATTAAGTCAGATCAACTTTTTTTATGAATATAAATTTCTATGAGAATTACTAGCAAAAATGAACTTGAAAATGTTGTTTCAATAGAACAAGCGACTAAATGAATAACACGTTACGTGTCTGAGGCCTAAGGTACTAAGAAAGAATCTCACTGTGAATACAAAGGTAAACCTACATAATAACGAATATGTCTTAAACTCTTACTGAAATAAATAAACTTACATTATGAAAGACATTTTAAAAAAAAGAGCTGGAAAGATTTGTAAGAATAAAAAAATTACATTTGCGTCAAATTTCATTCAATCAATTACCTCAATACAAGGTCCGATGGCTATTTGTTGAAATCCTTCTTGCAATTCAAGTGTTTTCTCTGCTGAATCATCAGTAAGGCAAAGACAACGCAATTGGGCTTCTTCGGGATGAAATCTGCGAGCATACACTACAAACTGACCAATATAAGGCACTGCTAATGATTCATGATAAACACGGCTAGCTAATTCAACAACCTCGGTAATATTAGGACAGTCTACAAGCCATAATCTATAATTGTTAAAAGAAAAATACATACAAAGAAAATGAAACCCTAGGATGATTTCAGTAAGACAAATACCATGAATAAATCAAAAGAATCTACTTTGGGAAATAGACGATTATCAATACAATGATAGGTAACGAAGTAAGCTCATAAGGCTTCAATAAACGTATTGTACAAATCAATTAGAAATGTGGTGAAAATCAATTAATCTTGTTCTGAAAAAAAATATAACAACAGTAAATACACATGTATTCCTAGTAGCCACATGTCAATTGATTGAAGTTCACAATATTATCATGGTTATGCAAAAGAGATCGAACTTGGAATCTCTTTAAATTCAGGACTACTAGTAAAAGGTATCTCCACTGTTTAAATAACATGTCCACGATTTCAGAGTTAATTGTCATAATCTTGGTCATAAGAATAAAGTGTCTGAAAGTGGTTGCAAACTCAAGACATAGTTTCTCAAATTGGAAGGTGGTAGACGAGCCTAGATAAGTAGCTTACAACTTTCATTAAGCATAGTGTAATGAACGAACCAAATGAAATACTAGTGTACTTAGAAAAGACACAGTTTACTAACAAATATGCACATCTTATCTTGAGACTTCTACTGTCAAAACAAACAGACAATCACCTATCCTCGTTCATTCTGGTCTTCAAAGCAATTTGATAGCGTCATACAATCGGATCTGACAATCTTCTCTGCGGTCATAATTTCTTGTTGACATTCCATTGCATGCTACTTAGAACTCCCGTTGCGAGTAGTATTCACCCGAATAGCATAAAATTATAAGAATATACACTGTTATTGTTGACTTCTGTAGATTTGAAAAACCAATAAGGTAATATCGTATGACAAGTAATCCGATTATCGAGTTGGTAAATTAGAGATTTGTTTATCAATTTACTAAATTAGTTCATTTACCTTGCAGATACTGTCGATGTAAACGAAACAGACAGATCATGTGCAGATAATGGAGAACTCCCAGTAATATCTTCCCAAACAGCTGGTGATGTCCCACCAGTAATGGAACACAGTAGTCGAAGACTAGGAGAATCGACAGTTGAACGAGATTTTGTGGTAGTATTAGTACCAGAAGATGGCATAGCTGTTTTTGGTAATGGTATTGTTAGGGTAATCGGTTTATGAAATTTACGTCGACGTGGTTCAATTGTTACGATCGGTGATACAGAAACACGTGGACCCAACATTCTTGTCACAAGTTCATGGTCAACTGGATGTACTTGTAGGCCAACACGTATACGTTTCTGTAAAGCACCTTGAGGAAAACGAACATGTACATCTGGTACAACTTTTGATGTTAATGTACCACCTTCTGGACCAATTAAAATTAATTCTTGTTTAATTCGTGTAACAAGCGCAAAATATTGTGGTAGATCATATGTTAAGATACGATGTATTGACTTTTCACGTAATTCTTCAAATGACCCAGCATAATCTAAAATGAAATGTATTTAAACATTTTTTTAAAAATGTAAAAAGATAGTTTGAATTAGAATTCTAACCAAGTAACATTTGGGATACTAGTGTACTTACTGGTGTTCATGTCACTCGAAAAAAAATAGTACGACTATCATAAAAAATAACATTAGTTGAAATACTATCAAACAATAACACTACGGAAAACAATAAATAGATGTAATTTTGACTAATAAGTATTTCAACACTTGAATGGATAACAACTGAATTAAGCAGTGTACGAGTGTTATCAGTTTTGAAGTACAATAACGAGATTTCTGTTACAACAATAACTTTTAGGGTAGGATGTAATAATACAAGAGTCTGAGAGTCAGTTAAGGAAATCATACATAGCGTAACTTTTGGATAATTGAAACTTTTGATTGAGTAATTAATAAGTAGATCTCTTTATATGACATTCCCATATCATTGAATCATTCATGTTTTACCGTTCCTCATAGTCAATTATTCACTCAGTGCTTTACATTGTTTCATTTACATCTTAGTTGTGTTATGATTTATTAGTTGGAGTGATGTAATCAGTGCAGTTAATCTTGTGTTTTTAAAAGAGAGAGAGAGAGAGAATGGCAAAACAATCGATTTTTTTAAATTTCCACTTCTGACTGACCATTGGGGATAAGAGGAAGCAGTGTTTTAAACTAACAAGATTAGAGATTCATGTTATAGGTCATTTGTCTAAATGAACTCGTATTTTATGACCTTTATAATCTTACAACCAGACTTAGTGAACATATATAGAGAGGTTACAAGACTGACATTATGTTTTCATTTAGCTAGTCCTTAAATATAAATAATTTCACAAACATGATAACAATAACATTAGTAGGTAGAAAGCATGCCAAAAAATCACTTTATTAGATATAAATTTAAAGAGTTCAAAATTGATTAACTGTAGCAAGTCCGTTTGATGTATTTTTACTATCAAACAAACAAACAAACAAACGAATTACTGAGAGGACTCACCGAAATGTCCATTTAAAGTGTCTTGAACAGCTTGATCAGTAGCATCTAATGGATGCTCTTTCCATGTTTCACCATTATCTGAACGAAGAATAATAATTTCACGATTTTTCCCATTTAGAAAAGCATAATGTGGTATTTCTAAGAGAATCGGTGAAGCGAATCGTATACCAGTGGGTCCAATTTCAATTAATCTAAGCACCGAATAATCAACAAATAAATAAATGAAATAATAAAAATAAACTACTTTATCATTTAATACTGAAGATATCTGAAACAAAAGGAAGTACTAATGGTATAATATTACACTATATAATGTAACATTTGAATATATACAAATTGTTTAGATCATTTTCTAATGCTTTATCAGTATGAGTTCAAATCTTTTTTTTTCTAATTTAAGAACACATTTGGTTTGATGAAAACTATTTATTTTGACTTGCCGCTTTATTATTAACTGACTGCAACTAAACAACTACTGGAAATTGAGGAGTAGATTAAATTGAACGACACAGTTCGAAATCGTTTGTGTTCTCTGAAATTCTAATCTTCTGAATACCTCATGCCTTTGTTTTTCTCTTCTCAAATTTATTTCACTGAATTAAACTTCTTGATTAGTATCTTCTGAACTCTAATCTTTCTGATTGCTGCAAATACTTCTACTATATCTACCACTATGGGATTTGAACTGACAGATACGTCTCTGTGCTAATTTGGTGTGGCAACATGAACTAATGCAAGTACGTATGAAGTGCTACGTTGTAACTGACTGACTAAGATAATCTTGGGCACATCCTAAACATTCATTCACAGTTGTCATTACGGTAAATAGAAAGATGAGGAATGAGAGTAAGTATTTAAAGTGAAGTTGTCGAATAAAAAATAGTAGGGTTTCAATCAGCAGTTATTTGCTTAAGTCGACTCTCATCGAAGTAAGCTCCCATAGATTTTGTAAACTAGCAGTTTCAAACGACATCCGATACTACTTAGGAACAAAAACATTGACAAGATTGTACATAATTACTAGATGTGATTAAATACAACAGGGTGGATTAGTTATAGGGATAAGACAACTTGCATATCAATTTATTGATTCTTACATACCTACTTAACATCAACAACAACAACAACAACAAACTATTTGAATTAAAAACTATGACTTGATCAATAACTTGGTCACGAGAATGTCGATGTAATTCTATCTGAATAAACAAAACTTACCGACAAGCTAAACCATCACCATCATTCATAATAGGCGGTGAATTCACACGATCAGGATGAACTAGACGACAAACGATACGAAGTGGACCATTGATAACATTTGGAGGTATGAATATTCTAAGATCAGGATAACGTCTTGCTTGAATCAGACCACCACGAGCATCCGCAATGAATGAAACTAAAAATCTATTAGTAAATTTTAACAAACAATCACAATGAAAGAAGAAATATATACAAATAAATGATTGTGTACATTTCAGTGGTCAGAGTGAACATTGTAAGTAGATCAAAATTAATCGACTTAAGAGATAGAAAGAATATTTTACATCAAGCATAAGTAACTATTAACAGATATTGTAGTGTTATTTAATGTAATTCATTCACTAAACAAGTTTCATCATCCTCTAACGAATTAAAAAACAAACTTGTAATTTAGTGAACAAATTTTTTGGATTATTCACATTAGAGTACGAATTTGTCAGCCAAATTACGGATAGTGTTCAAATGCTTTCTGATTGGCTGGTTACGAAATCGATTTAAGCACAGCTGTGTTTTTATATGGTTTTGATGAATTTTTACCGAAAACACTACATTCATAGTTATGTTTAGTAGAAATTCTTTCATATTACTAGCAAAACAAATGCTTAAGTTTCCAATGTGTTTTACTGATTTCACTTAACAAATCCTTGAGTTTTTAGCAACCTGGAAATGGCTGGAAAAACTTGGTACAATCAATGTTCAATGGAAGCTTCTTTAGATTTTACATCGTATCCTGACTGGATGATCATCGGTTTAGCATAAGGACATCTTTCTAGAAGCTTCTAGGAAACCAAGTTCACATATTAACCCATTATACTTCCCACCTTTTGTTATCCATTCGAAACTAAGGTGATTTCTAAGTGACTTCGAATTCAGTAAAGTGTTCAGTTCAAGCACTGGGTAAATTATGATTGTTATCGGAAACTAACTGTCACACATTAAGAAAACAATAAAAGTGAAAGTTGACAATCTTAAAATCTAAAACACATAACTATATATTTAAATATACTGTCCCGCCAAGTGCCTAGGTATGAACAAGAGTAGAAACAGATTCGAAATGTTCGTATATGGCCACACGTATATAACCACCACCAAGAGAGTCCTACTAACTGCCTATTCGCATCAAGGATTTTGTTTACGGAATCGAGAGGACAAAAAGTGGATTTCTAACATTCAAACTAAGCTGATGGATAAAGGGAAATCCTGATTCCTAACCAATGGTCCATATGAGTTCCACGATCCTGAAGGAACAAAATGCGTCTCAACCTATTAATGGTCACCTGCTACTATAAAAGTGCGTCTCATGACGCTGTCCCACTGCCTTGTGGATAAGGCATCTTGATCAAAAGCTCGGAAAAAAGACCTCCTCAGAAAGCCACCTGTTTTGGTTTAGGCACGTGAACTGTATTCCTGCCAATGCAAAAATTCATTGATTTGAGTGGCGCATAAATATTTAGGTGCCTCTTTGTACCGATAACTATGTATTTAAATAATAAATAATTTGAATATATACCCTGTATTAATTGGCTTCTTAATAACAGTTGTGTTGTCTACTTCCAAATCCCAATCACCATCAGGTTGACCACCATCTCCATATATATGAGCTTGAGTCTAAGAACAAAGTGTTTTGCATGTCAGAAAAGAAAGGAGACAAATAAAAAAAATAAAAAAGCTCTGTTTATAGTTTGTTTATCAAATATGTGATGCAAAAAATAAGTCCACATCATGAAACAGCTTCAACAATTCAATTGGCCAATGAATGAAAGTAAACTCAACAAGTTCATACAAAACCTTTGATTTTATTTTCGAATAATCTATTTGTCGAATAAACGATAATAACATTAATGTCGCATGAAAAATTTAACTTGCTGAATGTCTAAACAAAAATCTATATTTGTAACAAAATCAAAGCATTACTGGAACAATAGGAATTGCAAACATAGGCATATTGACGTTGATTAGATGAAGTAAATTTAGAAAATAGTAAGCATAGAAAATAATTTTAAATTGGTAATCTTTCTAGTCACTTGCTTTTTTATGGGTAATTCATGGAGGCGTTTGAGCAATTCACGATTAGCTGTTTCATTCTTACGAGTAATAACAAACACTTCGATCAGTTTATTCACACACAAAAAAAACACGAAACAAAGCAACACACCTCAATTTTCTGTAAGATCCATTCACACTGAGTAAATTATACAATTGTAGTACACAAAAGTATATCGCACTTTTCACTATCCTTATCTCATATAATTAGTATTGTGCATAAAAGTGATATGAACATTCACAATCCTAACGTCTCACAGAATTACAGAGAAAGATTAGCTTCCCTTTTTCCTTTCTGAAAATCAACACTACTGATAAATTAAAAGTGATTTCTAAGTAGAATACAGGAATATGGTTCTTCTTAAGAGATCAATTGTTACTCACCAAACTATTGAATAAAAATAAAAAGTGAATATGAATATTCAACTCTGTATACAATGATACATAATGGAAGATAGCAATTAGAAAAGTTCTACAAACCATCCACATGTCTGTCAAATCTAAACTGACATTACAATTTTGGTGTGTAAACTAGAAGGCAGCTAATTAACAATGAAATCAACGATAAACAATAAGTTTTTCAAACAACTGATACATTTTTTTAAAAAAAGTAGAGAGCCATCTATCTACACTACATCCTTAGACGTTATGTGAACATATGATCAGATGTCAAATACAATGTAATCGCTAAACAGTAGTAACCAATGAAGCTAACACTGATGAGACTTGTCAATTATCAACATAGTAAAAAATAAACAGTCAAAACTCAAATTACATATATGAGAAAAAAAACATACTAAATAGAAGCAGAAATATTGAGAGCAACATTCTTCTAAAAACTGATATATAACAGCAGATGTTATTGGTTAACAAATTTTTTTTATAAAAAAGTAATGAAATGTATATATATGTGTGTGATCATTGAATAATTAGAAAAGGTTAAAAACAATATAAATCACATCAAAAAAAATTGGGCAGGTTACCATGGTGAAAATGGACAAATAGTAATGATATTGAAACAAAATGCGCAAGAAAAAGGAGGATAAAAAGAGAAGAGAAACCGGAGCAAGAACTACGATAGATACGACAACGAAAGTGATCGATTAAAAAAAGCTACCGATTGTATTGACATTAAACTAGATTAAAGAAGATAGTAAATAAATCGTCAGTGGTTACTTAGTACATAAATCGGACAATCGGTTCAGCTTTAAGTAGTAGTAATATCATGCTCGAACAAAGTGTACCACTGCTCATATGAACGAATTTAGATTTCAGTGAAAGAACTGAATTCTTGCTTAAAAGAATATTCCTATTTGATAGCATTTAAAGAACAGCATGCTCCACGAACCAAGTTGTTTCATATAGAATAACATATATATATATATATATATATATATATATTGCTTTGCTTTATCTATGAATCAGTTATTAATGCTCAAGTAGAAAAGCTGAACTTTGTAGATATATATAATTCACTACTACAATTTTTCTTCAGTCTTGCATAATAAGTGAACACATAGTAACTGAGATTCTTTTAACTGCTATGTACAAATATTTCATCGGCATGGCTGGGTATAGTAAGATATATTTTTATCTAAACATAAATAATGGTGAAGAGGGACACTAAAGTACATGGTAGTTACGCAATCAAAATAAGATTGTAAAGGGATAGAGAAAGAATGGTGGGTATAATAATAACAAAAATTGATAGAAATTAGTGTATGGAAGTGAAATAATTATGATAATAATAATAAGAAGAATGGAAGATGCAGCTCAGTTGAAGAAACACAACCAGGAAGGATTCTTTCAGTTAAAGTATATGAAGAAATTTACAACAAGGCCACCACAATCTTATATCCTGAACTATGTCTGACAACGTCTTCAATCACTAAGTTGTATCATTTCTTATACCCCAACTAGGGGGGTCTTGAAGGGCTACGGAAAGCCAGTCATGTACATCTTTCTGTCATACCAACACATCATGCCATCTACTAACTACCTCTCCACCTTTTCTAACCAGTCTCAGCGTAAGCAAAGAGTGCACAATGTGAAACTGGCTTGGACAACATTCGTAGTACATGTCCAAACTATTGAGGATGGTAACACCAATGAAACTATCGGCAGTGATAGAGAACATGTTGCCCAACCTCTGTATTACTAGCACGCTATTCTTAATGAATGTCAGCAGTCTTCCGGAGACAAAGATGATCAGATACAGAGTGTCTTCGAAGCACTGCTCGTATATAGTGGGACAACCGAGTGAGCAACGCTGTTATTAGGAAACGGGTACTAGGTAAGAATGGCAGATCAATAGATGAAGTGCTGAAACTTCATCAGTTGAGGTGGTTGGGACACGTGTTGCGTATGCCTAACCACCGACTGCCTCGACGAGCTTTGTTTTGTAGTGTAGGAATAGGTTGGAAGAAAGCTAGGGGCGGCCAAACCAAAACATGGCATAAATCCATGAAGTCATTGACGAGTGGACTTAGCCATGTTGGTAATTGTCGACTACCTGGTTGGTGTCCGCGAGATGATAATAATCAGTGGCTAGAGACCTTGAATGACATGGCTCAAAATCGTTCGCAATGGCGCCAGTGCATTTATTCTTTGTGTTCTCTCAAATCCTAGTCTTCTGGATTCTTCAACAACTCTAGTTTTGACTTTCTAAACTTTTCTCATTTAATCATACTTCTTGAATAATATCTTCTAATTCTAACCTCTCCGATTACTTCTAATACCTTTACTACCTCTTCTACTATTGGATTTGAATTGACAATTATATCTCTGTGCTGATGTGGTATGGTGACATGAACTGATGTACTTACGTACGAAGTTCTACGTTGCAACTGACTGACTGACTGAGATACAGAGAGTGCAAAGCCAAAGCATATGCCATAACTACAGACATTGATTATCCAACTGATTAAGTGTCAGTGTCATAATATAGTAAGATAATAAATATCATAAGTAGAAAAATTAATCTAAATACAATCATAATGTAACAATCATACATATTTTTTCTTATTCATAAACTAATTGAAAACATCAACTAAATGTTGAACAGTAGTAGTAGTAGTAGTAGTAGTATATGGACAAAAAATGATGAATGTCTTCGACACTAATAATGGAATTCCAAATGGATTTATTTACTTATCTATCAACATCATCATCATCATCAACAGTTCAATTGATAATCAATCATGAATTCATCAATATGATTCAAGATTATCATCATCATCAGTACTGCTTTATTGGTTGGTATAGTTAGCAACAATCATCATTACGAATCAACATAGTTCAATCGTAATATAGAGAAAAATAAGTAAATAATGAATTAGTAGATACAATTGACAAAAAAGAAATTAAATGACATTAACACCATGCTATAATATATTAATAATGCAAATATTATGAATGATATTGTAAATTATAAACAATAGATAAACAACATCCATCCATCATATTTCTACTTAAATAATTTCTGATAATATCAAATTTTCTTTTTTTTTTGGGTAGATAATATTTTAGAACAATGCACAAAATATTATTGCATGAAAGAATAAAAAAAAAAACTGATCTAATATTATAGATAGAGATATAAATTCCACGGAAACGTTATTACATGTGTAATTCAATTATGTACAGTCAATCAATTAGTGATATAATCAGTGCAAAATATAGCACTAATGAGTAAACGGCCAAAGTTTTTATTTTACATTAACACAATCATCAAATTAATATAATAAGCATTAAAGAAGTCAAATCACACTGACAATGAGAAAGACTAAATATTGAAAATATATTTATAGAAGAAATAAAGAATTTGTACGAACGGATGCCGAGACTCAAAATCAAAGATCGATTACCATTATCCGATGTTTTCATCTACAGGTCGAGGTTATTACATGAACCCGAACCGGCCAGTTGTTATCTACCGAAATGGTTCAAACCAATACAGACACAGGTTTCACTTACAACTTTCAACCGTTGTGGAGCACAGGCCACCGAGACTAGGATTTCATTAACTGATAATTTATCTTGGTTTATTCGGACCTAGATCTCTTGCTTTATCTACAATTGAGCGTCAAGATAAGCGATAGTTGAGCATACGTAATAGATATCTCAACATTTAAGCTAGTCGTTATCTTTTCCAACTGACTATTGTTAGCTCAGTTGTTTCACTCTATCAAGTGAAATACTTCAATGACAACTCTGATCAAATACATGCTTACAAAGTGAAATTATTTCACAGGCAGACTAATGAAATAAATCGAATAAAAAGAAAACAAATCAAAATTTACACTTATTACTTAATACTTACATCATGTTGTACAGATTTTGGAGAGACAGATTCCAAGACAGAACTAGTTTGAGTGGCGATAAATTCACTGGTATTCTCATCGCCTAAATAATAGCAAAGCGCGAACGACAGTTTCCAGTTGGAAAAAAAAGAAGAAAGAAACAACAATCAGATGGTTTGAAAAATTTCACAAGTTGCACAATACATAAAATAGATGATTAAAATACTACTACTACTAATAATAATCAACCAATAAAAAATCATGCTAACTGGACGAACCCACAAGTATAAATAATTACAATTTTGAAATAAATAGTGATTTACTTATTAATAGTTAAAAAATTGAAAAGATATAAACACGAGTTATGTATAATGAAGATATCTGTGCAGGCAAGCATACACACATGAATGCTTGAAATCAAAACCACTAAAAAAGAAAATGTAACTGTTAACATTTTAGAGTTTGTAATCGCTCAGTACTGAAAAATTTACGTCAGTCTGCTAATCACAACAAAGTTTGATCAATGCTTATTATTTGCCAAATAAAAGTTTGGGCACACATGGCTATTCAATCAGACATATTAGATGTGTTGTGACAGTCGTGGATGATACTATGGCGTTGCCTATGTCCTCGAATGATGGTAAACAATGCAGTTGAATATTGGATTAGCTGGCTGAAGGCTGAATACAGCTGATACTACTAGACTACTAACGACAGCGACCACGCTATAACAGAACTAATATATAATTGTAGTGATTTTGTAACTGAGTTGTAAAAAAAACAAATAGGACTACACACCTCGCTGTATATTGGATTATTATTATTATTATTACTATAAGCAACTCTATGCAGCGTAAAATACAGCAACACAGCAGTAAATAGTCAGAAGTTGTACAAAAGAATACGAATGCAACTAAACAGTCAATGAAGGAAAGGGAACAAAGTAAATTATTTGAACAGTAGAAAATGTGCTACGGTGTGTTAATTGGAGAGTTATTTTTGCAATAAATATAAAGTGTGTTAAACTATTTAATTGAAATGATTGTTTCATATACATGACTAATTCGTTGGGCTTTCAGGCTAGATGAAAACAAGGAAACAATAGGGTCATTGATAATTCAACGGAATCGATACAATGTACAAATTCTTTTATTCATCATACTGTACATATAAACATTTTTGATGGAAACACATGTATAGCAGTAGTAGGCTAAACATTTTAATGTTTAAGAATAATAATAAAGTGCTTATACATTACAAACCGTTTAAATGCATGAAACACTAAAATCTTAGTTGATAATATGCAATTAGTTAGTTACCTTAGAGAATAAAAGAAAAGAAATTCAAGCAAATGCATGCTAGTTGACAGACAAACAGACATGAAAATGTTTACGCTAATGTATAAAAGTGTGAGGCTTTCTGTTTGTTCAATTAATTGACAATCGATACGTGAATAAACAAACAAACAAACTAAATAAATAAACAAATGAGTAAACAAACAGTCAACAAAGAGACATTGAGCGAGATATTTACGAAATGAAAAAAACAAACTGATTAAAGAATGTATATGAAAGTCACCAAATCGATTTCTTTTCTATTTTGGCTCGCAACAACAATCAATAATAATAATAATAATAATAATAATAATAATAATAATAATGAGTTCAAAGAATAGCAGTCTAATAAAAACAAGCACAGAAATATTAATGCATGAAGAGACAGACAAGTTGGCTTAAAAAATAAAATGTTTATTGGTTCATATTATCATCGTCTTTGACATTAATTAAAGTCATAGCACATAAACAAAGTTTTGAAGTGATATCAATTTTCAGGAAATTATAAAGAAAGAGCTAAACTGAAAAAAACACGCCTAAACCAATTTAAGAGTTACTGATACTTGCAGGAAAGGATTAAAGATGGATAGATCTATGATTTAGTATCCCACTCTGTAAGAAAATGCTACAAATAAAAACAATCATTTAAACTATTCAGAATTTGCCATAAGAGTTAAAAAAAAAGTCTTCATTATAAGAAGGAATAACTTCGACATGAGACACTATCAAAAGCGATTGAACACTGCGGATACACTTGACAATATTCGAGAAAGGAATAAAAAGAAGACAACAATCAGTAAAGGCCAAGCAAAAACAGAAAAAGTCAAGGTGTAGGCTGAATGCACGAAAGCAAACAAACGAATGAAGAGGAACATTAGAGTCGATTAGCGAAAACATATACAAGACCTAACAACGATAACGGAAAAAGCTGCGAGAGAAGGAAATATAAAACAATCGTATAATATAACAAAGGAGCTAGTTAGAAGATAAAGTGAACCAGAGCGACCAGTCATGAACAAAGAAGGCCAACTAATCACTGAGTTACAAGAGCAGTGAAATAGGTGAGTAGGGCACGTTGGACAGCTGTTGGGCAGATCAACCCTACTGAACCCACTGGACATCAAAAAAACACGCACATACACATCTTCCTATATGTTACCCTAACAACAATCAAAGAAATCAGCATCGCCACCAAATTGATCGATAGTGTAAACCGACAGGGTTTGGCAGGATTCCAGTCGAAGCACTGAATTCAGACACAAGTTACTGCAAACATGCACCAAGTTCTTTTCAGAAAGGTTTCCGAGGAAGAACGATATATCATCAGGATACGATCGCCAAAGTAAGTGCGAGAGCTACAGAGATATCACACTACTATCAATGCTTGGGAGACTTTTCAGCAAGCTACTGTTGAACAGAACGGTGGACTTAGTAGACCCCTAACTTTCAGATCAATTGATTGGATTCTGTAGTTCAGAATCGCAACACTGCGGGTCATTTTTGAACAACCGGTTGAATAAAATTCATCGCTATACATCAACTAACCTCAATATGAGAAAACATTTTATAGCGTGGATGAGACAACATTATGAAGCCTTCTTCGACATTATAATATACCTGAGAAGGTTGTCAATATCATACGGGATTCATACGATAGACTGCAGTACAGAGTTGTGGATGGAGGGTAGCTCACAGATATATTTCTAGTGACCGGTGTCATGCAAAGCTGCTTGCATCCGCCCTTTATGTTTCGTATTGTAGTTAATTGATTATGAATAACTCCACTTCGGAGGAGATGAACGAAATACAATGAACACCTGGACTTGTATTTCGCATATAACTCAGTTGTCTTATACCACATATACAGCACCAAATGAAGATGAGAAGTAGGCCTCAACATTCACAAAATAATGAAAGATCCTAAATGCAGCACAACAAACATGAACAAAATCACATTTGATGGTGAAGCATCACAACAGTTCCAGCATACTGCGCACGTGGTTAGAATTATTGATAAAAAAGAGTTATCCTGTGCATATGTATAGTTAGGAATTAGCAATTAAAGAATGTCTGGAACGTGAAAACGCTGTCAACTGTACCGAAATTGAAATTTTCAATACAAACATCAAGATAGTTTTATTGTACAGTGCTAAATTTATGGGAACACATTTTTGAATGCAGATATAAACATCAACCTGAATCATATGTTGATAAAGAGTTAGTAGAGTATAAGCAAGCTAAAATAGGTAAGCGAACTCAATAACTTGTCCCTCTCGCTAATAACAAAATTCACATTAAGTCTTACAAAACACTTAATCAATAGTCGAAAGAAAGGTACTGATCAAATACCTATCTTCTCCAATATCGTCACGCAGAGTCAATAGTGGCGAAATAATCGAGATTATTTAGGAGGATTTCCAAAATCCTGGGAGCAGAACCGCCTTCTCTTTGGAATTGTCCTTTGACTTAAGAACCAGTAAATGTCAGTACATAAAATAACATTTTTATTCAGCTTTAAAACACCATTCTGTATAAATCATATACCATTTATAGCGTTATCAGTTATTAATGAAATCATATAGACAACAACACCATTATGTAAGTATTAGGATGTGTGAAGAGATGAGAGAAAATACAACAGAAAACCCCCAATAATAATAGTTACGGGATTATAACAAATATAAAGACATGCTCATAAAGTTATATTTAAAGCTCATATGTAGGTGTCATAAAAATGAACTATTGTGAATAATGAACGAAACAATTGTGTTCAAAGTTTCCAGTGATTCATTTAGAACGAAGTGAATCGGAGAAAATTTTTATGTAAATTGTCTGTTTATATATGTGTTGTAGTAGTACGATGTGATTGTTAGGAAATGGGATTATTGCTGAACATATTTTAGCTACTAAAAAACTTCTTCAAGTTTGCTACAAGCGAACCTTTATAAGGTGAAACTGCAAATAATTATTTACTTTATGTCAATGTTTTTTAAATGTAAACAAAAATCGGTTGTCTGTATTTGCATATACTAAGCTTAGCTATATGCGGCTATAAATTTGAACTCCTTCTGTAGAAAATATAATTTCTTATGAATAAGAAATTAGAAAACATTCAGAATAACAACGTTTTATGGTGTAAATATGATGCAACTCAAATTCTTTGCATGAGTATAATATGTAGCACCTCATCAATGGGGTTGAAATTGTTGATCGAATTAATTGAAAGTTGAATGTTAAGCTCAGCAGGAAAAATCATTTGGCAAATGAGTAGTAGCAATCTGTTGACTCTTTCTTTTTTTAACAAAAAACAAGTGATTTAAAACTTAGTGTATAAGTGTGTGTTCAAAACATAATGGAAACCAATCGTCTACACACACAAAAATTTATGACTTTCATGCGTTGAGTTAGAATGAGTATCACAGCCAAATAGAACAACATATAAATATCCATGTCGATCAAATAAATTCACACCATGCATTACTACTGCTACTACTATTCTTTAAACATTACACAACAAGAGACAACAAAAAAGAATTTTCAAAATAAAAAAGGAAACGTTGAAAATGATAGGACAAAACACAATGCAATAAAGCATACCCTTTTGATAAGTTGTACGATCCGAAAGTGTACCTTGAGGACCTAGATTTTTGTACATTAATTAAAAATAATGTTTAATTGTGCATGTACAGTACATATTATACACATACATAATTCGACTGTTGGGCTGATTTCGCAACAACGAAAAAACACGGTGAAAATTCAATCTGTACAACAAATGATAATTTATGAGTATGAAAATGTCAAACCAATCGAGGCAATTTAAGAGTCAATAATCACAATGAAATGAAATAGATTACGTCACTACACATAATAGGTGGAAAAGTACAAGTGGATAGTGGGAAGACAGGTGTACTGATAATAGTTTTGTAATGATTATTTTAAGTCCATTTATCCACGTTTGCCCTACTATTGATGAAACTTTAGTTATCATATTTTGTAATTTTCTTACTACTATCAGTACACCTGTCTTCCTACTATCCACTTGTACTTTACCACCTATTATGTGTAGTGACGTAATCTATTTCATTTCATTGTGATTATTGACTCTTAAATTGCCTTGATTGGTTTAACATTTTCATATAAATTTATGAGTAGTCCATTAATTCAAAATAATTTTATGCTGTAAAGAATATATGAGAAAACGTAACGTTCAATCGAATAAATTATAATGATTATTATTGTTATTGAAAAAATGTGTAAAATAATAACCCTAACCAAATTGTCAAACACTTCATCAGATAAGACTGTATGAAAAATTAGGCATTTTCACAAACTTAATGTAGTACACCTTTACAATATTATTGAATGTGGGCAATTTTTATTATATTAGTGCATGAAGAAGGAAATAAAAACAAAACTTATTGATGTTATAAATATTGATCTGAGAGCAATTATAATCACAAAAATGATCATACTGTGTTTAATCTATGCAGTTATCTAACAGATATGTAGGAAATCTTATCAGTTGAAAGCCGATATAGAGTCTATAATATATACAATACAACTGAGTGGCAGTTTTGTATGAATGAAATAACTACTACTTATATATAAACAGGTAATTTTCATGTGCACTTTAGTCAGACAAATATAATTTGTGCTTATGATGTTGCTCAGAAGAACAACTGGAACACTTAGCTCAGGGAACAAAACTCCACCATAATAGGAAATACAGGCGATGTACCAATTGATCACTGATTATTGGTAACTAGTTTAGTTCTTGGTGCTAACCGAATTAAATTGTTCAATGTGCAACGTGTGTGGACACTAGTCAAAGCAACTCGACATCTTATGCACTGAGTCGCATGGCTGGAGGTAGTTGGTACGTAACTATCCACCTGCATTTCGTGTTCAATGATTTTCGAAGTGTTTATTGTTTCAAGTTGATAATCATATCAGATACATTCTTTATTACAATAGGCATAAAAATAGTGAAAATGTAGTAGTTCAAGTAATACATTACTAAATTGACGCTGATTTATTTAATGCATCTGCTCACTTATTCCTGACTGAAGTTGACCATAACATTTTGAACATAATATGCGTGATCAGTTCGATACGTTAACAATGCACAGAGGTTTTTAACATTTAGAAGAAAACAATGGAAAGTAACAGGATGTCAAAACAAAAATTCCTAAAAATTACTCAAGTCGAACCGTTTATTTAATTTATAATCAATGATTTATGTTTTGAAATAAAAAATGACACACAAATTGGAAATTTTTTAAGATAAAAATGCTTCAACATTGAACATTAGGAGTAAAGGATTCCAATATTCATGTTAACTATTTACATGTTGCATTATTCTGGTGTCTGTCTCTAAAATAACAATCAATCTAATAATAACGAAGAAAAATCTTATTTTAATTGTTCACTATAAAATATCTGGAAAAAAGCTAATTAGTAGAACGCATTTATCAAGTGTAATAATTTGTTTATTCAGATTTCAAGTCATATTGTTGTTCTGTGTGAGGGCGTTAATGATGGCACTCTATATTCTCCAAAATGAAATAAATTAAGGCGAGTTCAAATGTGTAACCGAATGGTTGAAAATCGAATGCCTCAATTCAACCTTCAATCAACAAAGACATCATCATCATCGCATAACTGTAGTAATTAATGCAAACTTAGTCATATATTTAGGTTGAATCGAACAAACAGACTTTTTTCCAAAACGAAAGATAATAAAGTAGTGAAAAAAACTTAAGTAACAATTGAACTATTGAACAGAGTAACTATATATTTCGCGTTTTAAATGTGCTCATTATTCTCAATGATTTACATAAATCTTAAATCACAGTTAGATATATTGGAAATTAAAACAATGAAATGTGTAATTAACAGTGTTTAGACAAGCAAACACAATTGCTCTGTTTAGCGCAGTTTTATATATATATATATATATATATTGATTAGAACTTGTGGAACAAAAATATGCACGCAAGGAAGAAAATAGGTGAGTGTACATACGTGATCATATATACCAATGAATAATTAAACAAATACAACCATAGTTGTAAGCTTTCACAAGGTCATCCACTACTTTTTTAAACGTTTTCGATCGATAGACAATGGCGTTCGTTGTGTGTAACCGTGCCAAATCACATGGATAAAAACAATTACAAAGCTTGATTATATATATGTTTGGATATAAATAAACATTTACAAACTTTTCAATGCTATTAATTACTATCACAATCAAAACAGGTATCGACATCTCTAAAAAAAACTGAGGATCAAATTGAAACTATAATAAAAAAGAGTACTGTCATATAAATCCAAATATATCACTGAAGTGAAGATACTACGCTTACAATACTCAGGCAAAGCTTTGGATATTCGGTAATTAAATAAATGTAAGAAAGAAAATACGTCACCGAATATGTTCCGATATAGTTTGACTAGTTGTGTTACACATCTTTGAGAAATTATGTAATCGGTTAGGTCTACTGAGAGAAATAAATATATTTTCAACAAAAAGATAGTCGTTATGATAGTAGGATTGTGTAGATTGTTGGATTTCATCAATGTCAAGCACTCACGCTGTTGAATGCTAGCTTGGTAGTCTAGAAGTTAAGAGTTCACGTGCGAAACCGAAGGTCTTAGGTGCGATTCACCCGTGTGTGTGGGACGAAATATAAAATGTAACTAATAGATAATAACAACAACAATTAATATTATTATTATTATTATTGTCATAAATAATAAGCGATTAAGAGTAAATAATTATTCATTAATTAGAAAAATAATGTTTACAAGTTATGGTTTATTGAATCTTGTGCAAGGTTATCGTCACAGAGTGATTACAATTGCACAAGTAGCATCGAAAACTAGTGAGTACAATTAACAACTACTTCATTCTGTCGTGCAGTGCACATCGTACTAGAAAGCAACACAACTGTTCACTGCACTCTGAGATCAATCTATGATGAATACTATCTAAGAATTAAATTGTATTACATAAAACCTCTTCAAATGAAATTATTATTATTATTCATTTTAATACACTAAAAATAACATTTTGGTGACATACACTAAGGCGACGTAGATAGCGAAAAAAACAACAAAGTTTGAAAATTAGCATGTAATACACACATTTTGAGCAATCAGATTATATTTATCATTAAAACTATGTTTGTTGAAAAAAAAACCCAATTTTTCATTGGAATAGCACAAAATTTAATCGAAATGAAATTAATCGATTTTTAAAAAAATGTTTCACTACAGCCAGCCAACGACAAATGAGCATGAATGATTTCATTTGACAACAAATGACAATACTTACTCAGAGTGGAATGCATATACTCCAACTGGCCCCAGATATCATCATTCTCTGTTTCGCCTAATATTGTATTATCAAAGGCTGAATTGAACTGATCCGTATGACCTTGGACACGGAAAGAACAATGACAGAAGAAATAGTAACATATTAATGACATAAATCTCAATCTCCAAACAACAACAACAACAAGAAAAGTAAACATTGATGAAATATGATGTCACCTTATACTAACAGAAATTAACAGAATACAAATACACAAATACATAGTGGATTGAATGACATGAATTGACAATAACGCAAAAACTGAAATGTATATTCTGAGTGGACATAACATAGTATTGAATGAAACTAAAAAACCATGAAACATTCAGTAGTAATGTATCTATCTATCAAGCATCATGCTCAGAATAACGCAGATGAATAAATAGGCAGTGATTTAAGAGGACTAAGATTAAATGTATTAAAAGATATGATGCTTGATCATTCCTTATGACTTCAATGACAACATCTATGAATGATATGCATATTTCATATATTTCAGATGAGAAACTGCAAATAGTGGTCCGACTACTATGTGATATCAACTTGTTTATTTGGTTTGTTTGTACGAGTGTAAGGTTAGAAAAAATTCTAATATTAGTTAAACATCGACACCGATATTGAGTGTAGAATGTGACGAGATAACTGTATTTTGTTGCTTTCACTTCGTTAATACACAACCTAATATTTTTAATTATTTCCAAATATTAACAGAGTGTTATTTTTAAAAAACTGTTAATCAATAAATACATGAATAAGTTGTATGTGATATGATAGATGTTAAGAATGAAAGTTTTAAGAAGGTGGATTCTTTTAATAATTGAATGAGCTTCTACTTCTGGAATATAAGAATACAGAAAGTATTATTTACCAAATGATGTGGACATTTTCGTGAATGGTTAGTGATATCACCTGAGAGACGAATGCAGTAAGCTTCATACCGTCATCATGATGAATGTTGAATAATAACACGAATAGTAAATATATGTAGACAAAAATTATGATAATATTTATTCCAAATGCACTATCTGTTATGGTCCTTGAGTGATCTTATGCACTATTTGGTCGATTACTAAAATAAGATTCACTAATAAGAATCGGGGTTACAATTTCCTACTCCGAGTATATTCTACCGCCTATCAATCAACTTCATAAGCTTCGATCAATGACACTCCGTGACTGGCCCAATTAGCTAAGAACAGTTGCTAAAATAATTTTAATGCTTACTAGATCAGGATGTACATCGATGATACGATAGAAATTTTTTCTAAAAAGTCACAGATTACTTACTCCTTTGTTCGGTAACATCAGCGGAATGATAATTATCATTTTCATCCGATTTCATTTTTTTATTCGATGATGATAGCCGATGTGAAATTAATGGTGAAGGTGCTGAAAATTGTGTGATTATTAAATTATTGATTATTAGAAATAGCATTAAAGAAGAGATAAATAAAACAAAAACAAATTTTCACAGTCAGCTACAATGCAGAACTTCGTAAGTACGCTCATCAGTTCAAGTTGTCCCTAGAATATGGTCCAGTGTTGAGTAGATTTTCGTGGATGCCATGTCAAAGGATATTTATCCATATGCTTAGAGTTGGTATTTACCAGAAATAGGAAGCTATCTATTTATCTATCTATCTATCTAGGTAGCTATCTACACAAGCGACTTACTACGTTAGAGCGCCTAACGTTTTGAGGAGGTTCGAAAACTTCTTGTATAGCTAACCTTTTACCTCATCTGAGCTGAAATCAGTCGGAGCGTAGGCAGACAAAACGAAGATACAAGATGAGAGTCTCCATTTTTTGCAGTCCTTACTACGCCATTTGATCAAACAGCGCACAAGCAACTACCTACTGGGGATCTAGTTCTGCGTTAGAACTCAATGCAATACCTACATAAACTAGGTCACGGAAAGCAGCAGTGTGATTTCCAGGGTTAATTGTGAAGACATGATAGTCATAAGGATATGTGGGGAAGATTTGATTATGAGTAAGTCGATTTTGTGTGTTGTTATGGGTAGGAGAGTGGATGTCGCTTCTTGGGTGCCCATATCGTGGAAGGGTTGGGTCATCCCGATAGGCAAACCCTAGCACCACGTCAAGGTAGCAGCTATGGTCGGGCAAAAATTGTCAAGTATGTTGTGGAATATAATGGACTGCAATGCTGATGACAAATGTTAAACAAAATGCAAGGAATGGATGGGGATTTGACATCTTAATTTAACCAAATCAATTCGTGTCTTAATTGTTTTCATGACTACAATATCTTGTTAACATGTAAATATTTAGTAAGTGTTCAACGGAAACAATTCATAATACGTTATTATTTTTCTTAAATTACCTTTTAATAATAATTGCTTTCTTACAAATCTGTATATGATATGCTTTTCGATTATGTTTTATTGTTGTTATTTATGGTATTGACAAAAAATTATCAACCAGTTTAGACTACACATGCAGATATAATTTCGGGTGTACTAACTGAATTCGTTCTAATTTATATTTGTGTTTTGTTTCGGAAAAAAACAAATACTATTTCCATATGAAATAATTGAAATTAAACCTACTAGGCTTATCTACTACATACACACAAACACACTTAAGCAATAGTATAGTTAGAGATTACTGCATATTGTAAAATGTTAACTGTACATATTACAAGCAGGTTGAGGTTACAATCTAATTGTTTATGGCAAAATTAGTAGGTCAAATTTAATCTATGGATAATATACCTTTGCATTCACCATAATCCGATTGCTGGTCATATGATAAATGTGCAGACACTCAGTAACTCTGAATGAATGCATTCACCTACCTATATTTCGGTTATCTTTGACCTAATTATAATCTTTAGAAATTAGAAATGATTCAGCCATTCTTATCTTCATTTCATTTAATCCTTTTTTTTCAATGTTTGTCTTATTATTATTTTTTATCTTATCTTATTTTCATTGTAACCCAATTTTATTGTTCGGAAAAAAAAGAGTAAAAATAAAATTTCGGAATTTTTATTACCACCGATATAAGGTCTTATCGATGTGTACATATGTGCTTTTCGGTGTATTTGATTGTTAAATTGAACAATACGTTATTGATTGTACGTTTACAGGTAGTTCGGTTGTTGTTCAAAGTATTTTTAAGTGTTCGCATGCATTTAATGGACGATAACATTTTCTATTTGTTTTGCTTTAATGTCCTTGTTTTTTATTTTTCAAACAAAACGTTGATGAATATTTACAAACTGCCTTCAAATTCATACACATAACACAAGAATATATGCATAATGCATATATTCAAGTTTATGATATGTAGTTAAATCATTTCTTTAGACTAATTATACCATTAATTTGATAGAAACAGTGACGGACTGAAGCGGTGGAATAATACATATTCAACAGGCTTTTTAGATCTTAGTGCATTTCTAGTAGAATTTTAATCCGAAATCAAATAATTAATTTTCTATATGAATAATTTTCTTGAAAAAAAACTGCTTAGTTTAGTTGATTAGAAAGAGTTTTCAATGTTAAAATCTATTATTTCACAATTATTATCTGAATTCATACAGTTAACATGGATTCGCATATATTTTGTTTCTCTATCTCTATCTAGGACTAGGGTATATTGGTGGCATTTAGTGAAGAGAAAAAAATAAGTTATCCTAAATTGTCTACACAGAGGAAGTAGGAAGTTTATTTAGTTAGTGCAATTAAACAATTCCCTATTTTTCTTTTAAACTAGACAACAATTGTTACAAATTATGTAGGTCTTACATATTGGCAACAAATAAAGTAACATTTTACCTTATTTAATTATTAAGAAATTAAATGAAATGGTTTTTGTAGAGATGATTGGATGTAAGCAGTTTTTATCATGGAATGATAGAAAGTTGGTAGATAATCGCAAAGTCATGGTAAAATAAAGGTTGATAATTAAATCTCAATGGTGATACAAAATTATTACTGTCAACAATGACATGAAAAGATTTGTATTCACATTACCATCTGGCTAATCTGTTAGAAACACAGACAAACAATAGTTGTCTTCTAAAGTTGTACCAAAGCAGTATATTAACCTTATACAAGCTCACTACTCGAACACTGCAGATCGAGTTAGAGCTTATGGTGAACTGTCATCGGAATCGATTCCTTCAAGCGGAGTTCGTCAGAGCTGCCAATTCACTTTCTCCATTCTTGTTTAATTTTGTCATTGACGTGCTTATAGATACGACACTTTCATTGTCTAACTCTTCACGAGTTGAACTTTTACCAAGAAACTCACTTGTTGACTTAAAATATGCTGATGACATAGTTCGTTTCAGTGATGACGCTGACAAAATGCAGTGTCTCCTGACTACCCTAAGCAACAATGCAAGCATGTTCGGGATGCGGTTCTCCCCATCGAAATGCAAAATGTTGCTTCAGGATTGGGTTGCATCGGTACCTGAACTAGTGATAGAGAGTGAAGTAGTCGAGCGTGTTGACAGATTCACTTATCTTTGAAGTCTCATCAGTGCCGACGGCCTGGTGACTGACGAAAACTCAGCACGGATACAGAAAGCATGATTGGCTTTTGTCAACTTGCGTCACTTACGGCGTAGGCGGGATATGCGTTTGCTAATCAAAGGACGAGTGTACTGTGCAGCATTCCGCTCCGTTCTCCTATATGGATGCGAAATATAGCCGGTAAGATTAGAAAACATTAGTAGATTATTAGTATTCGATTAGCGACATCTTTGGAGCATTGCTCGTATATCCTGGGACAACCTAGTTAGCAATGCTGTAGTTAGGAAACGAGTATTAGATAAGGACGGAAGATCGATAGATGAAGTAATGAAATTTCATCAGTTGAGGTGGTTGGGACGTGTGTTACCAATGCCCGACCACCGACTGCCTCGACGAGCTATGTTTGTGGTATAGGAGTAGATTGGAAGAAAGCCAGGGGTGACCAAACCAAAACATGGCACAAATCCATCTCTATCTTCCTCATTATAAAGTTATCTCACTGAATTTTACTTCTTGAACAATATCTTAGATCCCTAATATTCTCGATTACCAGTAATTCTTCCATTATTTCCACCACTATGGGATTTAAACTGAGAGTGGCGTCTCAGTTCTAATGCCGTAGGGCAACCTGAACTGACGTACGTACGTATGAAGTTCTACGTTGTAACTGAGTGACTGACAATTATATACATGAACAATATTACATATGTCTGAATTTATCTGCAACTGTTTGGTATGAACACATCGGTGTAGCGTAGCTAAATATATAGGGCGGAAAACGTAAGGAAAGTGAAAATTACGGCATAAAATAAAATGCTTAATCAAACACCTACTCTAATACGTAGCGCCCAACCGCTAAATAAATGAGAAAATAAGTCCAAATGTCCGAGATAAAACACACCTATTGAACGTCGAAAAAGTTGCAGATGACTAACGGTATATTACACATAGTAAGTGGCATGACAACAACGCTGTTTGACAAAGAATCAATGCTGTAAATTGTCATCATATTAACATAAGAACAGAAAAAATACAGGAATAAATAAATAGATAAACAACTTACCAACACCATCTTCATCTAATTCTGTAAAAGGATGTTCACGCATAAAATCTGGATGCTCTAATACTAGCGTTTGATCAAGTTCTTCACGTTCCTCCTCCCAACTGATTACAGTTGTGGTGACAGTTTTTAAAATATCAAATATTGTAACATGATGTTGCTTACGTGCTATATGTGCTGGTGTCAGACCTTGCTATAAAAAGGTATCATTGATAAAGATATCATTATATGGCAACAGTCATCACAGCAAAACGTACAGAATGGAATGAAATGAGAAATACAAACGAAAAAAAACATAGTAGCGTAGATTATATACATTTCTTAACAGAATGAATGCAGTCGGGAACAAAAAGGAACTGTTCAACAAAAACACGATTCTAGACATACACACATCCACAGTATAGATCACCGAAAGAAACTGAACCACTGATGATTAGAAAGAGTATTGATTAGTTAAGATTAATTGATGTCATTCGATATTTATGTTTCGTACAATTGAAACTTTTCTGAATTGAAAAAAAAGTGTAGTAATTATTTCGTTAGCATATATGAAAATGTTTCGAATGACTTCACAAGATTGTAACAGAGTGATTTATTTACTGATGGTATCCTAATGAAATTTTGCATAAAAAACTATCTTTGTTAGTGATCATTTGTGCATTATTTAAAAGGTTGCTCTATCTCTATTTCTCTCTCTCTCTCTCAAGGGCTGATAAGTGGAAATAATCGGATGGATTTTGTATGAGAATTCATGAATACCAATAAGCCTCTATACTTTTCGACTTTAATGCTGAAATTGATCGATGTCACTCGTTAATTGATAAGCATTCAGAAAAAAAATAACTTACAAAGCAATAGACAAAGGAAGAGAGATCTATGAAATTCCCAGTATCATCATGACATTTTCACTGTAAACACATGAAGTGCACACTCCAGTGTCAATTTAATTCAGTCATAAATTTATGAAATTTGATTGTTTAACGTATATAAATACGATTTCGAAAGCATCAAGGTACATGTTCCATAACCCAGTTAATGACAAATGACTCGATAAACGTAGGAAATGGAAAACCATGTTCATGGCCTAGCGTAATGCAACTATTCCCTATTTTTTTTTTACATACAATGTTAATTTATTCTCTCCTATGTTTACAATTATCACATTATGTTTATTTGAACTTTTTCATATAATTAACCTTTATTAATTTTCGGGTAAAATGACTTGATAAGTGTGTATGTGTGACCAACTTGTTCGAAATGTGTGCCGCATGTTTTTGGAGAAACTACACATTCTAAATGTAAAATATCAAAATCAATGTACACTAATAACATCTATTTATTCATTTCAAAACAAGTCCGGAAATAGTATGAAATCGTTGTTTACACTGTAATTTTAATGACATGAATCTAATATACATTTATCAAGTTTGATTCATTTTGACTGTACGCATAAAGCATAGGGAAAAAAAGGAAGTTATCACTTACCTGATTTCTGACATTACTGTCAGCGCCCATTTCCAAAAGTAGACGAACCACTTGTGAATGACATTGTTGTGCAGCTAAATGTAATGGTGTGAAACCCATTTGTGTACGTTGATTGATATCTGGTGCATTGGGTAAATCTAATAAGTAGCGTACCATATTAATTTGTCCAAAATGACATGCTGTATGCAAAGGACTGTAACCAGCTCTAGTCAGTGGACTGATTTCAGCACCTGCTGATTTTAGAATTTGTGCTACTGGTACATGGTCTTCCTGAGCGGCTAAATGTAATGGTGCAAGACCATTCTATGAAGAGAAGGAAATACATTTGTTTATACTAATAATATCTTAACACATTATCATAAATTTTGTCACAGTAAAGGGATATTCTGCGACAATTTTGCCATTCTGAGGCAAACTTCTACTTAGCATACATTTAAATAGTAATTAATTGAAAATACATTTTAAGAGACGGCATCTGACACTTAGTTTGTATGCCAATTATCTATTTAAATAGATTATTCATTAGTTGCACAAATTCCAAAGTATTCATTTTTGGTATGTTTTTGATATAAAGATATAAAGTAAAATATTCCAACAAATATCGTGTCCCTTATTAAGTTTTCTATTATTTGACATTTTCATCAGTTATTGATGTTGCCCAGAATAAACTGATGGATGTAGATAATACCCTCAATAATTTTCGAACACTGGTAAGTTAAGGAACCAAGTAAAAATATCGAATTAGTAGTGATTGTAATCTTCGACTGTCAACCAGCAGGTTATTTACGTTCTCGCATTAAGCCAAAGGGTAGGTCTCATACAAATGCAACAAGGCTCAAAGTCAAGTATATACAAAGGTCAAAAATAAACAATCCATTCATAAAGTTAGCCGGACTTCACGTTAATAATGACTAGCGGACTAAATATAAATTAAATTAATGCGTTTTTTCCTTATTTAGTAATTTGTGTCAACAATGGATAATGATGTTATACGTGATATGATATTAGCATCACTAAAGTTCAAAATTCAAAAAAAAAATTTAACTCAACATACCTTCGACTGATGATTTGGATCAGCGCCATGTTGTAGTAATAATGAAACCATATCTGTATGACCTTCTTGTGCAGCTAAGTGTAGCGGTGTGAACCCACTTCGTGATGATGAATTCGCGAGTTGTACTTGGTCAGATTCATGAGCCAATAAAAGTGTAGCAATGTCTAAATGATTTTGTTTAGCTGCCATATGTAACGAGGTATAACCATTACCAGCCTTAAAATAAAGCAACAGATGTAAACATACAATTTCGAACATGAAGTGTTTCAATACAAAATCATTAGAAGACTTGTCAGTAAAATTTCAATAGTTTTTAGAAGAGAAATATTATCCTAGAAATTTAAAATAAGATGAACTGGATTTTTATATAGTGAGCCAATCAAAAGCGGTCAAGTAAGAAGACCATGCCCAAGAGGACGAATATATATATATATATATATATATATATATATGCGAATATTTGTACCTAATACTCGGTAACGGAATAGAATTTCTCTTCTGCTTTTGCCTTCTCGCTTAAGCAGCCACTTTGGGTGGTTAGCACGTATCACGACCATATATCGGACACCGAACATAACAGTTTCATTAAAGATAGAGAGGCTATTATATCATCGGGCAATACATACGTGATCATGTGTAAATCGAAAATGCTTTGTAATTACTGCCGGAAACTTAACGAAGTAAAATATAAGGTATTATTACATTTATTCTTTGAGTAATAATCCACAAAATCTTGCTTTATTAAATCCCAGAAAAAAGATACATAAAAACTCAGGTAGTTGATCTGGTTATCGAGCTGAATTTATTCACATTCATATAAACACTAAAGATATCGCTTTATTTAGTTGGTACGTAAACTGGTTATAGTCAGCCAGTCATAAAAGTGAGTCATATCCTTTGATTTCGATAATACCAATCTGAAGATTTCTTCAAACATTATAAATATGTGGTCAAATAACAAATAGAAAAACACTATTTTAACTGTGAACTTGGTTGATTTCTACATCCAAATACATACACTACAGACATTTAGTTTGAAGATGAATAACAGCCAATAGTTAAACAGACACTAATTTCAAGTCGAACAGATATATCGTCCATTCAACTTTCCGAATGATGATGCTATAAACAATATTGTTTCATTCAGACTGTCATTAGACCTTACTCTAATATACATGAATATTTACATGGAAACGTTGAATCAATCAAGGTAATTTGAGTCAATAATCACACATAACAGGTAAAAGTATAAATTGATAGTAGGAAAACAGATGTACCGTTAGTGGTAAGAATATTAAAATACAGTGACAAAAGTTCCAGTTAATAGTTCAACACTGGAAGTAGCAGGTAAAGCTTGGATAGACAAACTTAAAATAATAATCATAAAACATTGTAACAATTACGTAATAGGAAGTGCGTAAAATAATTAGATAGTGAAATATACTAATGGAAAGAGGCGAAAAAAAATTGACAATTAGATACAGGATGTGAAAATAATACTAATAATAATAAAAATGAAGTCGTTCATTAAGTTATATCCGGCCGTTGTATATATATATATATATATATATATATATATATATATAATAGAATAAAGCCTGATTGAAAACAATATTGTTCGCTAGTATCTGTCATTCTAATATTCATAATACGAAATCTTCAATTGAAACTGATCAATTGATTTATTCCAACCAAATGCTTATGAGGATGAGATTTTAAACTTATTTTAAATGTCATACTATGGGATAAGTGGTTATTGCATAATATCTTAAACCTTAATGAGCAATAATAAATGAACTGATCGCAACATCAACTGAAGAGATGAAAAGCTATGAGAACGAACAGTTTAGAAACGCAAAGTGAAGTATAGATTATTCCGGAATTCAAATAGGGTATGATTTGTGAAGTTAAGTACATAGAATCTGAATACGGTAAATAAGCTAACAAATAAAATAAAGCGAAAAAAGAACAGGCTGAGGAATGAAAGTCAAGCACTAATATATTGAATCTTATTAAATACATGAGTAACGAATGAATATCCGACAAAAATAAAAATCTAATATTCAATTTACTGGATGAAGAAAGAGCCCAGTCAGTGTTCTAGTCCATGATCGAAAAAAATGTTTAGAATTTTAGACGGGAAGCCTTAAAGAAACGATTCTGAAATTACCATTCCACGTATATCGATTGTGTTTTTTTGTTTATAACAAGAATCATTTCAGAAAACCCGGTACTAGAAAAAGAATATCGTTTGACAAGGCAACCTAAAGTTTCATTAATTTTCAGGATTTTACACTGTTTCACAGACCATATATTATCGATCAAAGTGTCTAAAACTAGTTCAATCATGCACAAAAACATTTGCAAATCTTAACGGTAAATTTCCTCTCTGTATCAATCACAATACAAACTTGCTCAAATGAAGCATACACTGGCATATCACGTGAGTGAACACAACACACATGACTAGTAAAATTATTGATAATAATAATAATCACACGTTAGATAGTGGATGAAATCAATTGAATGAACAAATGACGCCCAATAGAATAGTACATACATGAAATTTCAGTACGAGAAAAATATCAAATTAACCGTGAACTTTAAACAGATATGAACTACATACCTGAAAATAGAAAAATCTAATCCCCAGAGAAGAAATAAGGAGAAAATAGTATAGAATGGTATTGTAGATGTATTAGTGATGTGTAGATAGATGTATGACACAAGGAAACAATAGTCAGTTAATTCATTAGACTTTGTTTCGAATAGGCAACAAAGAAAAACAGAATTCGAATTGGAAGGGGATAGAAAAGGAATAGAATGATAATTGCCTTTCTTTTTTCAATGAAATGATTGGTCATCATCATCATCATCATAGTCGGACTAGTGATGGAAAAGATATCAGCATTCAATACGCCTATGCCTGCATGATTTTACCACATCAGCTGCTTATCAATCCATCAATGGCTTTTATCGTCATCATCATCATTCTCAAGTAGTATCGGTTATATCATTTGAAAAATCTTTTTATGTGGTCTTCTTGGTGAAAAAATCTCTTTATATGCAGATTTCATGTAAATAGATAACACTGTGTTAACCTTAAATGTAAATTTGCTATTTTCGATTTCTTTATTTTCGCATAATAATATTCCGGTTCATTTTGTTTACATTCCAGATGAGATTGTTATGATTTAATGTACTTGCGATGTTAATTTCTTTGGCGTACAACTTTGTGAGTGTTGCTTTCACGGATTATATTATTTTGTTCGAATTTACTTATAAACCTGACGGTAACCTTGTTAATTATTTTGGTTTGGAATGTTGGTGCTTGAAATGGATTATAGTTTAAGGGCAGAATTACTTTCCTAGATTATTCGAGGTATCTTCTTATTTTGATAAGTAAATGGTTCACTTGCTTGATCGATTACAGTTTTTATTGTACAAGGTTTGCACTACTTATTGGTTGTTTGTGTATGAGCAAACGTTACTTGGCAGAACCGTCTCTGTAGTTCGTCAAGGAAATATTTCTTGTTTGACAAGTAACCACTCTTGAGATTTATCGACTTAATGTACTCCAGATTTGACTGTACAAACTTTGTCAAACAACTCAATGACCTTATGGCCTAGTAACGTTATTTGTTTAACTGTTTCGTACAATCTATATTCGTTAAGTTATGTAATACAGAACAATTTGTTACTCTGCTACAGTGTTTTGGTTTTGCGTGTGAGGATCAAACAGTGACCACCCATCTATAAACTACAATACGTTAGGCAAATTTATCAAAGTGAAGCGATAATTTGTGAGTTTTAAGTCTTAAATTTGAATTATTTTTCACTTAGCATGCTTTGAACACTTCGATGTAGTAAATATTAAAAAAGAAAAAAGTGATTGTATACCATTTCTAAGAGTAACCTTATCATTACAATTTAATCTGCTTAATTCACAACAGTTAACATTATCATTTGTAAAGTCCATTACAAGTTAAAAGATATTTGAATAGTTTTACAATTAAAAAGACAATTTCAAAAGTTTTCATTGAATTTCAAATATATACAGGAACAAATGAAATGAGAGTTTTAATCAACAAATCAGTTAATGAATGAAATCTATTATTGGCTGCATAGATCATTTATGTTCCTTAGACAATGTAAACCAGTAAAATAATAAACTAGTGAAGCAACAATTCGGATTTTCAGTTTGTTTCAGTCAGTTACAACGTACAACTTCGCACGCACGTATGTCAGTTCAGATGGACATACCACATTATCACAGATATGCAACTGTCAGTTCAAATCCCAAAGTGGTGGAGATAGCAGAAGAAAGAATAGGCGGTAAAGGACAATATTAGGGATCGGAGATATTATTGAAGAAGTATGGTTCAGTGAGATAACTTTAGGAAGAGAAAAATAAAGGTGATGAGGAATTCTGAGGATTAGGATTTCACAGAACACAAAGAGTGGATGTACCAGCGCCATAGCAAACGATTCTGAGCCATGTCTTTCAAGGTCTCTAATCATCGATTATTATCATCTCGCGGACCCCAACCAGGTAGCCTACATCTCTCAACATAACTTAGTCCAGTTGTCTGTGACTTCATGGATTTGTGCCATGTTTTGGTTTGGCCCTTCCTAGGTTTGTTTCAGTAGATGTATGTTGGTGGAACATACTTGTTAATTAAAGAACTGCGAAAAAAATTTACTACATAGCTGACTTGTGAGAAACCAATTTTATTGGTTGATTTTGGAGCATGGTCTTCATTAGACCACAAGCAACTTTTCTGTGCAATTTATCTGCTGGCGCTACGTCATTTCAACACTTTGATGATACAATAAAAATATTATGCAACAGGTTGCTGGTATAACATTTTGAATTCCTCACTAAACTTTCGGTAAATTATGATACAGTTTAAATGAAATGAAACCTTACATAATAGTGATATCCTATTAATAATAATAATAATAACAAAACTATTAAAATTATTCAACTTACTCGACAATCTACTTTGGCATCATTATCTAATAATAGTTGTACAACAGGTAAACGATTATAATGTGTAGCTATATGTAATGGAGTCAAATCATTTTGACCGACAGCATTAACAATTTTTGGTTGTGCTTGAATTAATTGTTTAGCTACTTTGACTTGACCACGTTTAGCGGCTAAATGAAGAGCAGTGAATCCTTTCTGTGTAGTTGAGCACGCGCATACGAAGGAGTAGAGAGAGAGAGAGAGAAACAAATAAGACGAAACAATAAAAAAAAACAAGCAAACCAAAAAAAAATCGAAATTTCTACATAAAAATTCGATAATATGTCGTTTATCAAACAAACTGCGCTTAGTTAGACAGCCCTTCAAAATTGGACAGCTGTTCCGTTGTATTATGGGACTACTAAGTAATTTTATATTCGATGAAAACTCAACAAACGACATGCAATGTTTGCATGCAATTTTATGAATAATAAAACACTTCATTTACTTTTGAACAATGAAAATGAACGAAATAGACTTAAAATCATTTGCTTACATAAGACAGTGATTCGTATTTAATGTCAACACTTAAAATTAACCTGTTCGCAAGCAATCACACAATATTCATTATATGATTTCAATTTGTCAGACAGAATTGATCATTTCAATGTATAGATTACCTTTACTTGTTGTATTCAAGCTTTCACTACATGACACACTTTACAAACAGTAATTCCAATGTTAACCACTATTCAACTATGTAAGTATATATGAAAACAATTTAACATTCACTATTTCTAAGTTGATAACAATTCATTAAGGACAAACTGTTGTGCTATCAAATAAAAGAATGAGAACAATATGAATTGAAATATGTATAGAAAAGGAAAAATAAGTCTACGAACCTTTGTACGAGCATTTATATCAGCGCCAGCTTCCAATAGTTGACCTAATAAATCATGACGACCTTCTTTAGATGCAATATGCAAAGCTGTATAACCATCACGAGCCGGTAGATTTGGATTAGCTTTGCAAGATAATAAGACAGCGATTAATTCTGGTGTCCCAGTTAAACAGGCTACATGCAATGGTGTTTGTTCATCCTAAAATATAAAAAGATCAATGCAATACAAGCAGTTTACAAGCGGGATGATAATAATTATAAATGGATAGATTATTATATCAACAATTGAATGAACAGCCAATAACCAACCTTTGATCAAGATTCAAAGGCAGATGAAGTTCTTTAGGAATGATTTATATAAAAAAAACTTTAGGTATATCTATAGTGATTGTAGATTCAGAAGTAAAACTCTAGCACAAACCCATGAAGTCACTGACAACTTGACTGAGCCATGTTAGTAGGTGTAGACTACCTGGTTGGAGTCCTCGGGACAACCGTAACTGATAGTTAGAGATTTTAAATGAAATAACTCAAAATCGTTTGCGGTGGCGTAGATGCATCCACTCTTAGTGTTCTCTAAAATTCTAATCTTCAGAATTCCTCGTTACCTCTGTCTTTCTCTTTCTAAAGTTATCTCATTGAATTAAACTTCTTGAATAATGTCTTCGAACCCTAATCTTCTCCATTTCGCTAATACTTCTACTACATCTACCATTGGGATTTTTATTGATAATTCCATCTCTCTTTGCTAATGTGGTATGATAACTTGAACTGATGTACGTACGTACCAAGTTCTATGTTGTTTCCGACTGACTGACTGTGTAAAAAATGTAATGATGTCCTAATCTTTAGTGGTGATAGAATTTCTTGTATCAAGCTGCAATGTGTTCACTACTCTGAGTAACTCAAAATAATTTGACTTAAGGCAGTTGAGTGCAATTTGTAAGAAACCTGATCAAAATTAACACTCGCTAGTAAGACACTCGCAATTTTTAGAGAAATGCTGCTCTTTGCGAAATTTGGCCAACACGACAATCAGAGACATTATTGATTGATCAGTGCAAAGGATTGAATAAACACTATATAGATTAGTACTTAAGGTTACAAAACATCAGTTCCAACGTAAACATCTTAATATTATTTCTAATTACCATACTAGGTGAATTATAACTCCATGAGAACCAATAATTCCGTTCAAAATGCAAACTAGAATCAAACTTATGCATATGACTTCCAACAGATTATATTTAATCACCCTAAATTGTGTAAAAAATACAATTCCATATTAACACGTAGAATTAGTCTTAGAAAAACACAATTGGTAAACAAAACAATACATAGACTAATTTAATGGGAGCACCATATTTCCTTCCATATTAACATTAACATGGGACAAAATGTTCGACTAAGAATGTTATATCAAAATCAAAGGGAAGATTTATTTCTTAGCACATTCAATTGTTCCTACAAACTAGAATCAGATATCCAGGCACTGAACGTCTCTAATTGATGTAAGTTAAAGAAAGATTGAATGTAATTCATGAAGCAAATCTTATTACTCTTTCATTGTTTAAATGTATGAGTAAATCAGAATCAAACAGATATTTCACACGGAATGAAATTAGGCAGTTGTAAGTATTTATCTTTTGAAAGCTTATTGTGTAAATGCATGAACATGAAAAAAGTTACGGAAAAAGAGACAAATGTTCTACATGTTTAACTCCCATTCATATTTCTCAATAGATATGTACAGCTATTTTTTTTATTAATAAAAAATTAAAGTCACTTTAGAAAATAACAAAACTGATGACGACAAATATAACTGAAAAAAAATATCTGCTTTCGTATACAATGATAGTTTTTTTTTAAAATGAAATAAGAACACGCAACTAAATTTTTTAAAGCACGAAATGACGTTAAATTTTCTTCTGTCAAAATACCAAAACGTCAAGATGTAGGCAATGATTAAAATAAATCATTGACCAACTGAATAAAGCATTTAGGAGAAAAGGAAGATGTGAAAATCGTTCAATATGGCTACCAGACAAAGGGAAAGACAATTTGATTTGTTAAAGATGATACCTTCAATATATAGAATGTTAATTTCTCACCATATAGTTTGAAAATGAAATTGTCAACTGATCACACAGATGCTTAGATGGGTTATGTTTAACAGTGGATGAGCTAAAAGAAAGCGGGGATAGAGGAATAATCATGCTGACTACAAGCATCATATATGTCAGTGAATCTGAACTAACAAAATTACCTAAGAGAATGAATTCAGAAGAATATTAGCCATAGATCCGAAATACAGTTCGCAATAATCATACGTTTGATTAGAAGTAAGGAAACTAAAGATGGTCCGGTGAGAAATACCCTTTAGGTGAGTGAAGAAATCGTCGCAATATACTTCTGTTAATGTATGGAAATAACTATTTGTTTCTCCTTATAAGTAAGCTTATCGCGTGCGACGAATACATATTTGATTTGAATCAGATTATTAGAATTTTAGGAAACTTTTACATACGAAATCGTTCACCCAAAAGCCGACAAAACAAGATATAAAAAGTTATAGGTCTCCAGTACATCTATACAAATCTATGACAAAATCTGATTTATCGTAAATACAAAAACACTAAAATAGTAAATGTTAAGTCATTAATTATCAAACTTCTAAGTATCATAAACATAACATGATTGAAAGATTAAGGTTATTTGACCTGAACAGTTCCATTTACAATCAAGCAGTTATTATCACATTATCTTAAATAATAAAATTAAACAGATAGTGAATAAACTACTATAAACAAAATGTATGATCTGGTTTCGACCATATACAGAGCATGTTCTAATCCTTCTTAAAACCGAATGAACTAGATTTCACAATGTAAAATATTTCATAAGTCATATTAATTGAAGAATACTTATACTTAACAATTACCTGTTTCGAGAAAGATTAAAGGGTAGTTTATTGATTTGTTTATCAGGCACAGGTCCGTGTATTTGGCTTCAACTTAAAACTACTCAGTTGCCAGAAAAAGTGGATGAAGCAATATTCAACTTGAGACTTAGGGTTTGACACTCCAACTCTCTCAACATTTAGCAACTATTTCACACTGGTAGAAGAAGTAATAGTGTTAGTACTACTAGCAGCACAGGACCTTGAGACTGATTGCATAAAGTTGTTTACTTGGTAAATAAATTACAACTTGATATCATAACTTCATTAGCAGAAATCAAACGAAAAATAAATATGACATAAATAAAAGTTCTTCAAGCATCTTGATTCGCAAGGTGAAATAATTTACTGTTACTTTTCAGGGAAGTTGAGTAGTGAACAGACAAAAAGTAGTTGGTTGAAAATCTAATCATAAGCCAGTGATATACGCAAAATATAAAGTTAAATCGTCAACAAAAACATATCTCATAAGTTTGAAAGAATACTACAGTCCATAGATTAATCAGATAAGTAAACTTGATTGATAATGATTAGTGATAAAAGTCCCAATACAAAAAACCAAAGAGGTCATGAAAACTAGTTATTGCTAAGGCATTGGTCTATCATGCAATTATCCGGTGAAAAAAATGCAATATCCGAAAAAACTTTACTCAGTTACATGTTAAACTTTTAGGTCAAGACACTAATCAATCCATGCCCAGAGTATCCTTAAAACTAGCTCCAAACAACTTACACTCCAAAATAATGCACGCGACATTGAGTCACTAAGACTAGTAGCCATATTAAAACTTGGTTAACAGTATAAAATTGATACTAAGAGGCTACATAAAAAGTGTTGATAACCGCTCTCGTTAATCAATTTTAAATATCTCAGTCCTATAAGAAGTCATTTGTAAGTAAATGCTGCCAACGTCTCAGATTGTGAATCTAAGTGAATTATATTCGAACCCACCGAGCAGAATCAATATTACAAATATATCTTACTGATGAGTACGGAATACAACAAAACCCAAGTTCGAAATTTCTTGTTGACTATTAACTCCAACTATCTAACATCAAAGGCAAAATAAGTAGTTATTACCGTAGTAAGGATAATAAAACACAAGGTTATAATGATCAAACCTAATAAGATTATGAGATTGTTTGACTTACTCTAGCTTTAGCATTTACCGAGGCACCATGATAGATAAGCGTTTCAGCTACATCAACTTGCCGATTACGTACAGCTAAATGTAATGCTGTTTCACAACGCATTGTAGCTTGATTCACAAGTGCACCATGTTGTATTAATAATTGAACAATTTCTGGACCACCAATAAATGCTGCCACATGCAGTGGAGATAGGCCAGACTGAATTGGTTCATTGTAGAAAAAGAAAACCCAGAAACAACAAGAGTTTCAATTTTTTCATCGATAGAGTAAGGTTTTAAATACAAATCAATAAATTTATAATGTATTAATACCTATAAAGCAATATCCAACTAGTTCTATCACTACAAATAACATGGTTTTGCTGAACGAAAGAATCGCATACAAGTGATTTGCAAGGAGGAGTTAATTAAGGAGTTAGTCATAAATAACATGAAACCCACCACATATGAGCATCGGTTTAAGTTGCCACACAATGAGTCAAAATTATCAAAGTAAATATGCCACAATAGTAAAACTGGTAACAGTATCAATAGCAGTTGGATACACACTAGATATAAAGTAATACGATTCGAGAAGAGAAAAGTAATACATGTAATTTTAAAATTTGAGTTTTAATGAAAGAAAAAATATAAAATTACATCTTTGCTATTGGAACCAATCGTCTTAGTCATGTCACCAACCTACCCATCGATACAAATCAAACAACAGTTAATAATTTCAGAGAATTATCACTGAGCCATAATCTATAATCCAATAGCGATAACCTATAAACACCTTATCACAAAGAAGCCCATAAAGTTTGACAGTTGTACAGCAGAACATTACAGACCACAGCTCAGAACAGATATTTAAAAGTGAATAACATTTAGTCAACTAACTGTCTCCAATAGTCTAATTGCATTAGATGAGTTTCAATGTCAGAAGGTGGGACATGTACTGTAAATATATCAATAAAATGGATATTTTCAAATAGAAATATTGAAATTACACATTCATCTTGTTAAGATTCTCTAATCCCTTTACAGTGCTTTTTTTTAAATTCAATATAAATGAAAGCATTAAGTGTAAAATTAATGATGAATAAACATTATGCAGATTAGCACACATCTGTTATAATCAACATCTAAGGGATATTTATTGTGGATACAATAAATGATGTCCGATTATAAGTCATTAACATCCCTAGTTGCTATCATTAATCTTTTTAAAAGGAACAGAAGGAGGGATTATTAAAGTCATAACTTTATTTATTAATTTAATTAATTCATATCAACAAAACAAAGCCGACTATCCTAACCAGTATAAACAAGAAGACAGTTAACAATGTTGCAATTTTCTAATGATTTATTTATCAAATAAATCAATGATAAAATAAACAGGGAATAGTTTAAGTTGACTTATTCAGATTACCAATAAATACGAATAATGAGCTGACAATATACAACAAATTCGTAATAGAAACAAATCTACAAACAACACTCATCACACTGTCCAGTGTAATATTGTGAAACAATTAATATTCCCCCATGATAATAGACACAAGAATCAATGAAACTAGATGGACAATCACTAGACTCCATTAGATAAGGAAATGTGTTATAGTGAGAACTGAAAGAAAAAAGTGTGCAAATGTGCAAAGTTAATGATTCAATGGTGTGTGTGCGTGTTGCTTAAAGATCGATATTGTCCCAACGTGAGTGTGCATTGTTGCGAAATCCCGAATATATATGGTGAAGAGATATTGCTTTAAAGTATGAACATCATCTCACTATATATACACTATCAGCTGGCGATCAATGAACGTATGATAATACGTATTTTTCACCGACTGTGCAAAGTGCTACTGCGAAACTTTGCAACGACATGCATCCACATTTTATTATTAGCGATCAGAAATAGTGCATTCGGTTAGCTCAGTGAATGACGGTCATATTGTGGTTGATAGGTGGAGATAATTAATACCAACTCGTGTGGTTAAGCGTTGTATGTCAATAGAATACAGTTCTCTTTAATTTCACACGATACTAGGTTATAAACAGACGATTTCTTCCATATAGTCCCAAAATCGTCCAAAAAAGCACAGTATCAATTATGACCAAACCATTGAAAGTTATTCTAAAGATCGCTGAACAATACAGTCTAAGACGTCGTCATGCCTACCGTTAGTCAGTCACTTACAAAGTAGAACTTCGTACGTACGTGCGTACATCAGTTCAGGTCGCCATCATCAGGCCTACAACTTAGAATATAAGTCAGTAATGATTGTGATCGTAAAATGCAATCGATATAAAATGTATTCTCATTCATAATGCATTGAATCATCCGTTTCGACTTTTTAATCTATTTTCTAGACAATATCATTATTTTTTTACAAATAGGATACATCTTTGCCAGGATCTGAGATACACTGACAAACGACTGACTGAAGTCAGTAAAATACGTAAAAAGATGATATCATATTATGAAGTGATAAACTGTGAATCTGGATCACATTCATTGGCAATAACAGTGACGTGTAGTTAGACATGTTAAGTGAAATGATTTCGAGTAGCAATAGTACAAATGCGTTCACATTAGTACTTTTTTTCATATACACCTTTACATTCTGACTCTTCATTTTGAATTTTCAATGTTCAATTGTTTGCATTATCATCATAGTCAACAAAATTATTTCAATTTGTTTAGAATCCATTTGCATTAATCATAACTTCAACTAATATACATTAGTATGTAGATATGATAATAAATGACTGTAGAACTTACTTCAGTAGTCATATTGATTTGTGCACCATATTGAAGAAGTAGTTCAATTACTCGAATTTTTTGTTTTTTACAAGCAATATGTAACGGAGTGAAACCATTCTATTCAAACAAAATAGATAAACATGATATAAAGAAATAAAAGTCATTTGAATAGAGAAGTACACAACAAAAAAGTGACGTATACATTGTAAAAATCGTCATTATTACTAATGATTAATATGAAAATTGAATTGGCAGAAATCGGTTAACCAACAAAAATATCATACAAAAATTTAATTTACTGTTTAATCTTTTTAATAAAAAAAATTGATCTAATCGATGAGCTTAAAATAAGTATTAAGGACAAGAGAATAATATACATAAAAGTAAACTTATTATTTACTACGTTGTTGTTATTGTTGTTGCATGAGTAAATTTTTTTTTCAAGTAATATGTAGTATTTGTAAGTTTGGTAAAAATTAATAACTAATTGGATAACATGTTAACGCTTTAAGGCTATACTTCGATATTATGAAGTCACTGGAAACATCACCAGTGATAATATATTCAGTTGATGATGAGTGTTCAGCTGAATGAAATATATGTCTTGAAATTCTGTCATTAGCTACATTATAGGCTAGACTGATGTTGTCGACTAGGGAAATGAATAAACAGAATATTGATCGAACAACAAACGGAATGATACAATATGGGCGGATGATAATTATTTATTAGACTGGATAATTAATTGACTTACAACTGCAAAATAAAACTGATAACTGAAACTAGACTATTGATTAGGAGAGAAATGTGCTTTATTCAATAAATATCATAACCCTATATACAAATCAATAACTAATAAGCATAAACAATGGAACAATATATCAGCTCACTAGGCAAGATGAATCACTGAATTATGAATTAATATTTATCATGCTTAATTCTTGATCATTAAAGCAAGCTGGAATTCAAAAGTTCTCGTTATTGTTTGTGATTAAAAAGCGGAGTGAAAATATATATTTTTTTTAAAAAGCCAACCATATCTATCATTTAAATTCTAGGGAAAAAAAGTGCGCTTAAAATCAGATTGTAGTAAATCAGTGCTTGGTAAAATAAAAAACATGATCATATTGCAATGAAGAAAGATAAGCGACAGATATTTAACAAAGCCTACCAAAGCACGGGCATTCACATCACATCCATTGTCTAATAGTACACGAGCCACTTCTGTATTACCACAATGAGCAGCTACATGTAATGCTGTCAAAGAATCCTGAAAGAAAAGATTAAAAAAGGTAAGCCGACATAAACGAAGCGATAAAAGGAAAACAAATTGATGATCTACACACCTTTTAGCATGTTTTATACTAAAAACATCTTCAATTTAAAAGTCAATATCCTTTGGATCTATTGACGTATTATGCCTGTTTGTTCTTAACTAGTAAACAGGATCATTGTGAGTAGTAACAGAATATATGTTGCCCAGGAAAAAGGTGAAGTTAGGAAGCACAGAAAGTTATTTGTAACGTTGATTTACTGAACTGGTTTATAATATTTGCAAGGCGATTTTTGAACTTTTGTTTCAGTATTTCGTTATTGTTCATAATCTATAACCACCGATGTATTACTCAACTTCATATTATACACGTTGTTACTTACTAATTATGATATGTTGAGATCCAGTATGTTAAATATATACTCGCAAGTACTTGCAACCAATTCCACTTCCGTGATATGCAGTTGTTGAAATGATAAGAATTTTGCATCGGGCAATCATCACTTGTAATGCATATTATTATCATCGAATCGGTAGACTCATTGGCACCGATGAGTTCACAAAACTAGCCCATTTATAAACACAGACTCACCAATCAAGAGTAAACACAACAGTTTACCATAAAATATATGAATATAAGCATTTTTCTTTAATGGGAAGATGTAGGACAAGATCTTATAACTAAAATATTTATCTTATTGCCCAATAAGTACATCAACAAAATAAACGCAAAACTTGTTCAATTATTCATAGTCTTGATCAATATTGTGTAATCGGAAGTAAATAAAAGGTTTATTTAAAAGACTAAGCGAAATTATTCATCTAATACATGGTTTATTAAGTATCGTGAATTACAAATAAAATTTAATTAAACATTGATATTTGGCATTATTATTTAAGTCATTAATGACGAGCACTTTTGCACTTTTTTTTAATAAAAAAAAACAACATCATTATTAATTAATTACATGGAATACACACAAAACGTGCATTGAGTTAAAGCATTTTTTAAAAATGCTGCATTCAATGAAGTAAGAGTATACGAAGTATATGTCAATCAAAATAAAAAAAGGTTAAACTAACGCCAAAATCAATAGCACTTAGAGGAATGCATAGGCAGTTAGAATAATTCGGTAGATTAAAAGTATTTCTTATGATTACTGCTAACTGAAGCATATATATATATATATATATATATATTTCGGTAAAAGAATGCATACATCACATTGTGAAATCGATTTCAAATGATTGCAACTTTTTTTTCACAAATAATATTATCACTAATAATAATAATAATAATAGACAGTCCAAATGTTGAATGACCAAACTAGTAGTAGTTTGGTAGATGACAACAACAAGACAATAACAATCTGTATTCATAGTATGATTAGCCTTCTTAACTGAAAAGATTATTTCAAATTAAGCATTATCATTATCATCATCATCATCATACAGTGAAAAACTAGTTCATTATTTATTCATTTCCTTGACGAATATTACCGACGTTACATTTCTTTGGTGTCATCTTGATTTTTTCTTTCGTTTTGTTAAAATACTTAATTGTGTTAAATTGTTGTATTGGATAGACTACATTTACAATTCATGAACTATTCGAACAAGGAAAGAGAACAACAAATGCGATTTCTATGTATATAACAATCATAGAAGAAGAAAGTAAACAAAATCCTAACCACATTGTACTTAAAAATCTATAAAAATTTAGATTTTTACTCCCAAGAGTTAAACACGTTCAAATCAAAAAGTATAATGTGTCATCGTCAAGAAATCTATACAAGAAATATCAGTATGATATTTTTGCGGAAATCATCTACCATATGAAAATTATGTGATTTTGGATAAGCGAGATCAACATTTCTCTAAGAAATCGAAAGTAACTTTAGGAATACTGAATAAATTGTAAATGCAAAATGAAATTCAGCTCAGGTGTTGATGAAGATACACTTCATAGTTCGAAAATCAATCTGTTGGTCATAAGGCTTCAAAGATATAAACAGATAGATTTAAAAATGTGTAACATAGAAATCAACCAATAGATTTTCAGATGGATTAAAAGCGAACAAAAACCAGTAATCGATACATTGATAAAAAATAACTTTGTTTCTTTTTCATATATGTTGACATTTGCCGGATAAAATCTCCATTTTACTTTTTCTATCAGTTTGTAAGATTAACAAATCGGATAAACAGATAACGATATGATCATTATTGACAATGTAACAAACATTTTAACTAAGTGTAAAAGAAAAATAAAACATTGCATCAACTTACACCTGTTCTATCAGCTACACTAGCACCGCGTAGAATCAATACACGTGCAACTTCTTCATTATTACCTTGTGCTGCCATATGCAGCGGAGTTAATCCATTCTAGTAGATGAAAAAAACACAGAATAAGATGGAACCCAAGGTGATTTACAGCAAGATCACGAAATTTGATCGACTAATCTAACAGTTTGATGAAAATTGGTTATTGTATACGTGAATTCGGAGTATGACCAATATTTTACAAATTGTACAGCTCTGCATCAAACTGACTTTGGTAAATACAACGACAGTCTACTTCGGTAAAACAGGCATCAGCTGGAGATTGAGGCGAAAATTATGTATCATACGTAAATATAATACCTGTATAGATTTAATCTGAAGAGACAGATTCAAAAATCATTATCTGAAGATCTTTAAAGTCATGAAGTGAAAATCAAAACAATTCACGACAGTTGTTCCGATCAAAGGTTACCATTTATTGGCAAGGATTAATGGAGTTCGAAGCGTTGATAAAGAGTATCATTTGGCAGTGAAGTCACAATTTCTTAAAAGATTCATTTCAACAGTAATGTTTGATCTACTAGTCACTTTTCAGTGCTTGACTGCCATAGCAGAAAGTTGTCAAACCAAATTTTGAATCTGCTTCATAATTATGGAGTCTGGGGATGATTAACCAATAAACTACTTAGTTGATATGTTGTAGATGAAAAAATCACGACAAATAATTTGTCTTTTTACCAAAAGTATGTTTGCTAAGTCATGATGATGAATTTAACCATTTAGAATACTTACTACTATTGTAACTCAAATATGCATTAACTATACAACTGAACCAAACCATTGAACAAACACGTTTAATATCATTTCCATTGTTAAGATCACTAGTTAATCGAATCAATATTCAACCAAGTTGACCTTAAATTCGATTCAGCTAATGATAAAAAATCATGGTTATTATGTAAATAACCAATGATTATTATACTTTTTCACTAGTAAACGCACTGTGTAGTGCAATCGAACATGAAATGTAGATTGAATTGAAATGATTCATTCATTTTGGATAACACTTTACTTGAAATAAAACACTCAGTGTTAATGTCAACAACGTGTTATCTTCGAGAGATTGGAATAATTGGCAGTGTTGACGATGATTGGAAAAGTACATACCACTGTGAGTAGTGTTGAAGACAAAATCGCATTCTTTTTAGAAACTTGCTAATCAAAACTTTTCTATATGCATAAAATGTGCACGACACGTCAAAGATAAACACTATCATTGGTACAATAACTATCACTAGGACTACTACTATTAGCAGTCACATTAGATACTATGCAGAGAAAAGTTGAGATGTAAGCAAATAATTAACATTCCCAACAGAAACAATAATTCACATTAAATAAGATTTAAGATAGCAGAATCTCTGTTACATTAACATAACACATAAAGTAGTAATCTCGCTTTTAATTCGCTAATAGTTGAGTCTTATCAATCGGTAATTTCTAACTTTTAACATGATGAAGTGATTAAATTGATTGGAGATCAGAAGCAACTCTAACGGATAATATTATCAGTAAATCTTATTTTTTTTAATCAACTGATCACTTCAATATTAATAACTGAATAAAATGATGAACGATGGGTTAAATTATGAACTTGTCTGCAAAATTAATTCTTAACCTACAATAAGGATAGATCAAAGAAAGAATTGTTGTTATTTTCATAAGAAAAAGATGAATTCCGATGGACAACATAACCAGTTTGCCGACAATTGATTTGACATAATGATAACCTACCCTTGTTTTAGCTGAAGGATTAGCACCAGCACCCATCAACAATGAAGCTAATTCTGCATGACCAGATCTAGCAGCACAATGCAACGGTGTTAGACCATCCCGTGTACGACAATCGACTAAAGCATTTGAATTCAAAAGTAGTTGAACCATGCCACCACGTCCCCATTTAGCAGCCACATGTAATGGTGTGATATTATTCTATCGTCAAAAACAACAATAATAATAATAATAATAATAATAATAATAAAGACACAAAAAAATGATGCAGACTTTGAAAGAGCGACAAAAGACCAGTCAAAATGTTAATCATAATGTTAAGTTTTCACGTTTATAAATTGCCAGACGATAGCAGTGAAAAAGCTTTAAACTAAATACAAACACATGGTAAAAGAAAGTATAGTTTGAAATGGTGTCTATGTACACACTTAAGCGACAATTATTAGTAAACACCTAAACCCCCCAGAGTACTATGCTTGAACTCTATTTCACCTGCTATGGTTTAGGCAGCATTATAACTAGTTTAAGTACAGAGTATACTTAGTGAAGGATTGAGTAAAGCTGTCATTACACTAATAGTTAGTTAAATAAAACTGAATAATCAGAATATATACCGACAAAAAAAATGGTTAAACTATTTAAACTTATCGAATCCAATTTTAGATAATATCAATTTAATGAGCATTAGAACTAATCACAATGACTTTATTCAACCATTGATTTAATTTATAAAAGAAGTTCAACAGATATATATATATATATATATATATCACCTAGATGGAACAAAACTAGCAGCTATTTAGAAAAAAATTTGGAATTTTATTGCTTAACCTAGAAACAATTTCTGATGTAAGCCCTCATTTTCTTTATCAGTTGTAAGAAACGTAAGAAACAGACACATCAAACTCAGTTGCCGCGCCAAGTCAATACACTAGTAAAATAAATTACTAGATTAGAGTCCATGCTTTTACTCACAGTTGGTTTTAGCCAGACAACCAATAAAAAGAGAATAATGTACACTTGTTTTGTTATAGTATAGGAGTGTGTAGGCTGCTTTATGTTCGTAGTCCGGCTCATCAATTCTGTGGTAGATGTGGGCTAACCATTTCTATGGCGGTAGGTATTGCATATAATTCTTAAACTTCGTATACTGCTCGTCCTGATAACCGTTACTAGATAACGGCCCAACGGTCTATGTATCAGAAGACGATAGCACCACACACATCACCAAAACCGCAGGCACACGAAGCAAAATTGACATGGGAGTGCCGAAGAGCAAGCGACAGAGTCAGTAAATCAAAGAGAGAGAAAGTGACTAGGATTATAATGTACATATGCATACACAGGAAAACGAATAAGTCATCGAATTATTCAAGAGGCCAACATTAAAGCGAGCAGAATGAATATGCACATAGGCGGTAAGAAATGTTCCATCATACCTTCTCATATGAATGCGACAATATTAAAAGCACAACGATGCAGGGCTTAACCAAATTATATGTGAACAAACTCAAATGAATGTGAGGCACTACAACAGTCAAGCAGTGTACAAGTGAAATGAAGTTAAAAATCGAAAATAAGGCTTTCAGAGCTAGTTCAAAACAGATCACAATCTGACCTATCAGGTCACATTGTCTAATCAATCAATTCACGATATTGCCTGACTATTACTTATTGACATTGAGTTTTAAATTTTACAATAGGAAGAAATAAATGTGTATTGATTTCATGTGATTTTTGCTAATTTGACTTTAGTAGTATTTTAATCTAATGTGACTTCATATTAATTTGTACTAATTTCCTGTGAATGTCATGAAGAGTATGACAAATTCTTTAAATAATCACTGGAACTGAATTAGTAGTTATGAATGAACGTATTCGAAATATAAACAATCTTCTTTTGTATCCATATATATTTACAAATCTAAGAGGAAAATTCTCTACACAAAATGAAATATTGTCATTCAAACCATGAAACGGTCTAAGATAAACCAGAATTCAAAACCTGCAAGAAATGGACGGACATATAATCCCAGTATGGGACTTCTCAGCAGTGCGGCTCCACGACTCCACATGAAACTGCCATTCAATGCTTGCAGGTTTCCAATTCCGGTCTATTTTATATCGCTTCATGGGTTCAAGGAAACTCGACAGCCTGCACAACCTCTTGCTGAAATATGTGTACAAAAATATAAATAAACTGAGAAAAGTTAACGATCTTCATCGGAAACAAATTTACACAAAGTTAGTGATAAAGACAGATTAAAACAAGCAGATATTATTAATGATTAAATGATTACCAACACCAAATCGTAGAGGTGAACATAAAAACAATAATTTACCTTGGCTTGAAAATTCACATCTGCCCCACGCTCAATAAGTACACGTGCCACAGTCACATTACCATAATGTGCAGCAATATGCAGTGGAGTAAAACCAGGCTTTAAGAGTATAGGAAAAGAAGAAAACAATTCGGAGAATTAGAGAAATAGATTCATACTTTTGATTTATTACATTATAAATACCAAAATAGTATTGGTCTTAACAACGCTATATGAGTGTTCTTAAAGTGAACGGTTCATTACATACACTGTCTCAAAAAAGCAAGAACAATGACCCGATTGAAGTAAACCAAATGGACTGAGTAAAACGATTAAACAAGTGAAATCGATGCATAACCAAAGAGAGAATTATAAAAGGCTTTATTACTGTTGTTATTCGTGGCCTAACTATCTAAAAAGTAAATATTTCAATTGTTGGAATAAATGATCAAAGACTTTACTAGCACATCAGCTTCAATTATTTACATAATCTAGGTCCATGAAAGATACATAAACTTTTCACCTGATCAACACATTATTAAACAATGATACAAGTCTATCTTATTATTATTATTATCATATAGAGTGCAAAAAACAAAACAAAGCTTCCTATGAATGTCATATTGCCTTGATTTTAAGTGAAATAACTAATTTATCATAGAACTAAGGCATTTTCTACCACACACCGAACATTAAGAAGCTACAAGCGATATATATGCAATACAATTTCTCAAATGATAATCGAAAACAATAGTTATTTTACAAAGGTACTAAATTTAGGAATATATTATTTCTCAAAATAATCATCAATTACAGACAAAATGAATAATTCAGTGTGTACTGTTAGCATACCCACCTAGTTAAGGCATAAATAACTAACTGAATTTATTGATTTGGAAACGAAAATGAAACGATACGGTATGAATTTTGGAAACTATGGTTTACGTTACAGGCCTAAAAGCTGATAAATGGTTCATGCAACCTATTAACAATTATCGATTACTGTAAATTACAAAAAAGTAATTACCCTGAAAGTAAGAAATTTTAGTTTTCGTTGTTTACTTAAGGTGGACAATTGAATGTTTTACATAAGCAAAGTAATATCTGATAAAGAGTGAATGGTGTTAATTTTAGTTCAAAATTGTGATAAATAAACGAGAGTAACATGTGGTAATTCATTTATCAGGTATATAGAAACATACACTCAGCTTTGAGTCACACTTTACGGGGGCTAGTGATACTACTTAATTGTCTCAAACTGAAATGGGTAAGACGGTGCTGTAACATGCAACAAAATGCCTAGAAGTCATTGGTCTTAATCACTACTCCTATAGAATAGGTTTATGCACACTGACATAAATATAAAAAAGATACGCAAATATGTTTAGTTTCAAAGACTTTTTCTCTAAAAAAAGGTTTAAAATGAAAGATGATTAATAAACTCGAGATAGTCCATTCATAGTTTCTATTGGTTAGTGAATGACCTATGTAGCTCTAATCCTACAATCACTTGTGTCCACCAACAACTTTTCTTAACCAGTTGTTCTATCGTTTTCGTGTTCGTTTACTAAGGAGTTTTATTTAAGCGATTTAGTTTTCATGGTTAATCATCATCTGTACAGTATTATTATCGACCATATTGGCAAAAGCCAGAAACAACAAAAATGAATGACGTGAATTCACACACACACACACACACACACACACACGAAAACAAATCAAGACAAATGTGGTAAAAATTGTGCTTTTCATTGATAACTAAGCTGGACTGAATTAATTTAGAGAATGAAATCCAAACAAGCATTTCATTATTAAAATTTTACAACAAATGGTAAATTGAAACCTTATTAACAAACTGTATAATTGAATCAAGGTTGGACTTTATGAGATTTTGTTCAGTTTGTTTATTATAACGACAGAATAGTTGTTTTGTTTTAGTGTGAGAATTTCTAAATGTGACCCTCGGTTTTGTTTCAATGTTAACCCTAACAACTAAAATCATTTTATGACGAATACCACATGCCAAATTGTATGTTTCTTAGAATATTAATACAGTAAATAATCGCTAATGTCACACTATCAAGAGTTCTAAGTAGATAGTAGATATATGATGGAACAATACTGTAACCAATGAAACATTGAGAAGGATTACTTTGTTGATTAAAAGCTTTAACTTGGAAAATACAGAAAATCTGCAAGATAGACAGCATATTGGTAAAAAACCTGAGCAGCAAATATAAGGAATATATCTGTGGAAGTTTCGCAACATAACACAGCGTCAAAGGATAAAGAATTCGTTACAGGGACTAATCAGTCCAAATGACGGCAATTCATAACATTCTTCTAAGGAATCATGTTTCAAAATCCTATACTCTACACATGACCTTCACTTTTACAAACCATGTTTTATAGTCATAAAGTACAGATTGCTGAGCAGTAAACTCGACCTCATTATTGAACGAATAGACATCTAGCTCCGGCTACCAATAAAACCGAGAATAATTAAATAATTGAAAACAAAGTAATGGACAAATGAAGCAAACGAAAGGTAGTTTGACAGAAATTAACATGCAACATTAAAATAAGAACAATTAACTTTTTTTTCCTTTTAATAGAATGGCGACATTAAAACAATAATAGTCATAATCCAAAACAAACACATAAAAATTAGAATAGGACAGGAGAGAGAAGAAATGGAAAACTTAATGTAAGCAACGAAAATGATAGATGTTTACACTGAAGGCAATAATTATTGTTTATACCCGAACCTATTGGTCGCGGGTCTGTTTTCCTCTACATTTTTTTCAGTAGTAACGTTTCTACCTCTAAAATTAATCAGATAATGCATATAAAGTTTGTATACAAACGATGCATGAGAAAATATGATAAACTAGTTAGAGAATTGACATAGTTTAGTATAACATGAACTACTAATAATACTGTTAAAGATACTACAACAAACTGATTGGTTAGATGAGACTAGCTGATGACACAATATCTACTGAATATAGTTTGATGAGAAAAAATTCAAGAAACTAATACAATAAACCATAACTTATCATTAGGTAGCATCTAAAATCATCATTAAATATCGACCCATTTGGTAAACAAATACATAAAAGGTAACTCGAATCATGTTTAACATGTTTGAAGTAAATAATCAAGATTCTAGGTCATTTCAGGATGAATAATCAGTTCTCTCTCTCGCTGATTATTTTTCGAAATAAACATAAAGTTTATAATAGATGGCTAAAAACAGTTAGTAAAAAGAGCCCTATACCTATGTTTGGCACTAGTCGAGATTTTTTAATGAAGGGTACCTGCAACGACGACGGAACTGACGCTCCATGTACCATTTAAATCAACAATACTCGGTGCCAACTGGCACGAAATCTAGGTATAAGAGGTCCTGATGACTGATTCCAACCACTTAACATCAAGTCATTTAGACTAATTATCAAACTACAACCTAAATAGCATTACATGTATGACACTGGTGATCAAACAGTAAAAACCTACACTTTCACTGTCTCTGACAGACTGCATTCAGTCATATAATAAATAAGAAAACGGCATTGAAATATAATTTAGAAAAAACGAATGAAATCATAGTTGTGCTTTCTTTAGAAATCTGTTCTCAGCATTCATCTGCTGAATTTGTCAGATATTTCCTGCATAGTGTAATTTTAATGTGACAAAGTAAGCGAGAATAGGTTTACGTGTTTTCATTTTCAGTTACAAGTTGTGAGTGTTAGTGATAATCTTTCCGAACACAAGTATAGTGGGGATTCAAACTTATAATTATTAAACTACTGCTTAAAGATTGTTATTAATAATAATCATACTGATCTCATCATTTTGCCTGACATGTATTATACTTTTTTCATAATTATTACAATACTAATAACAAATCTTCATATTATAATACAGATAGAAGATAGTAGATAGATAGAAAGTATGAATTGTTTCAATCTAATCGACTAATTGACATGAAGAAACAAAGAATTAATTCCATTACGGAGTGAATGATCTTTATCGTAACAATCATCGATTTGTTAGATGATTTTGAATTAATTAGTAGGGAGCTTATGTCAATGACTTGATTGCTTGAGAAGTTATCGTTCAGTCAGATTGCATAACTAAATTCCATCTATTGATATTGTCATTGGATTCATTCAACTAACCAATCAAAAATGCATTCATCAAATTATAGAATAGCTAATTTCAAAACGGTGGTGTGCTTTCAGTCAGAGATAATAGTCCTGTTGCGAAAGACAAACTAAAATACATACACTGATTACTTCAATCAGAGTCAAACGACTGTGATGTAGACCGTCTCTACACACATAAACTAATTTTATGAAACCGCTTTGATCAAGTTTGAACCTATTCCAAACGAAACTACATCTTGCAATACTGAGAGAAATAATCAAGACAAAATAAGAATTCCAATTGATGGAAAAGTAAAAGCTGTATGTCACCAAAGCCAAGTAATTAGGTGACTACTAGCCATGATTAACTAAATTGGAAATTCAGATACTATATATATATATATATATATATATATATATATATATATATATATATATAAAATAAATATACATATATTTCACAGTTCGTTAAAGCGTTACACAGTGACGTAACTGAAAAAGCACACGTAAAACCGGGAAGCGATAAGAGGAAAGAATGCTTAGAAAAAGTAAAATAATACGGACTAAAGATAAGGAATTTGACATACTCCAGTCAATTTTAACTATACTGTTAGTTATTAATTCTACTAAATATAGAAAATCCATCTACCCAATTTCGTAAAACTTTACTTATTTGTAAAGGTTCATATTTTCTTGTTGCTGATGTTACACACTACGATATTATAAGAGCACCATATGACAAGTCTTAAATAACAAGCGCATTCCTTATATTCGACATCTAGCCACTAAACAACCTTTAAAATATTCAATTTCATTTAACGCAATAACCAAAAGTACAAGCTTGAGACAACTCCGCCAGTAGAACCTTAGGGGCTACTGCCGGTCCCAAGCCCGGATAAAGGAGGAGGGTTGGACATGGGGTTGGCGACCCCATTCCGTTGAAATCTCACTTGCCAAAAAACAAGCTTGAGATGCGCGTTCAATGTGTGCAGGAATGGAATGATGCTACTGTTCAAAGTGAATGGTCGATAGGCTGAGATTTTAGTCTGTCATTTAGTGAATTAAACTGATTTGATGATAGCTTTATTTTTCGATGTAAATATTATCACTTATGTTATCGATTGCATAGTGTGACATTATCAGTGAAATATACAGAGGGAATGAACATTACATATGAACTTAAACAGAAAGGGTTGTTACACTCAAAAGATACCTTCTAATAATTACTATACAGAGAAAATCCCAATTCATACTGTAGAATATATATCGACAAAAAGAACGTCACATCATCAAAAAGCCACCTGTTAAAATTCAATAGGCAAGACAATAATTTATGGACGAACCAATCACATTTGACGAAGTGATTCTTGTTTTTTTTTGACGCGAAATTCATCCATTTCGGTATTTATAGCTGATGACATTTCGTGATGAAAACCCCCAACTCTAATTCCTAACGCTTACATTCAGCTGTAAATTTTATTCTTAATATCTTACACTAGTTGATAACCTTCTTTTAACTCTAATAAGTAGGTAAATATCCCAAAAATCACTTTGGCATAAGATCAAAGGTCGTCCATAAAGTATAGTCTCACCGTTTAGTACAACGAAATTGTGCATATATTGTTTAGTCAGTTACAGACACACAAGGATATAGTAGCTAGTTTAATCAGCTTGTAATCAGTGAAACTGAGTACATTAGTTTAAAGCTAATAATCTTTGTAAAAAAACAATTTTGTTCTTCAACATGACCATTGGATTCACATATTTAACAAAACAAGCTAAAGTAGTGATGAAATTCCTTATTTCGAGATGAAAATTCATTTTTCAAAAACGAACGAAAAACTGTAATGTTGAAATAACGCTGTCTGATAAGTAAATAAGATCGTTTAAAGATAGACTACGTCATAGGTTGTGGAGTGCTGAAAAGTCACTTCATCCTACTTTGGCACACATCAGTAATCGGGTATGGAGCCCTATCAGCGATTATTCTCAAGAACTTAAAGCCTTGCAGCTAATAAGGTAACTACCGAGTCATAATCAAAAAACCTTACATCTTTTTGAAATTCAAATGATTCGCAATGTAGTGTGACAGTCATCAGTCAGTAGCAAGCTAAGCTGTATGTATCTCATTTACCATAGGTTACATTTCAGTAGTAATCCGAAATCGTGGTTATTCTAAATTAAACTTTTTCAACTCTTACATAACTATTGGTAATAAAATTATAAATAAGAGAAAAACAATCAAACTCACTTGAGACTGATGATTCACATTGACTTCTGCATTGTTCAATAACAAACTCACAGCATTGGCATCGTCTTTTCTTGCAGCAATATGTAGAGCTGGCATACCACCTCGACTACGTGAATCTCTTTCTAGAAGATGTGCAACAACACGATCATGACCTTGTTGTAAGGCCACTGCTAAAGGAGTGAAACCATCCTGTAGAAGAACAAAATGAGAAAGAATACCAGTGCAATCAATTTCTGTCATTAAGACACAACAATTACTGATAAATGAATCTAATAAACAAGACACCTTTAGCTCTAAGCTGAGTGGAATGTCCACTTGTTATTTTTTACTTGTAATGACCACCATCACGTTTACCTTTTCCCTAGCGGTTGTTTCAATGTAATTTACTTACTAAGTACATATTTATATATTCAGAATGGAACAGCATTGTTTAACGATATTACATAACTGACTAAACTGAAGTACGTAGGAGCAAGTTCGCACTTGAGACTTGCGATTCCCAGAACTAATTTATGGATAATTATTATTTATAGTTTTATGGTGTAACTGTTAAAAAACGAAAGTACTGTCTGTGCATTCTGTCTATTATGAGCTTTTAGTTAACCTGTGTATTACTACTATACGATTTGCTCTCCCTAGTTTGTTGTCATTCCACTAACTAGTTTGCCTCATTTCTAGCCACTTACTGGTTTGTTCATGTAGAATTATTTCCCCTCATTACGGGGGAGGGGAAACAGTTCATCATGCCTGTATGCAAGCTAAGTCTGTTTGAAAAAAAAGATAGAGCAGACGCTGATTACTACTTCTGGACTCAAGGCAGAGGGCTAACGAATGGTGGATCAACAGGGATTTAGCTGAATCAGCTTGAGGTTAACAGTGCTGGTTGGTAGTGAAATTGGCTATGGAGGAAAGAATAGATACAAAATATATCAGATTAGAATTGAGACTCTGATTGGAACGCTTACATACTGGTAATCAACAAGTTAAATACAGGCTTATAAAAATCAGAATTACGCCGATGAAAAGCATCTGTGCAAGGTGACCAAGTGTTGCGACCGATTTTTTTGTTCAAATAAGAGTAAAAGACAAACCCCCCAAAAATATAACTCTCATATAAAGAACTGATCGGAATATCCTATTTAAAAGTCAACCTTTTTATATAATAGTAGGAAATCTAACTAATGTGCGTTAGAAAATGCCAGCAAACATTTATTTTAATGCCTATGAAACAACCAACCTTAAGTTAATAATGATTAACACATGAACATTCCTATATGATCACATGCAATATGCGTTTTCCTTACGAGGAAAAAAGGAATTGTAACACATTATATTAATAGTTGTCTTTTGGTCAATTTCATGATAGCTTATGACAACAAAAATATAAACTAGAGAAAGGAAAACTGGTAGTAACTCTATCTGTTGAAATGTCGCTTACAATATTCAGATTTTTTCCAACAAAATTAAATAGACAACTAAATACCACTGAACAAACCTACTAACTACAGCTAAAGTGAATGAAAAAAAACATGAATGACACTAATTATAGTAGGAATAATAAGCAGGGATTTTACTTTTTTTCATTCATGCTTTAACTCAGTGCACTTTTAATCTAAATAAGAAATGAATCAGTTTGTCATATCAGTACTGGAAATTTTAGGTAATTGTGGAAATGTTCAGCCTGATTACGCATAATTTGAATGGTACACGAGGAAGAGATGAGAAATTAAGATGAAAAATATGTAGGTCATTGAGTAGATAGTCAATATTTTAAGGGTTAAGAAGTGATTGATTTACGTTTATGTATTGATTCAAAAGTGAATGTCATTCAGTCAATTTTTCTACATTGGCTTTTGAATGAATTCACTGTAATTTTGACTCAGCACAACATTCATTGACAAAAATTTTGTGTGAAGTTTGTTTAATCTGACAAACTTTGAATGATTGCCATTAGCTATGTACATAAGTGAGTGAACACAAATAATCTTGGGTCTCTATTCACAAATCTTTTAAACAAGCCTGAACTTTTATCTCCAGTTGATGGATAGCGAAGGAGATATAAGATAGTCTGGTTCACTGACACTAAGGTTGCTGTTAAATATTATGTATAATTTGAAATGAAATATTAATCAATATGACAAAGTAATCTATTATTCAATAGTGAATTACATTGTAACATATAGGTGATAGGTATATGATAACAATGTGCATCCATTAACAAAAGCTAAGATAAAAATTATTAACCAACTGCTGGGATGGAAATAAATGAAACAAATTGTAAATTTAGTACGTTGAAATACTGTGCATATTAATTTAATTAATGATTAGCAAGTAGCAGTGAATGTCTACCCAAGAGCAAGCGAATGTAACGGAGTTCAAACCAGTGTATTTGCTCACATACGTTTGAGTTTGTTTATGTTAAACTTGGTTAAGTCCTTTTGATTCAATAATTTAACAGACTGAGTCATTCGTATTGCAACAACTTATCTGCATCATCGTGCTTTGAATATTATCGCGTTCGTATGAGAAGGTAGGATGGAACATTTCTTACCGCCTATGTGAATATTCAGTTTACCCACTTTAATGTTAGCCTCTTAAATAACTCGATGACTAATTCATTTTCCTATGTATATTTGCGTACATTTGAATCTTATTCGTTTGCTCTCTCATTGATTCGATCACTCACTGGTTCGCGCACTTGTTGACTTGCTCGCTTGCTCTTCGGCACTCCCATGTCAATTTTGCTTCGTGTGCCTGTGGTTTTGGTGATCTGTGTGTGGTGAGATAATAAGCGTAATCAACGCTCTGTAATCGTCTTCTGATTCGTACACCGTTAGGCGTTATCTAGTGACGGTCATCAGGACGAACAGTATACAAAGTTTAGGAATATATCGAATACCGACCGCCATAGAGCTGATTAGCCCACGTCCACCGCACCGGTAACCCATCCGACGGAAGAAGAGTGCTTGGATCTTACAACCCAATGGCTTAGATCTGACTCCAGAAGCTAACGACAAACAGTTTAGTTTTGATATATTACTGGATTCTTCAGCATAAATTGATCAGATTACACACAATACTTCTATAATGATGATAAACAAAACTTTATTACCCAATCAATCGAAAATTCCCATATTCTTATGACACAAAAACATAAGAGAAAACTACTTTTGAGGTGAAAAATTATTGTAAAAAGATAAAGACTAACTTCAGTAGTCAGTGCTTGATTTGCACCACGTTGAAGCAGGAGATCAACTACATCCAGATGATTTTCCTGAGCTGCCATATACAATGGGGTAAATCCAATCTAGAATGCAATATTCGAAGAAAGTAAACAAATTAATAGACATCTGTGTAGATTCTGTACCAAGTGAAGTTGGTTGCTATCAAGAACTGATAACGGACGGAAAAATATACTGGTAAGTATCAAGCGCCAGACAGCTGTTTTGCCAACAAACCAAACTAGTAGGTAATGCATGAACACACACAATCTGATACAGGCTTTAGAGCAGAAGTCTTTGGTCACCAGCAATCACGATAACATAAAGCTGTTAAGTAAAAATGGAATCATCCCAGTTTTCAAATAAAATCAGCATATTATACAACAGCGTATACCGAAGTCATTAAGCAATAATCGGTTGCACTACATTTGACTTGGCTGATCCTACAAATCACAGATTCTCAACAGAATTCCCAATAAATCCTTCTCAAAACTAGTCATTACAGGGTACACAAACGCTAATGTTGTTTTTTGCATTGAATACAATTCGAAGAGAGTTGTTGTCAAAAACTATCATTTGATTAATTAATGACGGTTAACCCGACTAGCAACATTCAGAATTAAAGTGAGTCATTCCTAAATAATTTCTGATATATATAGAATCTGGAGTTGAAATACACATATTGTAAAAAACTGTATTTTGTCAGACTGGTATTTTGAATTAGCAACAAATGACTAACTAAAGATGTATTAATTTACGCATATGAAAATTCAGAATCTGGTTTCGACGCATTTAAGATGGGAAGTGACATCATCCGGGCACCAAAATCAAAATAGGAGAAGTGGAATTAACTTAAACTAGAGTAATTTAACTTTTAAGCGACCACGTTGAATAAATAACGTAAATCAAGAGTTATGTACACAGTTCGTAAGCTTTGTAAATTCCTTGTGGGCTGGCAACTTACACTTAGGTAGTCTTAGGAGGTGCTCAAGACCGCTAAAAATAAATTGAAATAAACGGCTTTACACCATCGTACTAGAAAATTTAGCCATAATTTCCCAGAAGACTGACAACCACAGTTACCTACAGAAACTAATAAGAAGCGGTTACATAAGTTATGGATACAAAGTTATCAGCAAAAATGTAGTTCTACACTAGTTTAGCATTCATTAGTTTGCCACTTTAATCGTGATTTATGAAGCACATGACAAAGAACGTTATTCGTGGTAACTATTTATTGATACGTGAATAAAGAGTACATTGTAAGTGATATGTACACCATTTGAATCATAAACAAGTTTGCTTATGAGAATAGTGGTTTAGAATGAGTGATAATATAAAAAGACTATATTCTAAGCTGGATCATTTATTTTATGGAGCATCAATATAAAGATAGGGGGTAGTAAATCTCCTTGATAAATGTCACAAAACTAAATTAGCTACTACTTCCCACCAATACCGTCTTTTGGTGAAAACAAAGCTCTTGAAAGATCGATCAATTCGACAAACTATTTTACCGTATACTTTTCATGATTAAGCGCAATAATAGTCAGTTTCCCACCTCACCCACTACTTAAAAACTTAACTACGTAATGACAGTTAGTCGGTCGGTCAGTCAGTCAACGACATCGTAGAACTTCGTACATGCGTACATCAGTTTACATTGCCATACCACATTAGGACAGAAATGGAATTGTCAATTTAATTAAATACCATAGCAGTAGTAGTAGTAGTATTGGCAGTAAGTGAAAAGATTAAGGATCGAAGATATGATTCTAGAAGTATAATCCAGTGAAATAAATTTTTTTAAAAAAAATAGAAAAACGATTACGAATAACTCAGAAGATTAGAATTTAAGGGAAAACAAAAAATGGATGCACCTGCTCCACTGTATGCGATTTTGAACTATATCATTTGAAGTCTCTGACCACTGGTTACGGTTGTCTCGTGGACCCCAGCTAGGAAGTCTACACCATCAGCATGGATCAGTCCAGTTGCCAGTGACTTCATGCATTTGTGCTATGTTTTGGTTTGACCGCCCCCTAACTTTCTTCTATATGTCCTTCTTTATTAACAAGAAACGGGCAGTTATCTGAGCATGGTTGCAACTGACGAACGCCATTATCTGTTCTTTGAGCCGTGACACCATAAGATCCACCCAGGAGTCGTTCACTTTCGTTTAATCTACATACTTTAGCATTAAAGTCACCAGATACGATTACTACACCTGAGCGCATAGCTTTTTGAAGATTTGGAAGCTTTCCGTGAAACCGATCTTTTACCTCATCTGGACTGAAATCAGTCGGAGTATAGGCAGACAAAACGGAGAGGCAAGGTGTCTTTATCTTTTCTAGTTCTTAATGTCCCGTCTAGTCGAACAGCACACAAGCGGTTATCTACTGGAATCCAATATTAGAGAACTAGTTCTGTCTTAGAACTCAACGCTATACCTACACCAGCTATGCCACGGAAAGCAGCAGTGTGGCTTCCAGATACACGAAGCTCAAGGCACGACGGTTATTTATTTTCACATAATGGGGTCAAATGATTGACTGTACTCAGATCCTGTATGTACGTTTCAAGGACGTAGCACACATTAATGGAGCGAGATCCCAAAGTACTAGCTAAGGAAGCCTGTTGTCCTACTTGTTACATGGTCCGTACATTAAAAGTGCCAACATTTGGTTTAGGGTCAGGTTTCAGAAGACCAGGAATAACATTTCGTTTGCTCAAATCGTTAGCATTGGCGGCATGGGACGATAAAGGTATGCGAGAAGGGTTAATCGTGAAGACAAAATAGTCATCAGGATATGGAGGGAGGATATGATTGAGAAATTTGATCTTGTGTGCTGCTACGGGTATGAGGGCGGATGTCACTTCCCGATTGCCCACACTGTGAAAGGGTATTTCTTCTTCAGGGACCTGAAAAGAAAGCTGAATGAATGTTGGTCTTAGTGACCTTGGAGCCTTGGGAACAACTGTTTGACACCGTTTGTGCACGGCTTTTTTATGGGATGTTTTTGAAGGGTTAGCTCTGCTTTTCAAAACGCCTTCCGCCGGAGACGGAAGTCCGTGGAGTAAGATGAAGTGTGACATTTTTAAGGCCGATCTTTTATAACTCCTTCCTACGGTTTTGAGAAGAGAACATCGGCACAGACGCTGATCATCCGAAGAAAATACCTTATTGCCGTCACAACCGTCTACAGTCAACAGTACGACTTCGCCTTCAGACCTTGAGTTGCTGCTTTTAGTTTTACCGTCCTCCAATCAATCTGCCTAGCATGGTAGTACCTAAAAGAACATGTATTACAGCCGATAGAGCTCGACTGGGTCACTATGATAGGCAAGCCCGACCATCACGTGAAAGTGGCAGCTACGGTCGGTCTCACACACGACATTTACGGAAACACTTAAGCATACCTATATAGGTAAATAGAGAAATTCTCTCAACCACGGAAAACTGAGTTGTAGTAGCAGCAGTAGTAGTAGTAGTAGCAGTAGTAGTAGTAGTGATAGAAGTATAGTTGCTTATTTTAAAATTGTTACAATAGAATTGTTATCTTCAAAACTTACAACTGATTGACGATTTAAATTAGCACCAGCATCTAAAAGTAGTTTGACAACTTCGAAATGACCAGCTAAACTGGCGATATGAAGTGCTGTATTCCCTTTCTTAGTAGGAGCATCGAAATCTGCTCCACGTCGAAGTAGCTCATCGACAACTTGAACATAACCTTCTTTTGAGGCTAAATGAAGTGCAGTAAGTCCAATCTGAAATGCATCAGATAAAACATATTTTAATTAACAATAAATGTCAAAATTAGATTAAATGATTGTTGAGGACAGTGAACCGGACAAACAGTAACCACAAACACATGAATCATTGATCCCGACCGTAGCTGCTACCTTGACGTGGTAGTCGGGCTCGCTTATCGTGATGGTCCAACCGAGCTATATTGGCTGCGAAATATGTTCCTGACTAAAAACAGACTAAAAACAGCTACCCAAGGTCTGAGGGCGAAATCGTACTGCGGACTGCAGAGGGGTATGACAGTAGTAAGGCGTTTCCCTCGGACAACCAGCACCTGAAGCGATACTGCCTTCTCACAAGGAAGGAAGGGTTAGAAAACGACAACCCTAAAAATGTCACACCTCACCCTACCTCACGGATTTCCATCTCCGGCGTTAAGGGCTGCCCAATAAGGGCTTTAAAAAGAGCGGAGATAATACTCAAAAACCTTTCATTTAAAGGCCGTGCGTGACCGGCCTCAAGCAGTTGTCTCTTGGGTTCTGTGGTCACGCTCCCAGGTCTCTAAGACCGACACTAATCTACCTTGCTTTTCAGGTGCCTCAAGAAACACCCTTCTACGGTGTGGGCAGCTGGGAAGTGATATCCGCCCGCATACCCGTAACAGCACGCGAGACCAAATCGGTCACAAACGAATCCTTCCTACACCCCTTAATATCTTTCTTATCTCCACGACTAACTCTTCTCACATTCCCTTATCTCACTGCACCGCTAATGCAAACGATGTGAGTTCACGAAACGTTATTCCTAGTCTCCTGAAACTCTGTACTCAACTACATGTTGGAGTTTTTAATCTACGGACATTGTGTTAAATAGGGCAACAGGTTCATTAGTTAAGACTTTAGAATTTCGCGCCATCGATGTATGCTGCGTCTCAGAAACGCGCATACAGGATCCGAATTGCGCCACCCACTTGACCTCTTCACGTCAAGATAAAGAAGCGACTCGTCTCACTATTTGCGTATCTGGAAGCCCTGATGCCGCCTCCCGGGGTCTCGCTGGTGTAGGTATAGCATTGAGTTCTAGGGGAGAACTAGCTCTCTTAAAATGGATCCCAGTAGATAGTCGCTTGTGCACAGTCCGACTGAACGGGACAGTAAGGACTCGCGAAGATAGGGACACTTGCCGTTGCTTCTTCGTCGTATCTGCTTACGCTCCTACTGAATGCAGTACATACGAGGTGAAATATGAGTTTTACAGAAAACTTTCGGACCTCCTCCAAAATGTTAGGCACTATGATATTGTTATAATGGCTGGCGACTTCAATGCTCTAGTAGGTAGACTAAGTGAAGAGGAAAGACATCTCGGTGGATCTTATGGTGTCGTGGCTCAGAGAACAGACAATGGCGACCGTCTGTTGCAACTGTGCCCAAATAACCGCTTATTTCTAGAAAACACTAACTTAAGGCATATGGAAAAACATCTCTTGACCTGGAGACCCCCAAAGTTGTCTCAACGTTGGACCCAACTAGATCAAATCGCCATCAGCCACCGATAGAGGGGTTCGATAGAGGACTGTCGCCCGTTCTTGGGTACATGTTTAGATTCAGATCACGCCCTAGTGCGAGCGCGTATTTGTTCGAGGCTTACTGGACGTAGGAAAGACACCGTGAGGAAACCTGTTAGGGCTCTACTTAATGGTAATAAAGCTAAGAATATATTTCAGGAGCAACTAGAAAGACAGTTAGGCGATTATGTAAGTGATTCCCATCCGGAGACAACTTGGAATGATATCCAAAAAGCTGTGGAAACAGAAGCTAGTAAAGTTAACCATAAGGCTAAGAAGAAGCCGTGGATCTCAGTAGCATCCACCGAACTAATGGATGCTCGAAAACTCATCCCACCTGGATCTGAACATGATGAAGAGCGAAGTAAGCTTAAGCGCAGGCTGATAAAAAGCCTACGCAATGATAGCGAATAGTGGTGGGTGACGAAAGCGAGAGCGATGGAAAAATCAGCGGCGACAGGCAACAGCAGACAGTTGTTCCGCTTTATAAAGGAAACCGGTGTCAGAAATCCATCTGTTAGCGAAACTATCTCGGAAATGGATGGCTGTATCACTCATTCTCAATCCAGGAGACTGGATCGATGGGCAGAACACTAGGGATCAGTTTAGTTGACCTCGAGCGACAGTTCGGTTACCCATGATCTCCAGCCAACATGAGTGGCAAATCGATGTACGTCCTCCTAGTATTTATGAAGTTGAGAAAGCCATAGGAAATCTGAAGCGAGGGATAGCAGCAGGGCCTGATAGGCTTACTTCTGAGATTTTTAAGGTTGGTGGTCCATTCTTAACAGTTAGATTGACTGAGATCTTAGGTAGAATCTGGTAACTGCGCGTAATCCCATCTGACTGATCTCAATCACTGATTGTCCCAATTTATAAGAAAGGACAAAAGTCTTCTTGTGACAATCACAGGGAAATAAGTCTAACTAATATAGTTTCTAAATTGTTAGCCTCGATTATACTTAGACGCCTAACTAGTGCTCGTGAAGAGCAGACTAGAGAAAACCAGGCTGGTTTCAGATCTGGACGTGGATGTATAGACCACATTTTTACACTACGACAGGTCCTAGAACGAAGACACACGTTCAGACGCCTCACAATAGTAGTACTTCAGGACTTTAAAGTGACATTCGACTCTGTTGATCGTCAGGTTCTGTGACAGTGTCTGTCACTAAAAGGTGTACCAAAGAAGTACATTAACCTTATACAGGCTCTCTACTTAAACACTACAGGTGGAATTAGAGCTTATGGCGAACTGTCATCGAAATTCTTTACATCAAGTGGTGTCCGTCAGGGATGTCCACTTTCCCCATTCTTGTTTAACTTTGTCCAAGATATGCTCTCGGAGGTAACTTTATGTTCGTCTGACTCTTCAGGAGTGGACCTTCTACCAGGAGCCATGCATTCTAACTTAGAATATGCTGATGACATAGTCCTATTCGATGAAAACGCTGACAAAATGCAGTCTTTTGACTACCCTAAGCAACAATGCAAGCATGTTTGCGATGCGGTTTTCCCTCTCGAAATACAAAATGCTGCTTCAATATTGGCTTGCATCGGCGCCTGAACAAGTGATAGGGAGTGAAGTAGTCGAGCGTATTGACCACTTCACTTAACTTGGGAGTCTCATCAGTGCTGATGGTTTGGTGAATGACGAACTCTCAGCCCGGATACAGAAGGCTCGATTGGCTTTTGCCAACCTGCGTCACTTATGGCGCAGGCAAGATATCCGTTCGCTAACCAAAGGACGAGTGTACTGCGCAGCAGTTCGCTCCGCCCTACTATGCGGATGAGAAACATGGCCGGTGAGAGTAGAGGACATTCAGAGATTGCTTGTCTTCGATCATAGGTATCTCAGAAGCATTGCTGGTATATCCTGGGACAACCAAGTAAGCAATGCTGTCGTTAGGAAACGAGTACTAGGTAGGGATGGCAAATCAGTTGATGAAGTATTGAAACTTGATCGATTTAGGTGGTCAGGACGTGTGTTACGTATGCTTAACCACCGACTGACTCGACGAGCTATGTTTTGTGGTGTAGGAGTAGGTTGGAAGAAAGTTAGGGGCGGCCAGACCAAAACATGGCACAAATCCATGAGGTCACTGACAAGTGAACTGATTCATGTTGGTAGATGCAGGTTACCTGGTTGGGGTCCGCAAGACGTACGTCACCGATGGTTAGCGACCTTGAACGACGTGGCTCAAAATCGTTTGCAATGGCGCAGGTGCATTTACTCATTGTGTTCTCTCAAATTTTAACCTGAATTTCTCATTATCTTCATCTTTTTCTTTCTAACTTTATCCCACTGAACTATACTTTTCGAATCATATCTTCGGACCCTAATCCTCTCCATTACTGCTAATATTTCTACTATCGCTACCACTATGTGATTTGAAATGACAGTTGCATCTCTGTGCTAATGCGGTATGCCAACCTGAACTGATGTAAGTACGTACGAAGTTCTGTGTTGCAACTGTCTATCTGTCTGAGTCATTGATAATTTTGGTTCTTCAATATATTTAATCACTGATAAAATATCACCATTATTCAAATATTTGAGTGATGATTAACATCTAAAACTCAAATGCTAAACCTAGTCGTATATTATCTTTGCTTGTTGACATAGGTTGCATAAACAAATAGCATAAAACTAATAGACTTTTTACGGCAACTACGTGTAGCTAAAATGAACCGATATTCCAATCTGGAAGTTGCATGTTTAATCTAGTTTGATTTCATTAACGTAGAAAACAACTAACCGCTTCGTTCTAAGTTATAATTTTATTCATATTTGACTACCGTTTTTAATATAATCTACATACTTACCGAATTGGACAGATTGATATGTACGCCAGCATTCAAAAGTTCTACAACTTTTGATAGGTCTCCAGCACGAGCTGCGCGTAGAAAGTTCTGTTCAGTTTCACTCTGTGAAAAAAAGCAAATGAGGAATATTACTGGAATATCTGGTGTGGACTAAAATATTGGTAACCCTAAAAGTGCCTAGTTTCTAATTTGATCGACCAAAGTAGATTCGATAGCTATAATAGCACCTCGATGGGGAAACTACCACTACCGATAAACATTTCTAAATATGGTAACCCTAATTTTATCGGACTCTACTTTTGTTGCTTATTTACAGAATAACTATGTAAGACAATTGCATAATTTAATGTAGATGTGATAACTGTAATAATATGGTAGTGCAGAAAAACGTGCCACTCTTTATGACACTTGATCCCTAACTAAGCAGTCTCAGATTTAACATAAGTGGTCTAAATTCACATATTCCATAAAAACCCATCTATAGACGTATCGTGCAATATTCAAAACAAACTCATCAAAAATTAGACCGTCTTTTTTGGAAGTGATTATTTTCATTAAAATGAAACACTAAGAATATACTACCCAGCAGCAAAATAAGTGTGCATAAAATATCCTAGATGAACTAATGTGCAAGATAGGTACAGTCATTTTGACGACTGATGTATACAGAAAACTTAAGAGAAGATATTCCAGAATAACGACAAGTCATTAAGGAAGGGATTTGAAGATCAGGTATATCCGTATGGTATTGACACGTATTTCGGCTAGTCAATAAATAGTACATACAGTTCGACAGTGACTGCATATAACAATTGTTATACAGGCAGTTCTAAAACAAATGTTTAATATGAGGAAATGAGTAGTCGTCAAGAGAACATTTGAGCAGATTTGACGTGAGACAGGACATAAGTGAACTTGATAGAATGAACTTAATGCTTTGAAGTAGTCAATGCAGCAATGATAAATTGCAGATGTCAGACAATGATGCATAGCAATGCATGTTTGTTGCAAAAACGTCCATGTAGTGAATGTCAGTTAAGTCAAGGTGCGGCTTTGGAGCCAAACTAGCCACTAACAACATCTGATAAATGGATTAAATCAACCAAGAAATTTGAGTATGGATTAATGCAGCATTTAAAAATGGCATACCATGACTCTAGCTTTTATCTGATAAACGCAACTTGCTACAATATAAAAACTTATAATGAGATACTTCGATAAAGTAATAAATACTTATGCCGATTATTCAATGCCGTGACATAAACTCACCAATTGACTCGAAACCTTCTTACTATCACTAGACTTAGTCATGTCTCCCAAGTTCAAATAACGCGGAATAAGGTCAAGCTAAGGAACATAGACTTGATGCATTACAAGATCCTGAAAAAATCCAACAACTAGAAAACCGAATTCGCAAAAAACCTTAATCGAACTATATTTCCATTTGGATTCACTGGACATAACAGAGGTCTCTAAACAATGATCGCTATTGTCAGCTTCATTTTGGAAAGGACACGGTGCTCGATGGCCTGTATTAGTCCTGGCAATTTAAATCATTCAGTCTATCTAGCTTTCCCTCAACCTCTTCAATAAGTGAACTCTCAGCAATCTTTCGAGGTGAGGAATTCAAATGGGTTACCGTTGGATAGGAGATGATTTGCTTAGATGGCATTATGATCACGGTGAGCATAAGTCTTTAGATTATGGGGCATCGAAAGCTCTGAACCTTTTTCAGCTACTGATAACTCTAGAGAAAAGTAACCCTGTTTGTATGCGTTATCCGCAACATGTCTAAGATTGACCATTACAAACTTTAGAGTACGGAAAGTAACTACGTTATTATCAGTTTAACTTCCAAGTCAAGTTAGATTATCATCTTAGTTATGAACCTCTCTCATAGTTTGATATCGTCGGTGAAAAGTAATGACTCAGACGTCATATTCTGAAGAAGGTCACTTGTAGAAAGTAAGGAGAGAAGAGGTCCTAGTACTGGATCCTGAGAGATCCCATTGCAACGTTCTGTAGCCCAATAAATTGTCACGTTTTCCCTAACATTAAAAGGTGGATTATTTGCTTACGAATGTCTAACCAGCCTACCAGCGGTGGCTTCATACCCGTCAGAATGAGCCTACTTATGAGCTTTTGAAAAATCAAATTAGGTCCTTCCCACGTCCTTGAGATTATTAATGGTTGTTTATACGTCCTTCGTGGTCAGCAAGTTGATTAAGCTCGTGTTGTTGACATTGGGTGTGTGGCGCGACGTAATTAATCGTAACCTGGTGTAGACACTTAACCGAGTGCCTTTAGTTTGATTTCGTTCAGTAAAATCAGTATGGTTAACATCGATATCGAACACTTACAAACTATTTATTTTTAGGTCCTATGTACCTTTACAAGTAGCCCAACAAATAGGCCTCTGATATCACTCTTGTTATGGCTTGTTAAGATCATAAGCGTCTGGTCGTTTTTCCCACTCTGAGGAGTCATGATTGCACAATAATGTTAAAAATAATAATTATATTATTGCACGATCGGAAACCCGTCCATCATGTTCCACTTCGGTATTTCGACTTTTCTAGTCGTCATATGAAATTACGAAATGAACCTGCAATTGAATGTTGAAATAAACCTATGCTTCTTCAAAGGATTTTGTAGTGCATCCAACAGTGACTTTGAATGATTCGTGGATTATGAGTATCACCGATGGAAGAGTCACAGTTTATTGTGATACGTTTTTGATTAAAAATGAGGCTTTCGAATGTCAAGTAAAGCGTTCTACCAAACCAAGCAGACAAGCATTCCGTCGTATCCTTACCTTGGACCAATATCACGCGAAAAATATACGGCACCTAACATAATTATGTACAGCACCGAAAACCTTGAGTCCCTTCCAAATCCTTGTTGATTCACATCTCAAAAGATAATTCCTTTCCATCTTGCATAATAGTCCGGAAGTTCACAGTCAGCCTCTACAAAATTCGTTATATCTCAGGAGAACATAGTTTATGAACAAAAACTTCCAGATCACATAACACCGTAGATCCAAAAAATACATTTTAAAATGAGCAAGCCAAAAGTGTCTGTGAGTGAGAAATTGGCAAAAGACAAGGAATAGCACACCATTTGAAACTAGTGAGTGGATTACTCAGTAGCATATAACAAAAGAAATATAAATATGTAATAATCTAGTTATTTTATAATTATACAGAGGGAATCGCTCTGATAGTAATGCATAACGTATACCAGAGAGTGAAAATTTCCCTAATTTTTCTCCAGATATGGCCCGTTCATGTTCTTTAGTAACGGTTGAAGGCAAGAGAAAGTTTGCTGTCGACAGTTTAACGAGCACACAGGCAACTATTCCAGTTAACTATTAACTTTTTCTGCTATCTTGCGAGATAGTTCAAACACTTTATAAAATAATGTATCCATTTAATTCTGGTAGGGGTTCTATCAAGTGAGGTTCAGCTAGTCCAAAATGAGAAAAATGGACATGCTGTTGTGTTGAATGTTCAGCATGAGGAATCGGGCATGAAATTGTCCACCTGTCGTACTTCACCATCATTGACTTTTACCGCAAGTTTCAGGATGAGCACTACCAGCAGTGATAAGACAGATGAGGTGAATGATATTCCTAGTAAGGGAAGCAATGTTGGTCGAGTTAAATTGGATATTGCACATGAGTCGAATGGATGTCATGGGAAGAGTACCACTACTTCTACTGCTACGGCTACTAAAGCTAACAACATCGATAATACTCCTGCGGATAATAGTGATCGAGGGACATTGAAAGACACTCGTCGATATCGTAGTCGGCGAACATTACGTTCATATACTTCTGCCAGAAGTGAGAAAGAGTAGAAACGACATGTGAATGATGCTTTCCCGACTAAAAAGCGTAAACTTCGTTCTCGTTTGGAAGTTGTGACTAGTAATAAGAATAGTTGTCATCAGAATCGTAAAAGTGCCGGCGGTTGTAGTGACACCGCAAGTGTGAACAATCCATCTATAGTAACTAGTCAACCTAGTTCGTCGAGTGGATCATCTAATGTTTTGTCTTCGAGCCCTGCCGCAATTATAGAGTTGATTGAAGATTCACAAGGTTGTCCTACTGTAACTGTTTAGTCTCCGATTGACAGTGAGTTTGATGATGATGAGAAGGTAGTGTCTGTTGGTAACCACTAGTCCACAGTGCTGCATGATAAACATGTGCACATGACTTGTTTCTGAAATGGAACTTGAAGAATCACAAGTGGGTTTATCGGTTTCGAATTTTGAAACAAATGCTGTTCTTTCATCTGACATAATAAGTTGTACAACAATGGAAGCGTTTTCACTCTACTGTTGCTAGTGATAGCAGAAACTACATGACTGGTCAGATAGATATGAATCATGATGGCGATGATTATAATCTTGATGTCAATAATGAGTGAAATGATTTTTAGACGATGATGAAAGCTAATCAACTCTTCTCTGTACTAGGAGATGAAGAATTGAAACTTGTTTCTACATTATGCCATTCAGAGTTTTCAGGAGACGAGGAAATGTCAGAATTGGAGATTCTAACCGTGTGTATTAATTATGGGCCAAGAACTTCTGTTGATAAGTCGTTATCATTGACTTCATAGTGTCCGACGTTTGGAGAGAGTGGCGGTGGACCGACGATTCGTCCTCCTTATAATGTGGAGGGTAAATCCCGAATAGGATGTGACCAGCCCTACGACGCGTCGTACATGTATATGTGGTTCAACTGGATAAAGTTTATACGGCCTTTAGGTCATGCTACGACAGATAGAGGAATCAAGAGCCTGATGGGAAGTTACAGGTACATAATGAGCTTGATAGGTAGGCGTACTGCTGTAAGTCCTACTCGTTTTTCTGGTGTAGATTAGGATATGAGAGTGAGCCATGATCTGAGGCATATATATAAATGGCTTTGCTTTGTATGGGGAGATTTTGCGGGGCGGTGTAGAATCCAATTTGAAGGCATTGTTTTGGGAAAATCCCTTCATGTATATATTTATAATATGTTCTTACTGACTGTTTCTGTGCTACATTTCGATAATCTGTTTAATCCCATTTTAGGATGTTAATATTTGTATTTTGTTATAGTTTCTATTTTTTGTGCCTTTATCGGATTTTCTATGTTTTCTACTGAACTGTACCATGTTTTTTAAATTGATACTTACTTATGGCGTCAGCCATATCGGATTTGATACCCTGGCGGGTAAAACATGAATCTGGACTGGAAGAGTGCAATTTTGAACCTAAGGATAACAGGACCAGGATGGCATTAGTTGAAAGGTGGAGGGTATAACAGCTTTTTCTTTAACAGTTTAGGAGTGTATGTACTGACATAAGAAGGACATAACTTGTGAATCTGCTAAATAGTCTGAAAATACGGGATACTTCAATGCGGAAATATGTACATTTTACAAAAGAGATAGACTAATAGCTAACCAGTTGATGTAACATATCACATTAGGTTCACCAGGGATCTGGATTGCTTCACAGCGATGCCACCACTAACATGTTTTTAGTCCAGGACTTAAACCCAGTACATTAGAAGTCAGTAATCAGCGGGCTCGATGGTGTACTTAGAAGATGGTGGATGTGTCGAAAAGTATGTGATCCACGTTAAATGATTGTCACAATGGGTTTGTGGCGCGACGTAAATAACCGTAAACTAGTGCAGATACTTTACAGAGTGCATCCAGTTTGATTTCGTTCAGCAAAACTAGTATGATCAACATCACTATGGAACACATACGGAACTGTTTATTTCCAGCACATGTTTAATACCATAAATTTTTGTACTATTGGTAAGCGATTAGTTTTCCCGAGTCTTAACCACTTCCATTCTTACAATGTTCTCTCCAGAAAACGCAAACTGAATTAGGTTCTTTATTTAGATATGCAGCTTACAACTGTTATTTACTAAACATGTTTATGCTACTTCATTTCTCTAGAAAAAAGTAGTTTTTTATAACGAGAGGTGGATACTGGCTGGCAGTGGTATAATACATATGCGTTTCTTTCCATTTTTGACTCATCAGCTGGATGTACCTGTACCTCTGAGTTCATGTTCACTTTGGGATCGAACCCAGTGCCTTACGCTTCACACAACATTGAGTCATCAATTCATCCAAATAGCCACTCGCTTTTGAAATTATGTGAAGAATAAATCATTCGTGCTAATTTTTCGAATCTTCCTAATGGTGTTTAGGGCTGCAACTTATCAGTCTATAGCATATGCACATCATATGATCGTTGTCTTCATTTTGCCCTCAGTTTACAAGAATTTTATAAGGAGAGGACAATGACTCATATTGGAGTGTAGGCTGCGTATTCCATCCCATTTGAACCTCTACAGCTGGGTGCATTTGAATTTCGAAGTCCACGTTCATCACGGGAACAGTAATAGTAGTTTCATAGCCTTAAAGAACAATCTCAAGCCGATAGGTTCAGAAGCCTTCATTTAGTCCGATGTCAGTTACTACTGATTATTAACTTATGTTTCGACACTCAGACTTGCCCAGAAATATGCATTGAAAATTTCGAAAAAACAAAGGCCATACAGAATTTTAGCCTCATATTGTTAAGACTGAGAAGAAGCTATTGGTCGGAATATTAACGACCTAGGAAATTTTGCACTAAGGAACTAATTAGCTTGTGGGCTTGTCTCTTTCTATTTCAAGAGGCCTGGCTAGTGATTCCTTTTATTTTCGACAGGCAAGAAACGGAGTCTCCTATATGTTAGGTCTTATTGACCATGTCAACATTGACGGTAATGCAAACCCTCTAACAGAATGAGACTTACAATGTCCCACTGTTGTTTACGACTCATTTGAGCGAGGATGTCTGCTCCAGCCAAACAGGGGTCTCTTGAATGTCGCAGTTAAACCAGCTGACTTTATTTGACTTAAAAGATTCTTGGTATTAAAAAGGTATGCTTTAGAGCTTCCCATTGATCAAGTCTGTCAACAAACCTATTGTCCTTTTAGAAGTATTATGTAATCAAGATAAATGCATAAGATTATCTGTTTTGCTGTTCATATAGTGGGCCCAGATACTATGAAACATGTTTTTTTTTTCGACAATTGAGGATTGAAAGTTGCGTTTGATTTGTTTAAGTACTGGTCACTAACTTAGAGGGCACATTGTACTAAGGCATGGTAGGTGTATGGTTAGATTGTCTAGGGATTATATTTTTATTAGACTCGCAAACGAAGGAATCATGGTAGGTCAAAGAAGGGCCGTGGTCACGTTGGCTTCATACGCTGCACAAACTGTGGTCGAGCATGTCCCAAAGATAAATCCGTGTGGAAACTAGTAACACGAAGTATGGTAGAGGCCGCCGCCGTCAAAGATCTGGAAGACGCATCTGTGTATGGCAGTAAGTTGAATTTTTACGAGTTGTCGGACATAGATACGTTCCAGTTCATAAGTAGCCTGGAACCACCCAATGTCCTAGAATAAAATCAGCTTCCGCAGAGTCAGTGAAAACAGTACCATCTGACACAGATACGGGCTGTACATTTTTTATTGAATTTAAATTCCTAAGTAGCATTCTATGCCAACCTTATGCTTTTCTATGCTTATTTCCAGAAAACTACGCCGTTCCAAAGTTGTACGTCAAACTGCAATACTGTATTAGCTGTGCAATCCATAGCAAAGTTCTTCGAAATCGTAGTCGGGAATCAAGGCGTCTCAGAAGGATTATAATTAAACCACGAGTTAAGTTCACAAGACCTGTTGCCCCTAGGGCATGATCACATAAATAAACCTTGATTCACAGGATTTAACTTATGATTTTAACTTGAGTCGGAATGACATTCAGTTTTGTTTGCAAAGTCGTGTACTTATGTGCTAAGGTTCATCCTTTCTAAGTTTTATATATTTGGTTTTCGATTGATTATAAGGTGCCAACGAATCGAATATGCTCTTATCGACCTGTCTCTTTTTGCGCTTGTCATCGTGCGATTGTTCTGTTTTTGTAAGCATTTTCCGTTTTGACATGTGAATAACATTACCGTTGCTGAATTCAATGCCCTGGGCATTCATCACCACATGATGGTCAAAAATATACTTGACCATTTGTAGATATCCAAGAGGACTGCATGACTTTGTGTTCATCGTTTGACTAGAATTCAATAGGAGAGAAATGAACCTCAGGTAGATTGCAGCAGGATTTGGAGTTAACGCGCTCCCTTATGTTGATATTTGACTTGTCCTACCACTAAATCCGAAGATTGCAGAGCGACAGTTCTTTGTTTACTGATTTGGTAGTGGATAACAATCAATGTTCTGGATGTCTTTAACTAAGCTTTGCTGTAACTGCCCACAATGTAGGGATATACCTTCACGAAGTGGTCTTAAGATGCATCCTACTAACCCGAAGAAATCGCAGTCTTGGTTAGTCATTGATATTGACCGTTGTCTGAAATCTACCGTGAAGGCCTTTTCATCTTAGGATTGGCAATAATTGAGTTACCTGTATAATGATTAGGCATTTCGTTAGTCTTATTCCAGTTTATTCCGTGCGTCAAAGTCGTGAACAGCTTTACTGGTTCCTATAGCCTGAGTTTTAACCAGGAAGTTGTGAACCTGTGGTCACTTAACCATGAAATATTCCTAGTCAAGTGTAAACATAGCGTGTCCCTGGCTATAGCGATTTTTTCGAGAATGTCAACCAGTTACTAAAAATGAATAAATTTGTAAGGTTCAACTGTCCCACTTCCATAGGTTACCCAATATATTCATAGAAATTATATCTGTATAAAACTTGACTAATTTCGATTGTATGGTAAATTAATCGCATTAGTAATTCAAACCATGTGTATAGTTCCTACTGGTCGTATCTAAGTTAACTTTCTGGACTTGAAGATGAAAGGAGTTTTATTTACATACATAGTATTCGTAATAGTCACTAACAAACTTCACAACTTTCCTCACACTTTTTAATTAAAAATGGAGGTAGATATGTTATTTAAACATGTAGTATGGAATGTGATTTTGCAGAGACGTACCTAGAATATTGCTAGCCCCATTGTAACAAACGTGCGGTGATAAGTAGAGATATGGTATACATACTAAATATATTTCCTCCGTATGTTAGTCTCATTTTACATATTAGAGGTTTGGTTTCTATTTGAAAACAAGACGATGTTAATCTCCCCTACATGTAATGTGTGATAATTTAAAAGGAAGGGCTAACCGCTTAAAAAGGCAGCAGGTGATTAAATTTCACAAAAAATGATCGCCATGAATCGTAGCTAGAATAAGAAGTCAAAGACTGACAGTCACTTTTTCTATCACTAAAAAGTAGCACAGTAATATCACACATTTGCAGGCGTGTTCACAATTAAGTCTCAGTAACAGCTTTTGGTAAAGAAGCCTACTCCTTGACTTCGTTTCTAGCCTAAAATAAGTGGGCGAATTTACAAACTAATTAGTTCGAAAGTAGGTGAATGTGCATATGTACTGAAGGAGTACATTAACCTTGTACCGACTCTACTCGAGCACTGTTGCTAAACTGTCATCGCAGTGGGTTACTTCAAGTAGTGTCTGTCAGGGTTTTCCACTTTCTCCATTCTTATTTAGCATGGTCATGCTTTTAGGGACGACATATTCACCGTTTGACTTTTTAGGAGTTCACCTGTCTGCAGATTCACTTGGTTTAGAATTTGCAGATGTTATAGTTGTATTTGGTGAAGTCTGGACAAATGCAGTCCTTTGATCAACTTAAGCTACGACGCTGTATGGCAAAAACTTAAGTGTCTAGCGGTAGATATGTAGAAAACTCTAGTGGGTTAGATAGTTTAATGGTCTCTTTATTTTCAATCCCGACATCCATGCTACACTCATCAACAATTTCCTCGGTTGATATTTCAAGTCGGTCATAGAATTATGTCGAAATTTACGCTTGCAAAAAGTCGCTTTCGAAGGATGGTAAAAGCAATCAAAATTGCGATACTTTCAGTGACCAACCTCATATTTTTCGGTTAACATTGCTAGCTTAACTGCCGTTAACAATGTGATAGAATGCACTAGTTTGCTTGTAGATTCTTCTCCAAGCAGACTCCGGAAACGGACATGCAAAAACTCAAAAATGCGGGGATATGTTTCAAGGTGCATAAAATTAAGCTATTGTATTAGCATCCCTTATATATATATATATATATATATATATATATATATATATATATATATATATATATATATATATATATATATACAAATCTTGAATAATATATTCTAGAAAACAAGTAATAACGAAGTGAATACGAAGTAAAACCAACGAACAGCAAAGTATATACCACTTTCGAAAGTGGTAAGATAAGACGAATGGGTTATTCAAATATCTGGTAGTAATTAGATGTTTTTGTTGTATTACATAAATGGAAGACATAGACCATACGTGTATGTGAATAATATGATAATAGTTTATTGTGTTGAGTCAGGATAACTCAGTTTAACGTGAATGTTGCAGATATGAAGTGGTACAGCGTGGTATGGAATTAGCAACTGAAATTTTTACAGGTGTGACACGCGTTTAGAAAATTAAAGAGGAAAGAAGATTTGGTGTAATTAGGAAGGAAATTTTTCTGGGGTTCATAAAACCTAGAATGATAATAAAAAACTAAACTCCATATGAAAAGCGCACACATGTAAAAGCCATATGTATATAAACCCAGATAATATTGGGAATGATATCATGTACTGTGGTGCCAAGAAATATGTACGTAGTCAGTAAACAGATTGATTGTAGCAAATAGATGCCACTGATTCAACACTGGCCAGTAGTCTTGTTTTTCTAATTTGGTTGTTCTTCCTGGCTCCGTAGCAGACGTTCGAGGGGATTTATTTTTCAGGATAGTTTGTGAATAAGGAGGGATGTTTCTACTGGCAATGTTGGAATAGTCAGTGGGATCTGATCGTTGCGTTTCCTTGCTGCTTGGACGTAAAGCTTCATGATAATGAGTTGTGTTTGGAAGCGTACCAAACTCCTGGTGATTCAGTCGTGTGAGGTTGTAGAAGTTCGTGGACATGGTCTACTCCTAAAAGTAACCACTTCATGCATAAATGCAGAAGTTGATTGCCAAGTATATTTATCTTCTGTCGCAGGATAGTAAGGAGATATGACGGAGTTGTGTAACGCAGATAAAAGCTACTTTTGTACGTTCAATGCTTCACGGAAGATCTCAAAAACGCAACTGGTAAACTAGGGTTTTATATACATGACGGTTACTTACTGAGCTAATCATGTGTCGCTCAGTTTGTGATGGAGTGTCGAGCTCCAGCTAATATTAGGTCTGTAGCTAACTTATCTGATAACTAGTTAACTTTCATAAATTCGTATTTCAGAATATAATACTATAAGCTTGTGCCAGAATTTATCAGGCAACTTATACCTAACGTACTTGAACAATTTTACTTGTAATTCATAGCTTCAGGTAAAACTTTTCTAATCTCAGGAAGCATATAATGGGATTGTGGGAACTAAAAAAGTATGAGGATAAGAAAATGACACTTACAGAACCAGGATTGGAAAGAATGGATATAAAAGTTTCTTGGAACATGTTAAGAGCAGTAAATTAGATTCTTGTAACACTTAAAACCTAAAACATACATGTATATATATACCCACCAAAATGAAATTTACGTTACCAGTTTCGAATAATTGATATCAGTTTAGTCGAAAGTTATGTTTATTATAAATTGCAATGTTGTCGAATTGGATCGCTAGTTTGATGTAACGCTCAGCCTATGACAGGTTTTCCCGTTGCCCGAAGCTGCTTTGTTTGCCTACAGAGTGTAAAGAACAGCGTATGTGGAAGAAGTAACAAGAGAAAAGGTGATTCAACAGCTTAACGAGGAGCTTACATTTAAGAAATGAAATATTAGCAACAACAGTAATAAAAAAGACATATGATTGATTCCTTTGTAGGTGTTGCGTAGCTCTCTGATTAAAGCAGTGTTTACGGTGATTAGAGTACGTGGATTTATTAAAGCGACGGTTGGTGCGTGAGGCGGGTGAGTTAGGCAGGGTTGTTTGGCTGCTGTATAATTCAGGAATATGTTTCAGGATGCATGAAATTAGGCTTCTAGACTTGCATCATTATGCTCATAAATGTGTTGGAAGCTAGTATACATACTCTATAACAACTAACGATAATGTCATCCCATTAAATTCAAGTGAGCGTAAAATGTTGACAATATTACATTGTGGTCCATGAAGTGAATGTAATCATAGTTCTAAATTGGTACCATATTATTCATATGCACATGAAATGCGAATAGTAAACGTATGGGCAGTTTAGTACCATGAGATCCCTTAGAATCAATTTTTGTGCATTACTCATTTACACTATTTACGTTGCTCTCCCCGTAATTCTTAAATCACGACCTAATAAATGATATTCTGTAATCATTAGTTCAGAATTTTCGTTAGTAGCTGACAAATATCCACTGATGGGTAAAATTCTTGACCCCTGTCGCTAAAAGTTTGAGGGAAAATGTTGAATATTAACAAAACCACGAAATCTGTTCGTTAGTTACACATCAATTCATTAGCTACTTATATGGTTGTAAGTAGTTTAACTTGGAAACCTACTGTGCAGTAGAAATGTCACCTCATAATTAATTGTATGGTAGCCCCTAAACAACATTTGATGCCCTTTTGGGGTTACTACCGGTCTCAATCCCGGATAAAGGGAGACTGCTGGTTATGGGGTTAGCGACCCTATCCCGCAGAAAATGAACTAGTTAAAAACGCTTACCAAAAAAAATAATTCAGACTGTATAAACTCCGCCTTGGGAGTTGCAAGGTCCTCGTTCAGAAGAATCATGACGTCTCATGATGAAAGCCGAGTTTCCTCGGAAGTCATGAGGTCACAACTTCTTCTGAAAACCAGAATGACAATTAATATAGGTACAAGGGATGTCCAAATAATATGGGGAACCAGGGGAATCATTCGAGCATCTGTTCAAATAAAAAGATCTAACTTGGTGTTACTTGGAATCGGTGAAACACATTGGACGTAGATTGGAAAAAAGACTG